AAGCAGTAAACCATATAATACAGTAACGAAAATGAACAGGCAGCAGCAGGATAATCACTATGATCATGGCAGCAGAAAGAGTTCAAACAACTTTCCACCTCTCTCAGAGGCTGCCCAAGAGAATAGTCTTTTAAAGAGTTCGTGAAATACACGCACGCCTGGGGCAGACATGGGCTTTCTGGAGAGGACCTGCCAAAGCACTGGCACCATGACCAGAAATGCCCACACCTGTATAGATGAGAGAGCTGCAGAGCAGGATCCCAGATATTGATAGCAGGGAAGTTAACATACTGGAAAATGAAGTCCTTTAAATACCATGCCCAGAAGGGAATAAACAGCCAACAGAGGTAAAATCATATAGAATTACACACTCTCCAGAAATAGCACTTTGGACCAACTGAATTTGCCAGCTACTCTTCATGGGCAACCCCATGTTGCGTGCACTGCAGTATTCTAGTCTGGCTGTTACAAAATGGTTAATAGCTAGCAAGCAAGCCAGGAGGTAGTGTAGACTCTTCTTCTGTGTAGCAGATTTTGTGTATTCTAGGACTGTGCTATGCCCTGGTGCTGTTTTTTCCCCATTCTAAAAGGTTAAAATGCTCTCCTATGGCTGAACTCCTGGCAGTAAGTAATTTGCTAGGGTGTTGTTGTTGCTGTTGTTTGTATTTTGGCCCCATCCCTTTTGCCTTTGGCTACACTATCCACTAGAATGCAGGCCCCAAGAGCTTCTCTGAATTTGCCTGCTGGTTTGAAAGTAGTTCCCAAGTCCTGAGCTACGGTATGTTTCAGCCCTGGAGTCCACTGCAGAGTCATTTCTTTTCTCTTCAGCCATTGGGGAACCTTAGCTTCAGAAGAGACTAAAATAATTTTTTGGCAGACAGCTTTCCTGAACAAGAGCCTGAGTTACAAGACAGAAACCAGAACTATCTTTCAACAGAACAATTGCAGACACTGGTCTACTGCCTTTGCCTCACCTCACCTCTACGCTCCTTAGTTTTGCCTGCCTGATTGGTACTTCTGCTGATCCTGAGAACCTAGTTTGGACAGAGCCTCCTGACTACATAATCCTTGGCATGATCCCAGGTCGTGGCTCTTGGACAACCCCCTGGAACAAATGCTTATCTCAGTCTTCCTGGCCTTCACCCAGGCCTTTGTTTGACCTCACATCCAGTCTTTCACAGGAGGACTGATCTTCATAAAGTGCACTGAATAAATGAAGTAAATATGCAGTGCGGATACTTGTATATCGGCCAGCTGTCAGAGAGAGCACTTGAATTACAGCCTGCTCAGCTCTTCTCCCCATTGCCTTTCATTTGCAATGGCCTGATACTAACACACTGTTCAGAGTAGGATCTGTTTCTTGCTGCATGCCTGTGCAAAGCCTCAGGGGTGTGGGATGCTCATTGTTCTCAGGGAAAAGAAAGATTCTGGCTGCAGTTTGCAAGGGAGTGGAAGACAGAATAGTTCAGAGATGCTTGTGTCCTAGTGCTGCCCCAACATCTAGTAGCCTATTCATGAGAAGGCTCTTCCACCATGTAGCAGTTAGACTCCAGAGCAGGAGGTAGGATAATAACTGCAAGCAAAGGAAATGTAAAGAACCTCGACATCTACAATTCCAGAGTGATGAACGTCCTCCTCTGGGAACCCTCTGTGAAAGACATTAGGAGACAGAGTACCCGGAGGAGGAGGGACTTCTCTGCGGTGGCGCCCTGACTAGGAATGGGCTCCCCAGAGAGGTCCGCCTGGCGCAGTCATTATATGCTTTTCGGCACCAGGTCAAGACTTTTTTATTTAATCAATATTTTAATATGTTTTAATATTGAATTTTATTGTTGTATTTTATTAATTTGCAGCCAGTGTGGATGGTCAATTTATTTATGTTGTAAGCCGTCCAGAGATGCAAGTAATTGGACAGCATACACAGTTTATAAATAAATAAATAAATAATAAACGCTCTACAGTCCTTCTGGATATATGGACAGAACAATGAGTTGTAACCCATGTTAATCCTACTTAGAATTCAGCCATTAGTAGCATGCAAGGGTACTGAATTTCATGAAGGGGCATTTATGAGAGCTAGATTTACCAGTTGTATTAAAGCTATTCTAGTTCTTAAAGCATCTTTACATTTCATGTATTGGAATTTTTTATGTTATTTGTACTGCCTTCGTGCATTTGTTTTATGAATTGTTGTGAACTACCCAGAAAGTTCCGGCTGTTGCCCATGTAGAAATGAAAACAGTAACAATAACTATTATTATTAATGAGATTAATGATAAATCAACATTTGATAGATCTCCACGATTTAGTGCATTTGTACCCGGCTTTAAAGTTGTGAGAGAAATCCAGTGGGGGGGGGTGTGGTGAAAATTTGACAGATGTGCTTACTTAGCCTCACAGATTCCATTCATTTGACCCTGCTCTGGTGCCATCTTGAGCTGATATGAGTTGAGGCAGCATGTAAACCTCCATTTGTAAACGGGCTGTGTTTTATAGCCTTTCCCCCCAGCCTTCACAATTAGCTTAGATTTGTGCAAATTGCCCAAATCTTACACTAAAGATTTGTACGATTGCCCAAATTTAACACTAAACTGAAATCAACTTCCAGAAAATTTAAGGTGGCCAAGATGAAGTGTGTGCAAATATAGTGAGAGGAGGATGCTCCTATGCTTTTCATGTGAAATGCTACAATAAGTACAATAACAAAAACAATGCCTTAACACTAATGAGTCAGCCCTGGTTTGCAGAGATATATGCAACTTAAGCAATTTGCACTAGGGATACAGTTTTCAACTCCAAATTTGCAAAAATATTTCAAGCAATTTCACAGAAGCTGATTCCTGCCCCTGACTTATTCTACATTTAGCCATCAGGTCAGAAATATTTTAAAAGTCCATTTAGTTCAAACTGAATATGTTTTCCAGTGTTGCACATCCTTCCCTGGCTTAGTCAGCTTTAAAGCTACCAGCAGTCATGATAAACGTGAGAAAGAGGAAGGAGGAAAAGAAAGCCAGGAAGCTGAAGCACTCCAAAGCTGAATTATGGTAAAGTTTCTATGAACATAATGCTTTAAACAACATCCCACAGAGAATTCATCAGTTCCTTAAGACAACTTTCCCCAATTTGCCATCCTCCAGAAGTGCTGGACTACAACTCCAATAATCCCCAGCCAACATGCCCAGTTGAGGAAAACTGTGCTACTTGCAAGCTGTCAGACAACTGGAGTCATAATCAATGCAATGCTAATGAACGTTTAAAGATGTAACTGTTTCTCATTGATTTTATTTCTCCTTTAAAGTTAGAAGGAATATTTTAATCTGTTAGCAAGAATCTTGCTTTTTTAAAAATGCCTTCATTCTCAAGTTGAAATTTATTTATTTAAAACTTTTTTAGACCATCCCTTACCATGGTCTCAGGGTGGTTTAACAATAAGACAAAATAGAATAAAACACAACATCCTAGTCAAAATCTTAACCAATCAACAATAAAACTCATATTAAAACAGTCAAACCTTAAAACATTGGGAAAATAAAAAGGTTTTGGAAAGAATGCGTTTTAGCACTTATGCAGCCTAAACAGACAAAAAGCACCCTCTGTTGGGATAAAGGAAAACTGTATGTAATTCCTAAGACACATTATCTATGAGTGGAAACAGTGGGAACAACCAAGTGTGGGAAGCTTTGGATCTAACTTGGGAGTAGTGTTCACTTCACAATACTTATGTTATAGTTCATTTTATTTACTTGAAATTTAGTCGAACATTGTTTTGTAATTTAGTATCTGAATTCTAATACTTTAAAAACAGGGAAAGGGCTTCTTACCTTAAATACATTTAGCTGTTGATTAATTGTCTCTGTTTCCATTCCAACAGGACCTTGGGACTCTTCATGTTCTTCCGCTTCCCCAAGTAGTTTGGAGAATTCCTTTAGTTTGCTATAGAATTCTTCAACACGTTCAATGGTCCCTTCAATCTGTTCTTCTCTGGCTCTTGCTCTGTCAAGCAACTTGTTGCATTGTTTATTCAGAGCCTCCAAGTCCCTTTTAATACCTGCTAGGTCAGGAGAAGCTTCAGCTTCACTTGCTAACATCACTTTGCATGTCTTGTTTGCATTTTCATTATTGGCTATGAGTTCCTCCAGCTTTTTCAGGAAAGTCTTGATATCCTTGCGCTGTGACTGCAGGGTGACCAGATCCCTACCCACAGAAGCCATACTATCCAGTTCATCATCAAACTCTGCAAACTGAGAAAACATCTCTCTGATGGTGTTTTGGAAATGGCCAATTCCCTGAAGCTTAGTCTCCATGAAGGAACATGTATCTTCAACCTGCTGGCTGACAGAACTGTATTCTCCTTCCAGTGCTTCTGCTTGCAACAAGAGGTCAGAGACACCTGTTGAACCTGAAGCATCCACTACCAGTTCCTGAGCAAGCTTTTTTGTCAAGTCCACTTGAGTCTTTAAAGTCTGAAGTGCTTTTTGCTGACCCTGCATAATTGTCAAGTGTTTGCTACTGTATGTCTGGGGCTTAAGAGATTCATGAACTTCTAGCTGCTCTCTGGCATTCTTCAGCTGCTCTTTAACCTCCTTGGATGATTCCTGAAATTCTCTTAGTCTCTGAGCCATCTTTTCAAGACCATCTCTTTTAGTATGTAACTGTTCTGTGACCATATCCATTTGCTGGTTCAGCAATGCCTTTTCCTCTTCAATAACATCTTTATCTGTTTGACAGGCACCAAGGAAAGCCTCAGCTGCATTACTTAGTAGTTCCAAAGTCCCCTGGTGTTTGTCCAAGTCCTTCTGCCACGTCTTCAGCTGCATGATGGAATTCTCTAGTTCAACAGGATCTATGCCTATTTTGATTTCAGACAGGTTACTCTGGCACTTGGATATCCAGGGCTGTAGGATCTCTACTTGCTCTTTGTAACGGAGGGCTTTTTCCAGACAATCATTTAACTTATCTTGCCTTTCTTTGACTTGCTTGTTCATGTCATCCCAGTTACCTTTGAGCAAGTTCAGCTGGGACTGCAGCTCTGCCTTCTCCGCTCCTTGGGTTTTCTGAAGAAGATTTTCACCTTCTGCAATTATTTTTTCATAAGAACCAGTCTGGTCAGACAATGTAGCCTTGAACTCTTTCTGATCATCAATTAATGCCCACAGAGATTCCAATTTGGTAGAGATGGGACGAGACTGATTCTGTTCCTCTTTCTTTTTGTCCAGCCAGGCCTGAAAGTCCTTAGACATTTGCTGGAACTGGTGAGAACTGGCATACGTTGACTGAAGTTGTTCAATGTGATTGTCTGCAGAGGACCAAAAGAAAACAGATTAAAACCCGATGTGCTAGGTGCTAGCAGGTGGTGCAAGAATTATGGTGGAATTTATTTCAGTCAAGAGGAAAAAGCAATGGTCTAGGAAGAGAAAGCCTTTTGCAACTGGAACATTTTTATAGTGTTCATCATTGGAGCTTGTTGATTGAAAAATCCAGTGTTACATTTGATGAATAACAGTATATTGGGAGACAATTCTGCAGTCTAAAATAATCTCAGAAGGAGCAAAAACCTTGGCAATCATGGACCCACTGTTCTCTGGAGATGCCAGCAACCACCTCAGAAATAAACCGCACAAGCACACATGAGATCCTGTGCACAATGTTCAGCTTGGCCTGCTCCCCCCAAACTCAATGGAAGAAAGTGCATCAAAAGCGCATTGCAGTGGGGTGCAGGTTAAATCTAGCCTGCCCAGGGTCCACACCCAGTCCTCTGGGAGTAACCAGCAGGACATGCCCCTTCCATTGCTCCATCTCCTTTCTCCCAACTCCCAATGATGTGATGGCTTCCTGGCTTTTGATTGGTTTTTTCCCATTCTAAAGGGCTGAAATGTTTCACTGTTGGCAGTAAGAATTTTAAGGTAAAACCTGCAGCCATTTTGGTATTTTAGTTTTGATCCCGTTGCCTTTGGTTATGCCTTTTTTGCCATGGGACCAACCATCCCTAGAATGCCACTCTCATGAGTTCCACTGAATCCAGCCTTCAGTGAATAGACAGAATAACGTCAAGCTGCCTGCATTAAGGCATTGCAGCTCATCTGACAGAATCTCCTGCCTGAGACTGCAACGCAGGAATACTTCCCTCATGTGCATAATCCACTGACATTTGGCATTTCCAATAGAGAAATCCAAGTAATTGGCAACAGATAGCAAAATCCAGCTGTATCCACCCAACGGTCCATACCATCTAGGCCCCGAATTGAATTTCATCTCTTTCCAGAGATGAAATATGCTGGAGGGTAATTAGCAAAGTCCACTTTTGTTTAGATAAATTGAACAGTGTTTCCCACTCTTTCGATTTTGCTTGTTTTCCCACTCTTGCTTTGACACTAACCTGCTTTTTGTTCCATATCCTTAAAGGATTTTAAGACACCATCTAATTGCCTCGTGAGTTCTGCTTTCAAGTAGTCTTCTGCTACCAGTGCTGACAATTCCTCGCACAGAGCCTGAGCAGCATTTATGTGTGCCATTTCTTGTTCTATTTCTTCTTTCACTTCTCTGGCTGCTCCTAGCTGCTGCTTCACAGCCTCCGGGTCTGTACTGACAGCCAGGCTCTTGCTGAGTTTAGTATCCAAGAGGCTGAGTTTCCCCAAAAGGCTTCTCAGGCAGCTTTGGTACTCTGTGCTTTTGACAATGGCTTGCTCAATTCGGTCACATCGGTCACTCAGCTGTCCTGTTAAGCCATCCCATTTCTGCGCCACAGCAGCCAGTTGCTGTTTCACTGCCTCGTGCGAAGGTGGGTGTTCACCTGGCCTCTCCAGGATCCCTTGTCCTGCTGTGGTCAGTTGCTCATACTGGGGTTTTCGGGTGTCAAACTCTTTGAGGAGAATCTGAGGAGAGAGTGTTTGAATATAAATTTCAGGAAAGGGCAGGGAAGCATGTATTCCAAATGGTTAGCAGCTATTAATCTACATTAGTATCCTAGTTTGTTGAATAAGTAAAATAGCTCTTGGCCATTAAAAGTTCTTCTGTCAGTATTAATATGAAGGTAAGTTCATGTATGCACATTCATCCCTGAAACCTGCTCCAGATGTGCTGATCCAATGCTCCACCTTGCTTGGAGAGGAGAAATGTGTCCCTTTCAACTCTGCCATGCAGAAAATATCACTTAGAATGATATCTGCAGTGCCAGTCTGGCATTCTCTCACCTCCTCTTTTTAGTCCCTTTTGAAAGTCAATTTTAAATAAAGTGTTTTAATTTGTTAAGTGTTGGCACATGTGGATGAAGCAGCCATCAAAGTTTAAACACTTGCTTTCGTAACACCTGGAACAACCACAATCAAAACATCTGGATGCAAGAAACTCATATATTCAACAACAAGCCACAGAACTGCGAGTGACAAACATACATTGTAAACTGGACCCTATAGCCCACAGTTGGGGTGAGTCTCTTGCTTAACTTCTTTAAAAAATTTAATAATTTTTCAGTCTAAAATACAAAAAAAGAAAAAACTCTCAGTTAAAATAAAAAACATAAAATTAAACATGCAATTAAAATACATCTTAAAAATACAGTGCCCCACAGTGCCAGGACCATAGGATACATGTTACAGATAGAAAAACTCATTCAAACATTTTTTCAGGATATTTCCCCCTTCCAAAACTGCAATGATTCTTTCAATGGTTCAAATCTTTTCCCTTTTTTAAACCCATACTCAATAAATGCATCCCAAATCTCATTAAACTTATCTTTCTGTATATGCCCTTTTCTCACTTTAATATCACAAGTTAATTTATCATTAATAGCTGTATTACAAACTTTGCTGTACTAATCACACAACTGATAATCATATTTTTCATTCCCATTATTTGGTACAATCAATCTCATGGCAGTGGAATAAGTACATATTTTCATATTTGTTGGAAATGTGAATATATAATGAAGTTTTTCAAAGATATTTTAAAGGGAGTAATAAAATATTAAGTTTAAGTATTGAACTATGCCCTGAGATTACATTATTTTCAATATTTGATAAGAAACAATGGAGTTAGAACAACAGAAAACTGATAACAAATTCTTGCTTGACTTCTAAGAGCACACAACCATATAATGGTAAATGGGTGTTCCCAGCCCCATTTTTGGCAATTTAATGGGAAGCAAGGATGAGGATGGGGAACTTGGAGGGGATACATAAAATCTCCTATATGTACGGATTCTCCCTAGCTCATTATTCCATGTTGTTTTTCTGCACTACAGAACTCCGTTTAGAACCCTGTTGGTTGGGGGGGGGGGTGCAATAGTCAAACTATGCCAATGTACCACTACTACTCTCTGTCCCATTTCATATAAAAATGCCTTATCATAATCCTAACTTTGTGTTGTACTCCAGTCTTAGATACACGTAGAACAGATCTGGTGAAATCAATCTCATTGACTTTAGGGGGTCTCCTCTGACTAAGCCTTGGTCCAACCTTTTCATTTGCTCTGGGTTTTTTATTAATTTCTCTCCTAATCAAGTTTCACAAAAGATTTTGTTGTCAGAATAAATTGTGCCCAAGAGGGTTTTTCCTTCCATTTCCACCCTAAAAAATAGCAAAAGCCTAGCTGGCCATATTGAGTCCTTTGTGCATGACTAAATGAGCTTACTGATGACAAACTTTGGCCCCAAACCAGCTAAATTTGAGTTGTGATTAAGCCCTGTTGAAATCAATGCAACAAGCTAATTGCAGCTAACTTAAATCCCATTGCTCTGAACAAGATTTGGTCATAGCTTATGTTATCTGGATGGATGCCATTATGCATAATTCAATCAAATTCAATACCAATGGGACTGAAATATTTTATAAAAAGCGTAACTGCTTAAAAAGTCAAGTTTAATGTCTACAAGGAAATAATGTCAAGATTTAACCTAGACTTCTTTTGAGAAATAGGATCATATTTAATCCATTGCTATTATTACCACTAGAAAACAGATTGCTCATTGGCCCTTTCATATTTGTTTTACAAACTATCTGCAAAGAATAAGAAATTAAAAGGCAAACTAAATTAGTTTTGCTGATAAATGAGTCTGTTAACTTCTGAGGAAGTCCTACCATGAAGCTATCATGGTGCTATTTGTGAGTTAATAAGCAAAAGTGTCTTTACTACAAAACAAAATGCAGTAGAACCAAGTACTTACCTGAACTTGCTGCTTCTGTGTGTTGAGCATGTTTGGTTCAATTGACAGTGGCCCAAGCACACTAACCATTAATTCCTTCTCCACCAGCCACTGTCTCAGCTGAGACTCTGTTGTCTGGAACTGGGTCAGATAATTTGATGACTCTTCCAATTTTTTCTGCCTGTCAGCTGCTACCTGGCTGAGTTCTTTCCATTTGGAATCTATGGCAAAATAAAAATTGAATTTTTAAATAGCAAACCTTCATATGAACTCTGGGACTAGACACTAAATCTCCTAAACCAGTAGTGCATGGACCACTATGCATAGCATTCATATTTCTCTTAGCTGATCTAGTATTTTTACAATATTTACACCTGGTGTAAAATAGGAAAGTTATTCATAAAATATCTGTATTTCATCTGTAAAATGACACTTGAAACATAATTTCATGGAGGCTGCTCTGCCTGGCATGCTGCTCCCCATGGAGCTATGTTCATTTTCATCCTACCACTACAAAGCCCATTTCCTAGGCATTTTCAGTCTTGCTAAAACTTCCCACAAACGCATGGCAAGTGATCGCTTCACACAAACAGCTTTGGACATTCAGCAACCTCCACATGTTTTCATTTCAAATGATCCAAAGGTGCTTGGGTGTCATGTGGAGAAAGAAGAGTGCTAGTATAAACAGGATCCTTCTTTTCCAAAAGTATTCTTTGCCCACATTGAAGAACATACCAGCATAGCTTTAACGACTCAGTAGTCAGTAGACCCAGCTCACATATATGGTGGGTGGATTCAGGCATAATGCTTAACTCTGGCCAAAAATAGTGTCCAAGCTTAATCCTAGTTTGCTGCATCACTTTGAAGAACTGCTAGAAAATGAAAATGCTCACACAAGGGACAATCCAAACATCCTATTTTCCATCTTAAGAACCCACAGTTTGGCTAACATGTGTTCCTCCACTTCCGCACCAGTGAAGTTTTAATATGGGGTAAAGGAGGGAAAGACTTTGTGTCTTCACAGGCCAGGTGGCCATAGCAGGAAGGATTTTTGTTTGGGAGGAAAGAGTTAACAAAGAGAAGCTTTAGGATTTGCTCAGGGACTTGCCAAGGGTGGCTAAAGATCTCTGAGAAAATGGGTGTGAGAGTACTCTGCCCGATTTCTGCAGTAGGTCAAGGGCTGCAGAACCAGTTTTATGGCAATACCTTGACACACTTTGGCTGCTATGAAGTATTTTGTTTACAGGAGCCATGTATTCACACAGAAAACATGGCATGATTTGTTTGATCATTTCTAAGTAGGATCAACTAACAGGCTTAACTATCCATTAAGCCCGCCTCATGCTTTAGTTCCTCTCTTGCTTCTTCCTGTATATACTGCTATTACTGGGGATGCTGTGATTTTTCCCTAGTGCTGCAAAATAAAGCTTGTTTTAGTAACGTAACCTATACGCATCTATGCTAAACTCCAGTTTATTGTGTTTCAGGTTTATCTATACATATATTTGGCACATTTTCATTTAGATTTTGTTCCTATTGTTACATTTTGGACAACTTTCAGAATCACAGTTATTAATATATACCCCCCGCCAAAAAAACTCAGGATAGCTTTCAAGCTAACATTTATTTTGAGATATGCAGAATTCCTGAAGGAGAAGAAATCTATACCCTGTATTACATACACTTATTGTCCAAACATGGTCATTTGTTCAATTTTTGGCAAAAACATTAAGGAGAATGTTTTTAAAAAATGACCAGAGGGCACTAAAATCTCACACCTGATTGAAAATGCATCTTAGTATGCAAAAGGGCACAGGAAAATGCCCAAAAGGCTGCTTCACATGCTAGGTCTACAAGGTTAGTACCCTTGAATGGGCTTCATTAGCACAACAGAAATACTGTGTGCTTAAACACTCAAAACAGTTTAGTTCTGAAGCTCCTGCAATATAGTTATGTTAATTGGAATATGGAGTAGGAAGGCCAGCTTGAAGGTATACATTCAGCAAACATAAATATACATAGATACATAATGGTATGCAGGATCATAGCCAAAGGGCGCAGTAGCAATGGGACTTTACAGGAGAAAATACTGTGGCATGTGGCTGTGTAGACCAGTCATATCAAACCTGGCAACCTTCAGGGGTGCTAAACCGCAACGCCCAACAGCAGTAGCCGCAAGCCTGGCTATGGTTTTGATCTGTTGGAATGACAGGTGTAGTCCAACACAACTGGCGGGTACCCAGTTGAAAAAGGCTAGTGTAGATGATGCTGAAAAGATAATATTGTACCACTAAAGACATTAAAAACAGAAGCCAGTTGTAAGTATTTGGATTAAACAAATCAAGTTTATCAGTTGCAAGCCTTATCTTCTGTCTAGAACAAGGCTCAGTGCAATACCTATTTTATCCAACATCTGCTTCCATTTTGGTGCTTCTGAAGAGTCCGGGTTCTTCTCCAACAACTCTGTGACTCTGTCTTTCAACTCCTGCACTTTATTCTCATTCTGTTTCAGTTCTGTTTCAAATAGCTATGAAGAATGAATATGTTAGGTTTAAGGATGGATTAAGCAAACATATTTTGTGAAAGGGTTAATTCACTGAGATGGTTCTTAATCTGTCTAAGAAGCTGTTCAATCTGTTTACCCCACCAGCACTGGTCTGAAGAATGTGCCCTGTTTTTATTGCAGGTATGCAATTTGCCTGATCCTCCTATGTCCCCTGTAAGCATTTTTATGAGACCTCTGTATGGACACATACATTATTAAATATCCCCTTTCCATTAATCTGTGTGGGAAGCTCACTTTGAACATTAATTATCATTAACTGATGGGGGGGTTGGGGGGGGCACAGAGACACTACCTTATGTTGATCCACTTGCTCTTTAACTGCTTCCCCATCAAGAAGAGCAGTTTCCCATTTGCTTGCCGCAGTATCCATTTTCTGTAGCCATTCCATCATTGAATTTGATTCTGCTTGAATGTTTTGCATATTTGAAAGCATAGTTTCCAGTTCTGATCGTCTTTCCTTCAGCATTGCTCCCAAATCATCATAATTACGGCTTACAGTTGACATATTATGTTGGACAGTGGTCAGTTCTGTGAGAAAAGTGTGCATACCTTTATTTCTTTAATTTAAAAAAATCTTAAGATAGACATTTGATGGGGCTGTAAACATTATGTATTAAAAGTTTAAGGTCATGTATCAAATAGTGCCCAGCATAGCGTATTGCAGTAACTTCTTACCTACACGGCTGAGAAATACATGTGGGTAGAATGAGAACTAGGAATCAGCCCCAAGCTGTCAGAAGAGGATACTGAATAAGTATTCATGAAAGAACCGGACAGGTCACAAGGCACATCCTATGTGAAGTCAACATTATGTTCTTTGGAGGTTTTGAAACAAGGTTAATTACTTTGTTATTAGCAACCTAACACATTCCAGCTTCTGAGTTAAGACAATCCACCTGTTAACCAAAAACTGCAGTGAGGGCAGGTTTATTGCTTCTGTCAGTTAAAATTTCTTGTCTCCAGAGCTGTTACCTGAACACAAAGACCCATTCACACAGAAGGAGGTCTTTCCATTGAATGACAGAGCATGAGCTTTGCAGATTCAGTCACTGGCAATTCCACTTAAAACGAACTTGGGTAGCCATGCTTGGAGGGCCTCTGTCTTGAACACCCATTGCCAGTCAGAAGACACAAAGGGCAACGTAAGCAATCTCAAGCATAACCGCAACAGCATTAGCTGATGCAATGGGTTTTATGAGGAAATCCATTGCACCAGATAACACTTTTGACATTGGACTGGAAGTCATCTACTTTAGTGCAACATAATGCATTAGTGTCAACCTGGATACTGTCCATATCAGGTTGGATGGTCTAATGTTCTGACTCAAGACCAAAATGGGAAATGGGAAGGAAAATGGGAGAACTTGAAGTTATTTTTTAATTATTTTTCTATAGCCATTTAGAATACATGAACATATAATGTTAGTATTTGTTAAAATTCTCAAATTCTTCTCTGAAGTTCATTTTGCCTTGTTGCATTCCTGAACACAAAAGTCTTTTAAAAAATTGGGGGAAATGTTCATTTTCCCCATTGGCTAATATAAGAAAATGCATTTAGTGGTGGAAATGCACCTTTTCAGAACAAGAGCACAAGTTCTGAAAATTGTGAAAAATTCTCAAGAATTGGATCCCTTGCATTCAAGTTTGTGAACAGGTCATGCTTCCTTGATTTGCAAACAGCAAGTGAATTCTCATGTGCACCTGTAGGAGAGGTGTCCAAACTAAACTGGAATAACAGGTTAGGAAAAGAGAAACTCAGACCTTTCCCTTCAGGCCATTTTCCAAGGGAAGACAAACCCAAATGGTTCCCCCCTGCCCCCCCATAGCAGCAGTGAAGTTAAAACAAAAAGGAAAAACTCCATGTCTCCAGCATCACATTCTAGTCTGGCCCTCCCCTGTATGCAGCTTTATATGTTTATCATCCTGAGACATCTGATAGTTCAAGTCACTTTTCTAAAACAGCGAACACTATCTGACAGAAATAGCAGACTTAATCTTGTTTACATGGGATTAGTTGTTCCTGGATGGAAGAGGGGAAGTCAAGAAGCCCTGTTCTTGCCTTGATACTCAGTCAATTGCAACTCATTGTTCACCCACTGCACATATCACATTGAAATAAGTGAGCACAGAGTGTATGGGCTGTGAGTACAACACAGTGCAAAAAGTCCCAGCTACTCAGAGGATGATTGTTTTCAGGACGTTCTATCAAAAGGAGCAACCCATCTGTTGCTTCACTGTATTTAGCTGCCCTACACCATTATTAGCTATTTCTCACCTTTGTTTGTCAGGAAATCCTGGGTACCTGAAGCTCCTCCATCACCATTTAATACTGTTCCCATTCCAGCTGAAAAAGCAAAGTCCGAGAATCTGTGTTCACATACTATGAAATACTATCCATCCAGGCTCTTTGCATTTGAATCCCTTTCCTAACAAATCTAACAGCCGCAGTAGATGTTACATAGAAAAACAGATGACAGGGAAGGAAAGAATCAGCACTTTTGGCTATGCTATTTCCCCATGAAAATCACCCCTTCAAAGCTGCTGTTTGCCCCGAGGCAAAATGTTTAAATATTATGGGTGCAGGGAGTAAATGTTAAATCCCCCCCAATCCTGTAATTAGATCTGCATTCTCACCTCCTCCCCTATGCCATGGCTGATCTTAAGCCATGGGATCTTAAGCCTTTGAAACATAATGGAATATCCATTCACAAATCTCTCTATGTTGAATCTGGTTGTGCCCTATAGCTTGTTTCTGGAAGTACACCTGTGAATGTTCTAACATAATAGTATATAACTGCATCCAGCACTACCTTACCTGCAAAAAACTCTGCTGCATGAATACTTTTATCTTACGTTAGCGATGTCCCCTAACCTCCTAAGTAATTCATAAACATACATGGTACAGTCTCAGGATCAATGGTGTGAGAAATGTTAAAGGTTTATTTTGAACAGGTATGTTCCTGAGAGTCGGCTAGATATTCATTATGAAGAAACTCGCACTGAAAGCAACACTCTGCAGTGAACACTAACAATCCCCAACTTTAAGCACATACTGTACAATAAGCAATTAATTTAAATAACATTGCAGAAATCTTAAACAACTACCATGAATACCACCCCACTAATTTAAAAAGTTCTACCTATATATTCTACTTCAAGAGTTTTCTTTCTTATATTTTGTAAGCCGTCCTGAGGTTTATGCAAAGGACGGCATATAAATATCCTAAACAAACAAACAAATATTTACAATCTGGTTCCTGTGAAAAAGAGGAGATAAGACTCAAAAGAAATGTATCCTTTGAGCCTAGTTTTTAATCCCCTTCCAATATTTTGGTGGTGAAGGAATTGTACCACAAAAAGGATTGGGGATCCTTGGAGCTCACTTCTCTCTTCACCTTGAGTAAGCCTTTGCTTTCAAAAGTATTGTTTTGCAGGAAACTAGTGGGCAGCAGAATTTGTTGTACGAAGGGATTCAGGTGAGGCTTTTTTTGTGCAACTCATTCACTGAATTATAGGGTTCCAGACAACAACACCTTCAATTTGTAACCCCCAACTCTGCTTTCCCACTGCTTCTTCCGTCCACTGAGGAAGAAAAGATGGAATTGCTGCACAAAGGCTTTTGACTCTTAGCACTATGAGCCTCCCATCTGGAAGCACTAGCTATACTTTCTTCTTATCCAACAAACAGGTTCCTCCCAAAGTGTTCAAGCCAAAGTGCCCCTTCATGCTATCTCTGCTGGTCAGGATAAGTACACCCTAGCAGCGTGAGAGAGAAGCACACATATCTTCATCCAGGTATGTACAGCATAGATTCTGGGAGAAGGCAGAGCATTGTTCTCACTTTCCACTGCTCTTCTTATTACATTTATACACCTCCTTTCTTCCTCTTGCAAGGAACCCAAGGCAGCTTACAAAGTTCTCCTCCTCTCCATGTTATGCTCACAACAACAACTTCTGAGGCAGGTTAGGCTGAGAGTCTGTGACTGGCCCAAAGTCAGCCAGTGAATGCTATGGGTGAGTGGGGACTGGAACCCAGATTGCTGGAGTCCCAGAGGAGCGCTCTTAATCACTTATGAGAAAGCATCTGGCATCTCTTATGAAAGGATAAGGTCTTTTCCATCATGTGAGGCCTTCTCTTATGCTGTCTTTTCTTTTCTCCATTTTAGTCCAAGGATTATTTACACATGGATATACCACAGTACAAATATATAGCTATATAATTTATATTTCAAACATTTAACACACTCAATTTTGTTCATTTTAAGAACACCCATAAATAGCATTCCCATTGAACAAATGGAGAACTGAGATTCATATGATGATTACTTATATAGCTCAACCAGCTAAGTCAGCGGCTGAATCCAGTTCTCTAGAATTTCAGACTGTAATCAACTGGGCTACCCTAGGCTAAGCCACTTAACAGTAGTCTGGCTAAAACTGAAATTCTTAACAGCAAAACATTTAAGGCAGGCTTATACATCATAAAATCCATCCTTGATCAGCTCAACCTCAATCAGCTTGTAACTAGTTTCACTTGGTTGCAGAAGCAAAGGTAGATGATAACTGGCAGAAAATTACCAGCGGAATTGTATACACAACCGCTCAGGACTGAACCCCATGTGCCACTTGCGCACTTCAGAAGGGCTGTCTCTGGGTGTTAAATTGGAGACTGCGAACAGTGATCTCCAAAAGAGAAAGTGCGGGGGGGGGTGGTTGTGACAAGCCAAAATGGCTGCCTATCATGGTGATTCACTGTGGCATGTGTCACTGGTAAGCTGAGAAAATGTTGTCTGAGCAGTTTTCAGTTACATTCTGGTACAAACAGAACCACTGTCCAAATGCCACTTTCGTCTATACCAGTTATCCCACTTCATAAAACTGGCTTCAGAAACATTCCTTTTTAGTTGCTCCAAAGCCAATTTCATTAAGTTTCAAAGTGCCTCTTATTTATGAAGGGAATAACCAGACTCAGTAGAACCTATTGCATGTCTAAGTAAGTGGAGAGACTGAAGATCATGATTTAATGAAGCTGAATTAATGGTTGCCTTGGAGAAGGCCAAACATTCGCCTCTCATCACCAGCTGCAAGGTGAGTGCTAGCCTAATGGCAGCTGGGAAATGGTGGGAGAAAATAAGTCGGCCAAGTAAGCAAGATGTTCTCATAATGCAATCATGAGAGTTTTCTATACCCCCCACTGTGGAAAGCATTCTTATTAACACAATACCCACAACCCTTGCACTTTCATAATGAAACCAATACAAAAGTGATTAACACATTTCGTGATTGAATTTAGAATATTCATTTTACCCTTTTAAAATACTGTTTCAGTACAAACTAGACCGCCAATACGAATTGATGATCCTACAAAAGATTGATTAGCATTTTAAGTTCCTATAGTGCTTTCCCCTGAGGTTTCATGGCTTTTACTGCAGGATGTATTAGGAATCAGTAGATACTACAAAATTATAAGTAAATATATTCTATCATTTGTAACACTGAATATATTTTAAAATAGGATCACATAAAAAAACAGGAGTTATCATCCTTGATCCACACAGCAAGTAGGCACTTGTGTGACCTGCGTGGGCCATATAGTAGGGTGCCTGTATTTCCCTTTGACACTTCTTGACTAGGCATTACAGAGCTCAACCAGGAGCAAGAGGAACCAGTATCCGGATATATCTGGGTAGAAAAGCTGAGACCAGGAGGCAGAAATTTCGGATAGTCTATCAATGGATCAAGATGTTTGGAAAGAATATGCTTTCGGTGGATTTCTCCAATATTATGGAGTCATCTTTTCTGACACTATCTTTTAAACCACAGTTGAAGAAAGATACAACAAAGCTGAAAAGGGGCAGAGAAGGGCAACACATGTGATCAGGGGGTCCTGGAAACAAAGCCCTATGAGGAGAGACTGAAAGATTGGGCATGTTTAGCCTTGAGAAGAGAGGACTGAGGAGAAAGCAGTCTTAATAGCACTCTGCAAATATTTGAAGGCTTGTCACACAGAGGAGGGCTAGGATCTCTTTTTTCAAGTATCCCACAGTGCAGGACACAGAATCCTGAGCTTTAGCTACAAGAAGCCAGATTCCGTCTGAACATCAGGAAAAACTTCCTGTCTGTCTGAACAATGGAACCCCTTCCCTAGAGAAGGTAACATCAACTGAATTAAATGAAAATGCAAGTAAAGAAAGAAACCAATGTAGTCTTTATAATGCATATAGCACTGGGTCAAGCGTTTCTTAAGCCGGTTTTACCATTTTTTGGGTACAGCCTAATATTACACAAGAATGGAGAGTTAAAATTCAAATTAAATTTCAGCCATCAAGCCAGCTGCCCTATTGCTTTTTCAACATACAGGACATTCAGTAGGGAAACATTTCTTAAAATGAAGTATTTTTGTTTGTCGTGTATGCATTAACATGTAAGATGTCCATTATCACACTTATTCATTAAACATACCTGATTTTATTCCTCTTGATTTTGCAGGAGAAGTGACAGCACTGATTAAGTTACATAATGCTGTTCCTGTGCTGACCATTTTTTGAATGTCTGGTGCCTTTGACTTCCATTCATCTTCCAAATTCTAAGAAAATAGCAACGGTTATTTTCAAGCACGATACTTGTTTTTTTAAACTCAGGTTTCCATTCTGAAGGGCCTAACATGACTAGAAATAATGTCATCATGACACATTGCATACTTCTATCACCATCTACCCATGATCTGTCACACCTCATATTTGGTCTGCAACCCTTTTAGAAAGTAAGATACCAGAGCAAAAGCTAGAAGCCCTGCTCTCCTGTAGTACATACATGTAAATGAGATGTGGATATTCACTAGTGCGGGAAGCGAACTTCATCTGATCATCAGCTCAATATGACAAACAGCTTTAAAAATCCAAAATGGTAATTTAAAAAGTAATGATTTGACTTGCAAAAGGGACGGTCAGCCAATGCAAAATTGAAATACAAGCAGTATATATGCTAAAATTCAGATTTAGTCAGAATAGATTCACTAAAATCAATGAAATACATGATTAGTCAACTGATTTCAATAGGCCTGCTCTAGATGTTACTAAATTTGGATCTAACCCAGTTATTAGATCCAAAATACAGCAATTCCTTTGTTACTATTTAACCATGTCAATTCTCTTATCATGAAAATGAATCAGATTTTGCTGAACCATAGTAAAAAAAACCAGTTCAGTCCAACAAGTGGCTGCAAGTTGAGCTGCCTGTCTTATAAGAACTTCCCCATTTAATAATTCTTTTGCCTGAGTAGCTCCCTCCTTTGGAATAGATGAGAAAGTCCTTGCATGAAGAGATTGTCACATTTCTTACTTTAATCTTCTTGGTTTCTGAAGCATAAAGTACAATCTCTGTTAGAAAACATTGCTTAATAGCTATGCACATCCTATTAACTGAAGCATTGTCTTTAAGTAAAAGGAACAGCTCACCTGGGTGCTTTGTAAATGTTTCTTTAAAGTATCAGTATTTAACAAAGGTTGAGTTTCTGGAATCCTCTCAGTCATTTCATCTATCCATTTCTTCAAAGACTCGACATGAAGCTTGAATGTATCCATTTGCTGCTGGCAAGAGGACACACCCTCTTCTCTAGATAATTAAAAACAATACTTAAAGTTTATAAGAGATTTAGTTTGTTGTTCTCTGGATTATTTGGGGGAAACCTTCATGATAAGCCTATGATATGAATTGCCTTAACAGCACCAACACATGCAGAAGTCATTCCAAAAAGTTAAAAAGAGGCCTTAGGTTGGAAAAAAAATCCTAAAACATGTCTAGTACCTTTGTGTGTGCGCAAACAGTTGTCAGTTCAACCTTCTGATGGAAGCCCCATGCACTACGTCAAACATGGGTCTGTAGCAAGGTTCAGGAGAAACCATGGTGGGAATGTGAGCTCTGAAACCCACAATGTACATGGAGAACACCACACACAGCCCTTTGGATTTTAGCCCAACTGGTGACATTTTCTCTATGTTATTATTCTTAGTTTGACAGCCTCTTAATTCTGCAATAGCATTGCAAGCCAGTAAAGTATTCTTCACTTTATAAATTGAAAAATACATTGCTACTACCCTGTGTTTGTGTAGGGCATAAGCAGGCACACTTGTTTCTAAGGTTGCTATTTTTAATCAGTGTAATGGATTACACCTCACTTTATTAACTGACCAGGAAATGGTTTAAGTAACCCTCAATTTTCCTTGTAGTGTGACAGTGTAATATGAAGTAAAAGTGAAAATATTAAACACTGACCTTTGCATTTAGTGCCATGGAATCTTTTGTTATTTTTTTCAAAAAGGTACATCTAATGAAATATTGGCAATATGTACTCTACTTAAAGATGCATAAATTAGAAGGCACACAGATAATTAGAAAAATATTCAAAATATTTCATCACTATCACGTACAGTTCTAAATTAAGTTACTATACCCACTTTTCTCGTATAGTTTCTTCCATTTCTCTGAATTTCTTTGACAAGGCATTTACTTTTTCTAGCACTAATGACTTGTCCCCAGGAAGAGCATGAGAAGAAAGTTCTTCAATGAGGTGTTGCAAAACTTCAAGATCCCTTTTCTGCTCCATCAATTCCGTGTTGGTCTCCTACAAAATGGACAAGAAAGTAATTGCTCTATTATACTTGACTGCATGACCTAATGTTCAAAGTTCAGTCCTTGAACTTAGCAAGCTCCTTTATAATTGTGGATGGGGTTCTTATATCCTGTTTTACTGTTTGATAAGATAGAGTTACAAGATTCCGATCAATGGTAATTTACTTACCTGCACATATAGGGACATTTCAGCAACATCCTTTCCTGGGATGTCAGCATCACTGAGGACTTGAGTTTTCCTGTCTAAGAATGACTGAAGTTTGTCAGACAGGCACTCAAACAGCTCCACTTTGGTCTTCAAACCCTCCATCTCTTCAAGTTTTTTCTTGTGTTTGTTATTTGCTTCACAAAACCGCACTGAAAGTTCATTCATTTTAGCTTGTAAAGAGGACGCAGTGGATGGGTCTGCTGTTTCCAGGAATTTGTTCATTTTTTCTTTCATGGCATTCAGGCTGCTTTGACGACCTATCATGTCTTGTTCTAGTGCCTGAAATGGATAATGAAGTCTGAGAAAACAGCCAGGATCGTGTGTGTACCTCTCTGTGAGAAAAGTGATTGGCAACTGACAATGAGAAAAGTACTTCCTGAAAGCCACTTCTGCAGCAGTGACAGCCACAATTTCAAAGGCAAAATGGCAGGAGCTCCTATCCAAAGGGTTGAAAAGAACATCAGTGGTCTTTAGCCTGCTATTGTCCCTGTGCTGATCCTGCCAGTGTATCTGGACTACCACGTTCTGCAAGGACATCTGGTTTTCAGTTGTCTGGCATGCTAGCATAATCAACAAATGTGCTATAAGCCCTAGAGAAAGTCATTGTCTGAAAGCAACCTGAAGTTAAACTGTTTTAGAGCTTGGATTCTCTTCAAATAACTAAACTTGTTGGTAATGCAAAACATATTTTCATTATCTTTCATTCCTCCCCAAAAATATTTCATTTGAGTATTAAGTTCCTGGTCTTAGCAGCAAAGTGTGCCCCATTAAAATTCTATTTACCATGCTTTTACTAATAACGTCCTGAATAGCAGCAGAATTCAAAGGCAGTTGGCCTTGCTCCTCAAGGCTTTTCTCGACACCATTCATCCAATCAAGCATTTCATCCAATCCATCCTGTACGCTTAATGAGCGTGTCAGAGTGATCTGGAGTTTCTCATTACGATTGTTCACTGCTTTGGATAACTGGCTGTACTTATCCACAACAGTATCTGCAAGAAACAAGTATAAGAATAAGTGTACATAGAATCAGAGGGTTGAATCCTGGTATGGTAACAAGCTGCCTTTAGCAAGTTCCACTAAGGGTCAGTCTAACCCAAAGTGATTCACTATAATGAGCAAGGTCTCAGGCAGAAGTCTTTCCCATTCCTCGTTCCGAAGATCCTTTAAGTCAAGGGTGCACAACCTGCAGGCCTGGTCTACATGACCAGACGGGTTTTGCAGCTCCCGTCTTCCCATCACCAAATCAACTTCCCTCCGTGCTGCCACTGAAAAGTCACTGACATTACCACTTCTGCAGCACTAATGGCAATCTGAAAACAGGAATGCCCACTGGAGCTGCCAGCAGGGGAGTCATGTGGCAAATGGCAGCATGAAGTGCCAGCCAGTAGATCAGAAGGAGGGAGCGAATGCTTCCTCTTCCCTCCAGCAGCCCTGAAGTGGCCCATACCTGGCATTAACCGACAGGTAATCAACTGGAATTAGTCATATGCCACTCCATCTTATTGTTAATTACAGTGTTTTGTGGTATGATGGTAGATGAAGTTGCTCTGAATCATGTATTTTAACGTGTTTTTAATATTAATATGTGAAAACCCATATATCAACACTCAAACAACTGAATATTTCTACTTCCATGCCACCATTAGCAGCATGCACCCTGTGGTCCCCATGGCAGTCCCTGGGAAAGGATGGGGCTAACACCTCTGCTTCCTCTTCAGAGCTTGGGAAACAGCAAGTACATTCCAATACCCATTGAAGTTGTTGGGAGGAATAGAGGAGACTTGCACCTCCTCCTCCCTCCCTCAGCACCTCCTTAGCAGCCTTCCCTGCAACTCCAGTGATTTTGTCTGTGTGTGTATGTGTGAGTTTCTGCATGTGAACACACAGTTCACTCCTGAAGCCAGATGAAGCCCCTGGGGCCAAAAGAACTGCGTACCCTTGTCACCAGAGATACAGGAAAAGTTTCTCCAATACAGACAGCCACCCTTTATCCCTCTGTCAACTGATGGGGTCCGAAGACAAACCAACAGCACTCCAGGCAGTGGTGGTGAGAATTGTAACTTTTTGTGTGTTGGTCTCCCCCAGCGTCATGTTCTAGGGAATCATCAACAGTTTTGAAATGTAAGTCTCAAATGACTGGGCAACTGATTAGTTGTGCTTGTGCAAGTGAAGTTGCACAACTGGCTGCAAATTTCACTTGCACAACCCTTTATGCAAACAACAGTATGTCTCTTATTCCACCCAAGCATAAGAACATCTGTGCAGCACAAAGATTTGGCAGCGCTCCACTAGTGGTATTTGAGTTTGCAAAATGACACTCTTGGATACTGCCCACTGTTTTGAGAAGCAGAAGACTATGCAATGCCCTGCATGCATTCATCTTTCAAACATGTTGTAGCACATTTTCCACAAAATCCTATGTCCTTCTTTTACATATTTTATGCAGCAAATATCATACACTAATAGCTAAAAGGAAAATATTAGATGGAGGACTGATAAAACAAACCACCAAAAATCTAGCAGTTTAAGCAGTGACAGGCATAACAAGAAGAGGTACAGCAATATTTTAATACAGGAAGTTGTAACTCCAAGATGTTAAACAGATGGATGTCACATACTTCAAGGCTGCAACCAAGGAATTAAAGGCTTAGGTCTGCATTTTCAACTTTCTCTTGTGTCTTTAGGTCTTTATATGGATTCTTGTAATCTCATATGGTTTGTCTGCTAGAGCAGAACAGATATATTTTTACAAAGAAACCTCAACCAGCTCAGATATCATCCTCTCGAAACTCTGCTTTTTGTTGCAGGGCAGGGGGAGGGTGGTTGCTCATTTAAACCATGTCAAGCTGATGGCACATAGACCACATCTCAAGTGCTGATGTCAACCCTTTGCTCTCAATTAAATGCTCATTGGTTGCTGTGAGCTATGCCAAACTGCCAGATGAAGCAGCTTTTGGTTTAGTAGTGTCTTCTCTGTATTTAGGTCAATTCACTTTATGATTTCTTGAAAATGCCTGGCCGAGGTAATGGGCCTGGCCGAGGTAATGGGCTGGATGAGGGCCAATAAACTGAAGCTCAATCCAGACAAGACGGAGGTCCTGTTGGTTGGCGGATCGGGCTTCGGAGAGGGTGAATTGAACCCAGTCCTGAATGGGGTTGTACTCCCTCTTAGGGACAAGGTCCGCAGCTTGGGAGTGCTCCTCGACCCGGAGCTTTCACTCGAAGCTCAGGTAACAGCAGCGGCGAGGAGCGCTTTCCTCCAGCTTCGGCTGATTCATCAGCTGCGCCCCTACCTGGAGTACGACTGCCTCGCAACAGTGACACATGCGCTGGTGACTTCCTGTCTTGACTTCTGTAACGTGCTCTACGTGGGGCTACCCTTGAAGACGGTCTGGATACTTCAATTGGTTCAAAATAGAGCTGCCAGGCTGCTGACGGGGACTGGGCGTTATGTTCACATGACTCCAGTTCTCCGTCAGCTTCACTGGCTTCCCATTGAAGTCCAGGCCCAATTCAAGGTGTTGGTTATGACCTATAAAGCCCTAAACGGCTTGGGTCCTGGTTACCTGAAGGAGCGCTTACATCCATATATGCCCAGCCGCCCCCTGAGATCGGCGGGAGAGGCCCTTCTCCGGGAACCCTAGGTGAAAGAAATGAGGAGGGTGGGTACTCGGAGGAGAGCTTTCTCTGTGGTGACGCCTAAGATATGGAATGCGCTCCCCAGAGAGGTCCGCCTGGCGCCGTCGTTATTTGTTTTTTGGCGCCAGGCGAAGACCTTTTTATTTAAGCGGCATTTTAAATGTTAATATTATTGAATTTTGTCTGGCCAGGGCGGCTTATTTTATATTGTATGGTTGTATTTTATTCTTATGTTTACATTTTTAATTTATGATTATAATTATTTAATTTATTGTTGTAAGCCGCCCCGAGGCTTTGGCGAATGGGCAGCATAAAAATGTTTTAATAAATAAATAAATAAATAAAATAAATGGCTTCTGTGATTTTATTTCCAAACGGCTCTTTCTATGGTTGATGTTGGCAACTACAATTCCAAGGTGTGTGTGTGTGTGGGGGGGGGGGGGTTGATAAGGTACATTTGCACAGTATGCCAACATTACAAGCATGAAGAGTGAGTAACAAATAACTGTTAGTAGCAAATAAGAAATAACATGTTTTCTTCTAAATGTTGATAGATATTGAGCTGATTTTGAAGTAGTCAAAAAGAGTTCTCCCATAATCAATTATAAATATATAGTGCTTCACTACATATATCTTTCAGAGTCCCATCTTTCAGGTGGGATGATGATGATGATGATAGTTGTGGTAAATCTGGGGCAGCATCTGTTATCCAGCTTTTGTCTAGCCCTCGGTGTCCGATTCAGCCTGAGAATTTGATCTAAAAATGGGGCTGCCAGGTCCAAGAACCATACACAAGCTGCTTTCTGAACTAGAAAAAATAGCACACTGTTGCTCCAGGTGCCCCTTAAAAAGAAGCCCACATGTCTCTGAGTCATTCTTCCTTTCCGACCCTGGGAAGGCGAAAGCTCTACCAATTCTGGCTCTAAAGTTCTGGCCCTGTGTACAGCTGGTAGCCTGCCAATGCCATTTTCCAAGCTATTCTTGGGAAGCAGCACTGCTTGGGCCTACAACAGTCACCCTTCTCAGTGGCACAAAAGGACAGCCCACTTATTCCTCTGGGTGTCTTCCTGTCTGCACAGTGCCGGGGCCTTCAGCATGGGGAGGAATGTCTGTGAGGAGGAGGATGACAACACAGTTGGGGGCTGAGGCCTGCTGCACCTTGGCCCAGGAGCCTCTGACTGCCTTGCCATGTGAAAGAAACTGGACATGAATGATGTAAATGATCTAAATTACGCTTTGTTGCAATTTAAAAGTTACCTGCATGTATGGGTGATGAAATGGGAAGTTATTAACTCTAAGCTAGCTTGGAGAAGACTTGTGACCAAAATATTCCATGCGTGGTGCAGTGGTTAAGAGCATGGGACTGGGACTCTGGCGATCTGGGTTCTAGTCCCCACTCTGCCATGGAGCCAACCGGGTGACTTTGGGCCAGTCACAGACTCTCAGCTCAACCTACCTCACAGGGCTTTGCTGTGAGGATAAGATTGAGAGCACAAGGAGCAGAATGACATAAGCCAATCTGAATTCCTTAAAAGGAAAAAAGGAATGATATAAACATACGAGATACATAAATATGGATCTGGAAACTCCTACAGGTTTCAATAGCCATTCACTGCCCGGCATGGGAGCCTGCTTTTTGATCAACATGATTGCTCAATGGATGCTAGGAGCTGCAGGACTTCTAAAGCTAAAAAGGCCTACAAGGTGTTCTAGCACATCACCCCCACCAGGCTGAGCTCAAGCACCTCTTCAGCACTTTAACCAGCTCACTGACTCCCACATTAGACTGGGACAGAGCTACATTTAAATATACAGATCTGTGACTGCCATGTGTAGTTTGGCCCTAAAATATAAGGTCACAATATTTATTTGTTGGTTCATGTCTTATATTTCTATCCCACCTTTTCCTGTTGCAATGACTCCCACCCACGCATATATGTATATAATTTATTCTCAGACCAACCCTGGGAGGTAGTTTAGGCTGAGAGTCAGTGACTGACCCAAAATCATCCAGTGGCGAACAAGCAGAATTCAGTTCTCCTGCATCCCAGACCAACACTCTACTGTACCGTGCTGGTTCACTCTAGCCAAACTTAAGCACAATTATTTACATATTACATTTTGATACTGGCCAATAGTTGAAGTTCTCTGAGGTTCACTATTAAGCTTGGAGTTGAAGTGTACCACTAAGCCTTACTGAGCTAAACTTGTGCTCTTCCTCACTGAAGATGTTGAAGCAAAGCCTGGGGAGACATCTGCTGGGATGCTCGAGCTCCACATTTCCTGCATCAAACAGAGGCAGGTATGTCAAATGGTCTACAAAGTCCCCTCCAACTATGATTCTGTGAGGAGCACTTCCACTAAAATCACTGGGACCTATAACAGCTAAATTTTGGCTGAGTTGTGCCCTATGCTCACAAGCTCAGAACAATGCTAAAAAGAAATGAATTGTGGAGGAAAAAAGTGAGAGCAAAGGTGGCAACTCTCATAGGGTATCTTCTGCACCCTCCAGATACAAGCAGTGGAAAAAGAAAACTGGGGAGAGATTCACTCATCTTACCCAGTGTACTCTGGATTTCATCTTTGTCCGGCAGTAGTTCTCCCCTGCTGTCAAAAAGCACTTCCGCTGCTTTTTTCAGTTTTTCTACAGCAACCTGGTGACTGGACACTACCCCTTGAAGCACCTGAAAAATTATACCATTGTTCAATTATATTGCTTCCTAATTTTTTAATATGCAAAAAATTAGCAATAAGATTTGTTGGTATATGTAAGGGGAAGACATTTAATCATCACTGAGATGGCTGTTTCCATTCTGTTCCGCTGATGAACTTGCCAGTGGCATCTTGTTGCCACTCTGATTGTGAGGGTTCTGAATTAAAGGTCCAGCATCAGTAATACATATTTCTTACTCTGGTGTGAGCAAGTAACATTTGCAGCCCATGTATCAGGATGCTGACTGTCCTACTGCACAGATCCTGGACGTTTCAAAAGACATACAGGAAAACGTTGCAGTGTGTTGTGCCCAACAGGTCAGACCACTCTGTTTCCCACACTACTATACTTATTGGCACGCAAACCCAACCTGTCTGCTGTTCCTCAGAGCAGAGCCCCTCTGTAATTGAGAAACAGGAGTTGAAAAGTGGCCAAACAGGTTATGATGCAGTTTTTAGTTCTCTTTTTCAATCCAGTACCAAAGTCTCTTTTTCTCATGGTGCAAAGCATGATTGCACAGTGACAGCCAGTGCACTAAAAAGCACCCTCTCACAATCAGCCATCACAAACAGAACTTTCCTCTCACATGAAAGAAGCACCTACTGATGGGAAGAAAATTTTCTTATCTGTATAAAAAGTAGAGTTATGTCAGGGCCTTTGGAGTGGGAAAGTGGGCAGACAGCAAGAACAGAGAATTCTGCTACACCTTTATCTGCACTTCTGCTTTGTGTCACAAGACTTATCTGGAATTTGGAGGATTTGAATAAAAGAGGTCCAGATAAAATAAGTATTTGCTGTACGTTCAACCTTCCTTCCATCCGCCCTTTCTTCCTTACCTAAATAAATGCCCATGCTTCTATTTTTTTCCAACTCACCAAAACTATTGGATTTGGATTATTCTTTCCTGCTGCAGTTTTAACAGTGAGAATATTGACTATGTTATAAATATTTGAAGAAAGGTCTAGTTATGTAGATTTACAATGAATTCCACATATGAATTCAACTTGTCCTCTAAGAATTAAAAAAGACCCTCCCAAACAAAGAAGAACCCCAAAGCCAAGTTTTAGTAGGGTTGAGTTTATCTCAAGGCCAGCGCCTCCAGGTGTTCAGGCATACCCTGGGAACTGACGGGGTCTGCAAGAGCTTGGAGGGGGCATGGGAGGGGAGCCAGATGGGCCTGGTATGATCCTTGACCCCATGATGAAGTGTCAGGAGAGGATGCCTAGCCAAGTTAAGGGCCTGTGTATGGCTAGGAGGCTTGCCTGTCTCCAGAAGGGCACTCCCAGAGAAGTACCCTCCAGGGTCACTGAAAAGATGGGTTCTCAGAAATAGCTTCCAGTTTGGGTTCAATAGACCACTCTGGGCATGCTCAGAGATTCTTTCTTTGCTGGCTTTAGCTTGCTGGATATAGACTGGAGAATAAAGAGCTTTTACCAAAGAACAGTGTGTTGTTTTGAAAGAGAGAAGAGGGCAACCTAGCTCCTGACACAGTGCATGTTACAGTGCCCTTCTTGAACTTATCATCAGCCTGTGCTTTAATGACTGTGAGACCATCGCTGTCTGATATCTAGCAGAAGGAGGAAGCACCTTTTTCACTCATTTACCTTGGTCTCTTCCAGCTGCCTCTGGAGATTTTGGGGGTCCACAGCAACTGGCTCAGACAGTTGTTTATTCACAGCTTCTTCAGTTTCCTGGAGTCCTGACAAAAGCCCAGAGGAGGTCTCCTCATAGTTCTGATATTTATCTACCAGGTCTTTGAGGTTATTTCCAAGGATACTGCACTAGAAGGGCACAGAAGAGAGTGGGAGAAAGATGTGTTTGAAGTTGTATTTCAAAGTACCAGACAGGACTTCAAAATGGCTTATAATCATTCAAATGCTTGGCTTACGTGTACTGAATTTTTTGTTGCACTGATAAGCAAGAGGCTCACATATCCCCTTTTCATACTTCCATCGCTACAGCAGAACAGGCAAATCCCTCCCACCCTCACTCTCTCACATATGCACGTACGCAGGCAATAAAAGGGCACCATGCATGTGGTCAGCTTGCAATCGGAAAACGTTTGCGTTCCCTCTTTGGCTGTTAACACCAGAAGTACAAACAGCAGATGACACATCACAGAGACAGCTGCTCTTGCAGTAATCTCACAATGCCCAGCACCACCCTCACACTGAGAAGCATAACTGTAGCCATCACAAACCTGAATGTTCATACCGACTTTGCTATAGCAGAGCAGGCTATGAAGGCTACTCAATGTGCATCTTGTGCTCTATGGGTTTAATTAATAACACGGACAGTGTGACTCGAGAATCCATTTTGTCCTAGAAGGCATAGCCTACCAGGAGGCCTTTCAAAACTTTGCAACTGCTACAGAGACAGAGGATGTCTAGAAGGAATTTGTTCTCTCCTTGATTAAAGAAGGTCATTCCCTACATTTAAGGAAAAAATGCGTGTCTGCCTGACTAGCCCAGAAGGGTACCTCTGAATTCACTAATCAGAAGCCTTGATACTGAAAGTGGTCTGATTCTGAAGTGCCAGAGAAGTCAAGCACTACCTGAACACCATTAATAATGCAATTTTGTTCTGAGCATTGTGCTATACTAGATGAACAATTCAGAAAAATGCAAAGAACCTCGCTGGCCAGAATGAAGCCTAGATTTCCTTGGTTTTAGCCCATCCTGGTTCCAGTTTCTGAGCCATCGAGCTCTTGGTTCCCTTTCTTTCAAATCTAACTACTTTGGTGCTTATTCTGCATTCCTCATTTTTTCTGCTTGCACTTGCCTCATATCAGTGTGTCCTGGTTCTAAGAATAACCCATCAGCCATTTATCTTGTTTACCATTGTTTTGATTTTCCTTTCTCCACTGAAAGGATAGCGCTAGATGTCAAAGACATCTAGAAGAAAGTCTTGTTTTATCTTGTTCAAAAGAAATTGTTTTGTCTTATGCAAATATTGCATGGAGTGTTTTTACTTTCATTTTAGTGGAATGGCAGCGCAACATTTTCTGATATCCCTTTAATCCTTCTCTTCTGACACTTGAATAATAAATAGTACAAGGTGAGTTTTTGTGGTTGTTGTAGTGGCAATTGTCTCCATCTAGTGGTCAAATTTGAGAAAGTCACAGCATGTAAATTGTAGGAGATGGTGAACAGTACAACTTGCAGTATTCGAGACAAGCTCATTACATTGTATGCAGTGAAAATACCTACATTGAAAATTTATGTGTTAAATGAACAAAGTTCTCATGAGGTACGTTTCTTTTAGTCTGAACTTATATATCATGTTTAGTACAAGCCACCAACTTTAATGTGCTTTCTAAAGTCATTCTGCATCTTTCCCCATATGCAAATAAACTTCCAGCCCTCTCTATCAGTCAGAGACAGCTACAACTGATTGTCCTATTTCATATCTTGTTGAAGCGTTCTGGGCAACTCAAAATCTCTCATGCTTCATTGTGAACATTGGCTGGTCCTAGTTAATGAAAATATTTTTGAGCTTTCATGTCGCAAAATGAACCAAGCACCTAAAATATGGTGGTATGAGGCTAGTTCTTTGTTTATTAACTTGCATGAGTAATGTTCCTGCAAAATCTTATCAGCCTAACTTTACACATTTGTCCTTGGGTCCTTCCAGCTGCATCTACTTGATGTTCACTACTCATAATGTATAAAATAATATGCATTCTAACATGTACTTTAGTATGTATGTGTTACATGCTATATTGATAAACCTGCATTTTATTTTCCTTCCATAAATATCTAACTCCTGTGTTTGTCAATCTTCTTCTGATGTAGCGTTGGTATTATTTAACTGCACCTGGCATATTGATATTAAGCTGGTATCCTGCACAGATTTGCTTGAGAGTAAGCCTACTGAAGACAGTGGGCTCCACCTTGGAATTAAGATTCATAAGATTGCACTGTTAAGACTCTGGCCAGTGGTACAAATCAAACTCTGGCTTAAGGATCAGGACTGCAACCAAACCAGATTAATGTAACACAGCTTGTGCTCCTATATTCCATGTGTGGGCTCTGATTCTACTTTATTTTCTAATAGGAGTTTGGAAACATATTGTGTTTTACAGCAACCTGGCTTGGGCCTGGCCATGTGTAATGCCTGAGATGAGACGAGACAACATCTGGTCAAATCTCTGCTTAGCCATGAAGCTCACAGGGTGACCTGCGTACAAATGCACTCAACCCAACCTATCTCACAGGGACATCGTGAAGATAATGTGGGGTGGGGAGAGAGCCCTTGTCTACCACATTGCAGTCCTGGAGAAAGGGTGGGATATAAATGAACTTAATAACCACAGCACTGAAACAAGGAAAAGGACCCTGGGGGATTCAAAAGACCCTGGGGGGCTATTTGCAAGCAAACCATTGTATCTCAGCACAGACCCTCCGATGCACATGCACACAATTTACCTTAGAGTAGAGAGATTTGAAGCGACCGGTTGCACTGTCCAGCTTATTCTGTACCTCTGTATAAGTTGATGAAGTATCGATTCCTTCTTTGTCATATTTGACACCTTCTCTTTGGTTGCATGACTTAGCTGCATCCAATACTCTCTGCCCAGAAATGGTGATGTACCGCAAATCCCCTTTGTGAGAAATGACATCTTCAGAAAAGCTCTTTTGCCTCTTCAGTTTGACAATAATGCCAGCTGAGTCCGATGCACCTGCCTCCAGGTTGTCAAGCTCTTGCTCAGCCTGCTGGAGCCAGCACTCAAACTCATGGTAGTCTGCATCAAACTTCTCAAGTTCCTCTTGCAAAGACCGAGTTAGCTTTAGCTTTTGCTCTGACTCGGCCAAAGCAGTTTCATACTGGACTTTCAGTTCCTTCATGTTCCTCTGAATCTTTTCTTTTTCCTCTGGAGAAAGATGGTGCCCTCGTTTCTCAAGCAGGGCTTGGGCTGACTGTGTAGCTATAATAACAGCTTGCTGCTGTGAAATAATTTTCTCGTGTTGAGCCTATGGGGAAATGCAGATAAGCACATCAATAGCATTGTGCTCTTGTACATGACCAATTTCTGAGCAGGTCCCCGTTCATAGCAAGGTACTTCCTCAAAGATAATTCAGAAAGTTATGTGTCACAGGTACGTCAGCAAGTCCTATCTGCCAGCCCCAAATCAATCTTCTACCTGGAAGCATTCCAATGTGCATGGAGGAGCCTTCTCATTGACTTTGGTTTGCATCCTCTAGCGAGAAGGAAATGTTTCAGAACAGATTGCTCCCCTCCCTTGGACTCACATATCTCCTCCCAAGCCGTGGTGTGCAGTTTTGCAGAGGAGAAGATGGAGAAGCCCATGTTGGATCCAACCCTTTATATCAGGGATATCGCCTCTATGTGCACAGTGTTACACATGCACAGAATTTCCCAGAACACTGATGCCATTGACTTGCTTTATGTGTAATGACAAACCAGAAAATGCGTTGAATGTAGATTGTCATTGACTCATGGATTGTCAGTGAATCATGGGTTGTTGCTAAATCATGGGTTGTCATTGCACACAAACACTGCACTCGTTTTTCACTATGGATTGTTAACTGCAAACTACTCAAAAAGAAAACCCATAGTTTTGTTGTTAATTAGGACTTAACTAGGGTTCTTCACGTAATTAAACCATAATGAAGGGTCCACACAAAACAACTATTCACAGTTCATTGATAAGCCATATTATGGGTTGCTGTTATATGGAAACCACATTTCTGAGTAAATCCTCATGTTCACAGGAGTTGAGTGAGCACACTGACTTTCACATGGAACCTGGTCCCAGACTGAGTAGACTGGATGTGCCTCGAGAAAGAAAAGAACATATGAAGTCGCTTCAGCTCTCATCAGCTTTGAGTACCTTCAGCTTAGAGCTAGAGATGAAAAAAAACCCCTTTCTGAAAAATCTTGGAAAAGTTAGGAATTAATATGCTCTAAGGCTTGCAGTGCAGTGAAAGTCACTCTCACTAGACATACCAAGAGCTACTGGATACAAAGCGCCTAGATGATGACTCTTGACTGCACTAATCCTTGGTTTGCATACTCCAAGACGACTATCACAGCAGACATTGGCCAAGCATTTCAGTGGTTTTGGAATAGCCCAGGGATACGCCTGGATCATACTAAATCTACTTCATGCACTTTTCTGAGCAAGCACAAAACGGATAAATGTTTACATATTAACTACTAATATACACATTCATTACCTTGGCTTTCTGATATTGCATGTTGAGGTTATCTTCTGAGGGTTTCAACTGTCCATCTACTTCAGTTTCATTCTCTTGTTGAATTTCTAGCAAGTTACCATTGACTTCATCTTCCTCTTCCACCATACTCTCTACATTCCCTTCTTGGAAATGAGTGCCATTCTGTTTGATTGCTGGTTGGCATTTCTTGCCATGTTCAGCATCTTTGTCTACATTTGACAACCAATCCAGAAGATTTTCTATTGTACTTTTACTTTCTTCCAGCTGTTCTCTAGCTGCAACCTGCACAATTTAAGTTCAAACTTTAAATCTTATTCAGTCACAGACAGCTCAAATGCAGATATTTAAAAAGTAGATGATACTGATACCTACATTTAGGTTAGAAATCTGGGTTAGAAATTAGAGGACATTTTCCACCTATTACAGAAAAACAATCCTAGAATACACTCCAGAAAACAACTACGACACAAAGAATTTTAATTTCATACCTATATGGCTGTACTTATAACAGTACTTATATGGCTGTTACTTGAAAGTAAAATGGCACAAATAATACCCCACGTGGAAACAGTTTGCATGGAGTGGCTTGCCAAATAGTTTGGCCTGTTTCAGGCATGCCAGCACTGTCCTTCCCAACTCTCTTCCTCTCAGAATTTGTGTTGGTGTGGCTGAAAGCGAAGAAGCCACACAAAGATCTGTATGTACAGAATGGCACTGGGACAGCCGTTGCAGCACTAGATGAACTGGGTCCTGGTAAAGCCACTGGATCCCCTACAAAATGCCCGAGGGCTGTGTCAAATGGGATAGAATCTGGCCAGTATTTTCAGCCCTATTCCTCTTTATAACATGGGTGTGCACAGTGAAGTATTCACAAAGTTTTCACAACTGTGCATACCACCAGAAAGTTCTTTTCATCTGTGGTGCCACCAGTTGTAGATCTCCTTCCCCAAGAATGCTTGCCCAGCACCCAGTTCATTCCTGTGTAGGAGTTAGGTTAAAATATTTGAATTCTCTCAGGAATTTTAATATTTTGCATTTTAAACTATGGAAGGTGAAATTTAAATACTGGAAGTGAAGTTCCTCACTCTGCAATTTGTTCTTTACTTATGTTCTTTACTTTATGGCTTTATATTTTCCTTGTTTTTGGTTTAACTTTCAGTGTAAGTGGCCATGGGGAAAATAGTTATGAAGTGCAGTATATAAATCAATCAGGCATCAACGCCAGATTATAACTTCCTGAATGGCTGTTTTCACATCCTGGGTGGGCTTTACTTTTTGTAATCATCAGTAGGGATCTGAACTCTAACCTTGACGACGGTTGACGAGTGTGCAATGCAGTCCTCTTATGGGGTTGTTACTATCACTGTTGTAGCAAGAGCAACAGTAAGAATTCCACTTTGGCTAGCAAATGCTTGCTAGGATGGTATCCACCATTTTAATTCCCACCCTGAAGCCTATGCCGTATCTCTTCAGAACAATATGGTATCAGTCATGAAGGCAACAGAGGGAAATGAAGACAGCAAGTGCAGCTACTGGCATTCCAGCACTGGACCAAGGAAGAAATGGTTGCTATTTAATGTTGAGATGATGGGACCAGATGGCTACAGCTGCCATTTGGGGTTCATAGCAGGGTCAGTGGTGAGCCATCCACCTCAGGTTGCTGACCTGACACCACGCCTGTTCTTATGTTACACTCAATACGTGTTCAAACTGTTTGTACAGAAAGCTTCAGAAAAGATTTGTGTGAACTGATTTTCATTATGAACATAGTTTTTTACCTGTAAAAAGCAATGTTTGATCATGAGTTGCACAGTACATGCAACTTGTCAACACATAGAAATCAGCTCCTAGATATATGAGGTGTTTCCCTCAGCATGAAATTTATTAGCACATTTGGAGTCATAAAATGACTAAATGACTTCACATTGTCCACATTCTATAATGAAATAAGAGGCTGACTTTCCATATGGCAGGCCTCTATTGCTTTTTAAAGTATTATTATTACCAAACATCTGCTTGCCTGCAGAAACCTACAGAATTATGCATGTGCTTGCTCCATTCTATGCTTAGAAAAATTGAGAAAATCTGTAAGAATTATTCTAAGGTGTGGACAGGCATTTTCAGGCTCTTTCCCCAGGGTGTGATAGCCAAGGGTAAATCCCCCTCTTCAGGAGGAAAAGCTTCTAATAGAGATCTCTCTGACCCAGAAGAGATTGCAGCCATGGAAGCCCCAGCAATGCCCGCCTTGCCTCAGGGCCCTCAGCCCTACAAACAGGCCCTTCACTTCTGGAGGAGGCTGCACTGCCATCCTCAGCTTCCAGGTAGTTCTGAAGCCACCACCATGCCCCACAAAGACGGTCAGCCTTCATATGTGAGGGAAAAACTAGCAATCTGCCACATGAAAATGAATGGTTGGCAAAGAACCTTTTCTGTTTCCTGTTTAATGGCTGTTGTCACAGCTTTGTCCAGCTCCTTTCTGGACTCTTCTGCCTTCTGGCTAAGCAGCAAACACTTGGTCTTGGCTTCATTCAGCTTCTTTTCAAGAGCACTCTTGTCCTCCTGTAGCAGCTTTTCTCCATTTTCTTTCAAGAACATCTCTGTGTTTTTTACAATTTCTGCCAACGCCTGTGTATTTGCTTGCATATCTTTTTGTAACTCCTTGAGGAAAAATGACAACAATGATAGAAGTCAAAAGAAAGACTTAGCCACTTGTTTTTCCACTTTTGACATACTGGAAGAGCTTTGTCAAACATACAGCCTATATTTGCCTTCAGTTGTCTGTCCACCTGATAAGATTTCTGGGATGTTTCTACAGATTATGAGGGAAGGCTAGTAGAATGTTAACAATGCACTAAGTTTCACACTATGTACTCAAACAAGTCTCTGGATTGGGTACTGACACAGAGAAAAAATATTTTTATAGAGTGTTGGATCCAGAATTCTGCTGCATCAACTGTACTGACATAAGTACACCTCACTGCCAACCCCTTCCCAGGGTAGCCCCCTCCTGCCCCCTGAAAATGCTACAGAAAGACAAGAGAACCTGCTGAATGGGGTGAGTTTGGTGTGTGTGAGAGACAGAAGCTGGGGGAAAATCCCCTCAAAGTAGGCAGAAAGACCTTCCATGAGTAGAGTCCATCTTCTCATGGAAACTCCCTTCTTGAGGAATGAAGATCCTGGATCCAATCAATTGCCTACAAAGTGCTGCCGAAAATATTTCCAAAAATGTTTTATCTCTTTGCTCCATAAAATGTGGGTTCAGGACTGAAGCCTTAGGGTGCTTCCAGACAAACATTTCCAAGCATCACCAGTCAAAAGACATTGTGCTTCTCCAGTTTTTCGTTCTTGACAGATTTTTGTTTGGAAGCAAAAAGATGCAAGAAACAGTAGGGCACAGGCATATGGTTACAAGTGGAAGGTGATGTTCTCTGGGCTCCCCACAGCATTCTGTGGACAAGGCGGGCTGACTGTGCATGGAAAACCTTGTTGGAAGCACCCTGGAAGCACTCACAGATTTGTTCAAATGCTCACCTCTTGCCTGGCTTGATACTGCTGCAACTCAGCCTTGCTGTCCTCAATGACAAGGGCTTCTTTGTGGCCAATGAGCTGGTTTTCTGTTTGCGTGAGGAGATCACAGATCTCCTGCAGTTTCTCTGTGAATTCCTGGTGTTGCTCAGCCAAGTCCTAGTGTAGAATAGGATAAGAAATCTGAACAGGAGTGCTCAGAAGCTCTCCTAGGAGTTCATTTTCAAACAACCACATTGCAAAATTTTCAACAGACATAATTTCTGAATGTATGCTGTAAACATGATAGCCATTGTACATAGTTTAAAGAAGCTGAATATAAAAGATATGGATAAATCTCACAAAAGCAGTAAGTAAAGAGACCAGGTTTTGGATGGATTCCCCAGCAGAAGTCTGGCCATGCATTATACGGGTGAAAATCCAAATCTCTGAATGTCAGGAAACCTAGAATAAACAGGTATTAATTCTGAAAAAGGGATGTTGAAACAAAGGTTAGTTGAGAACTGTGCATTAGATCAGCTGGCATGTGTCATGTTACCTGCATGTAAAATGTTTTTGTGTTTTAAGCAATACAGAAGCAGACATGCAATGATATTCAGTCTCTTTTCCCTGCCTCCCCACACACACCAACTTTATTTTTTTAGTCCTGTTTTTCTGGAGGTGAAGATTTCAGGCCTTCAACATAAATGAGCAGTTTGCAGGCTAATGGAGCTTTTGGCTTTGGCTTTCTATTAGCCCTACTATTAACAAACTCTCAGACTTCCAAATGTACAACTACCCCTGCCCCAGAGGAGAGCTAGACAACCTGGGATCATCCAGATGTTTTGGACTACTGTGCCCATAAGCCCCATGAAGTATGGTACTGGCCAGGAATTGTGTGAGTTGTGGTCTGCCCCATCTGGGCTGCCCCATGTTGCCTAACCCTGCCATAGAGGGAATGAGCCTCCCTAGATGGGCAATAAGAAACACAGGAAGCTGTCCACGCTGAGTCAGGTCCTTGGTCCATCCCACCTGGAATGGCTGCTGCTCACCAACACTGGCTCTTCAGGGTTGCAGGCAGTTTTCCCAGTTTTCCAGGGTGTGTGGAAGCGCCACAGAATTCACCCCTCCAGCATTCGTAGACCTCCTTTCACACTCAGCCTTGCCAAAGGAAGTCCAGGAATTCTCATGGAACAAAGGCTGTGTGACTAGCAATCTTCTTCTGCCTCCTGTGCTGCAGCACAAATGCTGCTGCACAAGGAGTGGAAGAGGGACCCTGCCTATATAGCCTTTGTGTGAGGCTCTGTTCCTGGTGAGCACAGCATGGATGCTAAGCACATTCACCAGGAACATGGTCTCACAGCCGTGTCACATGGACTGGAGTCCAGGGAGCTAAGCCCAGGGAATCTGGCAGATTCCTATTCCCAAAATGGATTCTTCACACAGTCCTACCCTGGAGGTGCTGGGGCAACCCTGAGGCCTTCTTCAGGTGAAGCATGTTCTCTACCACCGTGCCCCGCTTGCCCACCCCCCAAGGCACCAGCAGCAGCTCTCTTTGGCTACAGAGGGCCAGCTCTTGGAGTTGCACAGCTACTTTCCCCAAGTGTGGAAGCATCAATGGTTGCTTGTCCATCTGGCCCTCTGAAAACCCTTTGCAGGGGTGCTAGGAGCCCAATTCTAGATTCTGCTGTGTCAGCTTTGTTTGTTCATGATTCAGTTTTATGGGCAAAGTTGACCACACTGGCTGGACTGAAAAGTTTTCATGTTTCTAAACACAGCCGTTAAAACAAAAGCAAAGAATGCTGCAAAAGCATGGTATCATGCTTCTTTAGGGATACTTTTGCTTTCAGCTTCGGATTAAGACTATAATTTCTGGATATGATGCCACACCTCCAATAAAATACTAAACACACAACCACTCAGAGAAGCAAACCTTCTGATCAACAAGAACTTGTGCTTCCTCTAAAAGAGTTTCAAAAATGTTCATCTGGGTTCTTATTGTTTCTTGCATCTCCTGGAAGTGCTTCTGTGTGGTATTTAAGAGCCTCAACAGTTGCTTGCTTTGGTTTGGGGAAAGGTCTTGGGCATGTTCAGAAATGAAAAACTGGATGTCTAGGGCTGTGGACTCCAGCTGCATTTTTCTACATCCAAGCTCTTTTTCAAGGTCCTGAAAATTAAGCAGTGAAAAATAGTTAACACAAAATGCATCTAAAGCTTGTTACTAGTTTTCAATACATTTAAAATGAGAAAAATAAACATTTGTCTAAATCAGGAGTGGGCAATCTGGGGAGATCTGGGGAGCATTTTTACTCCCCTCTGAGGCTTCCTCCCAGGCACTTTCCATTGGGTGCTGAATAAAGAATTGTCAGCTTGCTGCTTAAATTCTGCAGCACATTACTGAAGTGTGCTATAATGGTCAAACTTGGGTAGAAAGCCAGATAAATGTGATCTTTTTAGTACCCCATAGCGCTAAAATGGCCAGCTTCCCCCTGCCCCCAGTACACAGAAACCCCGCTGAATCTAGAGGTGCGGGGGGGGGGGCACACCAGGGAGCAGGCAGCCACTCCTGCTGTAATGTTGAAAGCTAGTCTACACAGGGAAAACATCAGCCTGGCAGAGATGTTGAGCACGTCCAAACTATCCAAACTGCCATTTACATTTTCTGTATAGATGTACTTGCTTGTAATTCATAATCCAGAATTTGTTGATGAATAGCTCCATAATTTTTTCAAATATCTTCATAAAAAGAGGTCTATGATACTAAACTCCATAACTAGAGATTTGGTGTCCCACATTAGAAATGTTAATGTCATAAATTATATTAAACATACAAGAAGAGAGGCTACAGTGGAATTCAAGATTATCTTGGAAATGCTGAGGAAGATAAAAGGAGTTGTTATACCAGTCTAGCCATTTGCTGCCTACAACCCTCAAAGTATGTATTTGAGAATCAGTCTCAATCTCGATCAGATTGTGGCTACCTTAATGCAGTGTCTGCAATATCCCTGGTGGAAACATATATAAACTATATGAAGAGTTTGCTAGGACATAACCTTATAGCCACTGCTTCCAGAAGTTTAGCCCAGCAGTGATCTCAAATAAGAATTATTTCCTATTGTGCAGATTTAGCGCTATTGTCACAATTCTAGTGCAATCTGCAGATGGGTCACCTGCACAAAACCTGACCAGACTAACAATGGTTGACCCAGGAATCAGTACTTTGAACAAGGGGATTATTGGTGACTGGTGCTGAAATGGAGTGATGTTCATCTGCAATACACTATATCTGGAAGGACTTCCATGATTATGTGGTACTTGCCTTGAATAACTGAAACCTTCGTTTCATTTCTTCCATAGCACATGCTTCCACTTTTAGGTTATTTGCTGCTTCACTCTTCTCTGTGATCCATTCTGAGAAGTCCTGTAGCTTAACTAAATATTCCTGATGCAACACTGCAAGTTTAGCCTAGAAAAGAAGTCAAAAAAGAAATTTTATTCCCAACAGATCTATGAGACCACTATATACCAGCACAACAAAGCTCCAAGTGATCCTTTCTGTATTACATCTTGCTGTGATAGGACAGATCTGCAAGAACATCCTACCAGTGATGGAGAACCTCTGGCCCATGAATAAGATGTGGCGCAGAAGGCCTCCCCCTTTGGCTCATGGTGTTGCCTCCTTGGACCCACCCCCTGCACAGTGATTAGTTTTTTTTCCCCAGAGCTTCCATTTGTGTCAATAGAAGCTTTTTTCATAGACTTTTCACTGTTCAGAGGGGAGGGCTAGGGTGGGGGCCAGCTTGGGAGGGAAGTAAAGAAAAGAAAGAGGGAAATGGGGAAGAGAAAGACAGACAGAAAAAAGATGGACTGGATTCAGAAAACATGGTAACCCACACTCAGTAGTTGAGTTATGGATTGAGTATACATTGTCGATGACTTGTGGATTATCGTGTTGTCTGAACAAGACTTGGTTTGTTAATCACAAGCAGCTCATGAGGAGAATGCATGGTTTGTCATTGATTAGGGTTCCCTTACAGTTGTGAACTGTGGGTTGTTTTGATTACAGACCTTGTTTGCTAGCTCTACTGGGTTCAGGCAACACAATACAATTTCAATAATTGTCAATGGCAACCAACAATTCCTGAGTGTGACTTCCCTCTAACCTAGTCTTTCTAACCTAGGGTTGTCTAACCTAGTCTCTGTGGGTTTGAGGCAGGAGTAAGAAACTAGCTCTTGCCCTTGGGGTGGGAGAGGTTACCTATCCCTGCTCTATACCACTTGTGGATGCAAAATCTATTTAATTTGGACAAATTGAGGTATATGGCTTCCCTAACACAATTCCATATTAGGAAAGCAAGTTCATTACATCTGAGTTACTCTTTCACATGGATGGAACTTTGTTTCTTTTGAGAATGGTTGAATAATAGGATTAAAGACAAATTCACATATACCACTTCATATTTCATCATTCATTACCTTATCAATGGATGATCCACTGCTTAACATGAATTTACTTCCATTTAAAAAAAGTTTGAGATGGCAAGTAAGTCCTGTTTGTGATTCATACATTCACTTCATTACTTAAAGTTGCAGCAATCAAGGAATGAAAGTGGCTGTATAAATTCACCATATAAGGACTCTGACTGCAATCCTCTGCACACATACAATTGAACACACAATACAGCTGTGCTTATTTCGAAGCTCTAAATTTGGAGTATAAATGATCCTTTCATTCAGATTAACTTCTACTGCATGGATTTAAAGTTAGATGGAACCAGCTGATAAATGTCTCATAGACTATAGTTTAACTAAATTTTACTTATATTTTATACTTGGGTCTGTTTTTAAGCAAATGTACTTAAGTCTGAACAGATGGCATGGACTGAGTTAAAAATCTGTATCACCAATGAAACTGCAGGCTATGAACCTACCATTTCAGAGTCTACTGCAAAGACTATTTGCTTTGCTCGCTTTGAAGACATCTCACAGACCACAAGGAAATCTTTGTTCAAATGTTCATAGGTTTCTTTTAGGTCCTCAAACTGCTCTCTGGGAATATCTTCATGGTGATGCTTTAGAAACTCTTCTGCCAGCTCCATATCTTTCCGCAGAATAACAGAAAATGCAGTGATTCCTGATTCGAATGACTACAACAACAACAACAAAGTAATTTGCAGATGTGGTCTATTATGTGTGCAACTAATTAATTATATCTTAAGTTTTTTCTGTGTGTTAAACAAGAGTAAAGAACAAGACTATGCATTTTAGAGAACAGAAGCGCCATTAATCATACACAGCAGAAGTTGCTGGAGCTTTTTGATGAGCAAACATGGTACATGCTGCACTCAAAATGGGAGCTTGACCCTGCACTTAAATCCCAGCTCAGTCATGGTATTCAAGTCACTATGTAACTATTGCTTAAGCTAACTCAGCTCACAGGTCGGTTGTGAGTAAGCATGATACTTTGCCCTCAATTCCTTGGAAAAGGGGCAGGGTAGAAATGAGATGAAAATGTCACCAAAAAGGGCCATGTTATTTTAATACTCTTTCACTGATCATTACTGAGCTAAAGGTGGATATTTTTGTGATTATTATTTCTCATTAATAGATGCTATAATTTTTGATGTACTTAGAGAAATTTAAATAGTGAGGTGTTGTTTTTGTCAGCTGACCAATGTGGATATAAATTTCATGGCTTGTGGAATGTATTAAATAGATTTGGTATTCCGATGACATTTTGCAGATCTTTACTATATTGTTATACCAATGACCTGGTTTTTCAATGCTCTTGTGAGCTGCATTAAGTGGACTTTTGTAGTGAAAAGTAGCTAAATAAAAATAGAATACATGGCAATTTGTCATTACGTTCTATGTAAATAATATAAGCTCACCTCTAACTGCTCAAGTTGCACTTTTAGGGATTCCAACTCATTACTGATGGGTTGCAGATCATCCAAAAGGAATTTCATATTTTTAATCTCTGTCAAGTGTCTTCTCAAATTCTCTGTCAACCAAGAACAAGGCTGCATACTACCGCATAGCTAGAAGAAAGATTGAATGATAACTCATGTGAAAATATCTGCAGCTAAGCAGCAGAGAAACATGATCTCTATCTTCATTACTACTTACTTGTAAAAACAAAAGGAAAACAGAAAGGATATTGATATTTGAAACACAGCAGAGGTTCATTCTACAATAATGCCAACAAGGGCACTATTGTCTCCTTGTAATAGCTTGTTGAGTGCATATTGGTAATCTACATTCCATTTTTGTTTATGCTAACAAATGCAAACACTAACATGAACCAAACATATGCTTGCTTAGGTCAAATGAGTATAGCAGTTGCTACTCACCATGCTCCTTGGTACAGATTCCTGCATTTCTATAGCGTCATCAGACAAGCATTTTGATGGATGAGGTGGCTCATCAGTCTGTTGTTCTTCGCTCACTGCAAGAGTCTTCTTACATGGAGCAAAGTTCTGTGCAGCAGCTTCTGGTTTTAATCCTGATGAGCTTCCACCTTCACTTGAGGTATGGCCGAACTGCAAAGGTTTCATCAACTGATCTCTTTCAGTCTGGGCCTTCTCATCCACTGCCCAGCCTGCACTATCAGTTCTTTGACTGCAATGATCTTGCTTCAGTATATCAAGCAGGAGGTCAGGACTACTGTTGTCCAGCCAACTATGTGGGGAAGAACTATGTTTGTTGACATGTGGGCACAAAGGAGGGGCTGCCGAGGTAGCTGTAGTATCATCATTTACATTTGTGTCATCTGATTTATTAGAAACTTCACTTCCCCATGGTGTGTAATTAACCATTTTAAGTAAATTTTGCATTAAAGTTCTTGTGCCAGTATAACTTAAAGGTTCATCTTCCTGCTTGTAGTAAATACGGCCATCTTTTATTTTGTCTTTAAGTATATTTGTTAAGCTTTCAGGTAAGGTACCCGACACTTTAGAAAAATGCATTTCCTGTTCCTTCAGTGGGGAAATATTAGGAAGTGTCACAGCTTTTTGAGACTGTTGCATGCTTTCACTGATGCTGTTCATCAAGGAAGTAGACTCATGGGCTAGAAAGTTGTCTTCCTTGACATTTCTCACAGTGTTCTGACTAACTATTGCTTTCTGTTCAATGTCATGCAAGCTACCATCCATGGTGCCCAAAGCATTAAAAGATAAGTCTCTTGCCTGCAACTGTTCCTCAGAACAGACTTCATTTTTCTTATTTACTTCTCTAAGACTGTCATGTTCCCTATTGTCCAGGTTACATTTATAGCTTTCGATTTCTCCATGAGATACTTTAGGTTGAATACTACCCTCTGCTTCTTCACTACCTTTAGCTTTCATAGGTAGAACTGATGCAAGAGATGAAAGCAGTGGGGATCTCAGATCTCCTGGTTGCTTTCCCCCCTTATCATTTACACTTCCCCCTACCATTAGCTCCTCTCCATTCTCTTCACTGTCTTTTCTAGTATCCTTAAGGGAAAATGAATCTCCCTCCCTCAGTGCTAAGATATCTTTGGCTTTTATATCTTCTGCACATTGTTTTAAATAAGAAGAAAGATCAAACTGCTCTTCGTAATTCACTGATCCATCCATAACAAAACTGTCAGAGTGTGGAACTGAGGTAGCTTTATTGGAAATTTGGTCAAGACTTGCTTTCTTGTCACTTAAGGGAATAATTTCATGTTCATTTTTAATAATCAGTGAATCAATCTCTTCAGGGCTTCTACTTGGTTCCTGGATAGTATCTTCTTTTGGAATCCACGCTCCATTGTTAATTTGTTTTAGAGTGTCCATTTCTACTAGTGGCATATTGGTGACTGCTTGTACTGATTTCCCATCTTTTGCTTCCTGCCTTTTCTCACAGTCCAAATGTGGCATTGGTATCTCACCAGGGGTTTTAACACTGCTGTGATCAGTGTATAAGGTGCACTGAAGAGGTATGTCTAATTTAGCCTGACTGTCTTCTGTGTTCTCTAATATTTCACTATTGCTTATGCCTAACTGGGAGGTTTCGCTGTTAGATAACGCATGCTGGCTTTCCATGAAAGGTTTACAAGCACGCTCAGTTTCTGGCAGTCTTTCATCTTTACTTTTATATAGAGAGTCATTTTTAGCAACATAAGCTATATTTTGCTCATCAACATAGATGTTTTCAGAGCACAGTAACCCATTTTTTGAATCTAAGTTCAAATTGTTTTTAGCATGGATATCCCTGCTTTCTCTTGTCTCTGAAAGTTTTTTGTTGTCTCTGAGACACTGGACTCCGGTGTTTTTATCACGGCACTGTGAATAATGCATCTCCATCACCCCTTCATCCTCATAATCTGTGTCATCAGAAGTATCATAATCAAAATCTACAAAATCATAATTTTCAAAATCATCCTCATCTTTGCCATTGTCATTATCCAGATACTCATTTTCATGTTCTGTTTCACTAGAGTCACATTCTTCTTCCATTCTGATTTCTTCATACCCATTTCTTTGCATTTTAGTTTCATGAAACATTTCCTGTGAACTACCAAGCACCTTACTTTCTTCACTTTCTTTTTTCTCTGTTGGCTTTTCTGCATCTCCAATGTCTTCTGCCTTTTCTAGAATATTGCCTTGTATCTTTGCCTCTAATGCTGCTATATTTATAATTTCAAATGAATCAGTGTCACTTGATTCACTAAAGCATAGAATATTCTCCTCTTCTGTATTCAGGTTGAGCTGAAAAGATGGTTCTTTTTGCACTGGCTTATCTGAGGCTCCTTTGAGGACTACTGCACTGTTGCTGGGCTCTGGATTAGTATCATTTCTAAAAGCAGAGTAGTCACCCATGCTAGCATTGGCCAAGATAGAAACACCAGTGTTAGGATCCTTCTGTATGACATCACCAGCCTCAATGCCATCTTTATCTTGAGGCATGCCACAAAGGTCTTTGCCAGCTTTGTAGTCATTGCCATTTTCTGACTGCGGAATACTATATTTTGTTTCATGCAATGCCTCAGAAGGCTTACTGCTATTACCTTCCAAAACGAATCTGTCACCTGGAAATATTGACCTACTATCATCCACGGATGGCTCACCATTCCTCATACTAGTATTGACTTCTAAAGATGATTTAGGCTGGCTGTGAGTACCAATTTCAGTGAATGATCCATCTGGACATTTAGCACTGACTTCTGTTGGGGCCTGAGTATTTGCATCAATGGGTTTTTCCAGTGGAAGCTCAGCAGGAATAATAGTACATTCTTTCTGAAGTGGCCCAATGGATTTATCTTCGGTATATTCCAACAGTGGAATGCCAACAGAATTGGCATGATAATCATGCAAAGGTACACAGTAAGTCTGCTCTATGGGTTGCTCCCCATCTTTGATATTAATATCTTCCAGAGATGTTGCACTTTCCGTTTCAGGCTGCTGTTCCCACAATATTCCTTTAATCCAACTGATCTTGTCTTCCAGTGGCGGATCACTATTAGGAAAAGTATTTTCTAGCACAGCCATACTAGAGTTGGAGTTATCCTGTGATGGATGTCCATTCGTATAATATCTGGCTTCCAATAGTGATGCATCTTTCAAATTGGCATTGTCTTCCAACAAACACCCAGTAAATTTACTAGCATCATCTTCCAATGGTGGGTTAACACATACATTTGTCAGATCTTCTTCTGCCTGTTTATCATTCACATGAAGACAGCTTTTCAGCACACATGCACCATGCATTATGGAATGGTTTTCTAATGGTAATTTGCCATTTGTATTGTTAAAGGTTTGTAAAGCAGATCCACTGGTCATACTATCAATGTTATGTTGTAGTGAAAAGGTATTAGTTTCAGAATGCAATTTCCCACCTTCATTACAATCCCTTAAATTTTCCTGATTCAGTTCAGGTAAAGGCTTATTGCCAGATTCCATACTGGCATGTAAAATATCCTGAAAATCATCTTCTGCTTCACCCTTGATTAACGTAATTCCTTCTTCAGTTTGCAAAATTTCAGGCATGCATTTCCCCATATTGTTGACCATGCAATGTGAGGTATCAGAGCTCTCTTGTGTGCTCCCTTCTGTATGAATAGCTGAAGAATCGTTGACATCCAAAATGTTGTCTAAGATGTCTGAAGGACTGCATTCATCCCACTTTACTTTCTCTCTTTCTAGTATGCAAATATCATCTTCATTTATTCTTGAATTAAGATTTTCTTGTGAATAATTTGGAAGTGACCCTTTTGCTTCAACATTTCCAGCCTCTTCTTGCTTTGTTAAATCTTCCGTGGGTATTTTTTCAGAGCAGTCCAGCAAACTTCTACATACTTGTTCTTTCTCACAGTTCTGACTTGTATTGAGTACCTTTCTAGAACTATCTTCCTGTTTACCAAATAAAGTATTTACAGTACATTCTGACTCCTCACCAGCCACATTATGAAAAAGATTTTCTCCTGAGCTTTTTTCAGTCTGACGATCTTCATGAAATTCCTTCCTGTGCTTATCACTAGAAATGTTTTTAACACTTGTCTCTTGCTCTAAAGCACAGCTGGTGCTGCAGCTAAATGCTACATTTTCAGAACATTGGCCAGAACCTGGTACCCTTGAATTTACATGGGACTCACAAATTTGCCCTTCAGTCCCATCTGTATTATTACTATTTCCATCCATTAATAAAGTGACAGTGTCATTTAAGTCACCACAGTGTAACAAAAGTCTTTGCCCTGTGTTTGCATCCATACAGCTATTTATCATTAGGTAAGACATGAACAGCTTTTGAGTTTGAAGTGGGCAGTGATGTACAGGCTCACTAGTGTCTGAACCATCCACTTCCATTCCACTGTCATGTTGGGCTGTTGGGTGGAGTTCGTAAGAGGAGAGCCATGTTGCAACTCTTTTCAAAGAGACTGGTATATCATCTACATTAGGCATTTCGTCAGGTAGGGTAATGCTATTCAAGACTGATGAAGTATTCATATTTATGACTCCTTGCTGAGCAGCATTATCCAGGCTGATCACTTCACAAGTTTCTGGAATATAAAGGGCAGCTATTTTTTGCCGCCCACTTAAAATTTTGCAGGCTAGCTCATTAGTGATCATACCTTGATGCAAAGAGGTGGATACAGGAAATATTTCACCGCTATGTGGCCAGATCAACCCAATGAAACCTCGCTGTGCTTGAAGGACCAGAAGGGCACTAGTAGAAGATATCAAGTCGCACTGTACAGCCTCATCTACAGTCAAACGCTTTGATGACTCTGGACATAAGATCCCACCTGTCTGAACCTGGTGGGTCAAAATAGCACAAGCAGCATCCTGATCAATAACCCCTTCTTTCATTGCCTCTTCAACAGTCATTCTGTGTCCTGTATCTGGATGAATGAACCCGCCAGAAAGCAGCTGAGCACCCATCAGCCTGAACATGGTCTCTCTCTCTATGAGTCCTTCATGAGCAGCTCTCAAAATACTTATCTTCCTTCCACATTTAAGTGCTATTCTGCCTCTTTCCTGAGGAATCACAGGTAAAAGCCTCAGCCCTGCTTGTTTATGTTCTACAGTTCTTTCAAGCAGTTCCTGAAGGGAAACCTTTTCTGCAGTGTTGGGGTCAATCAAGTCTCTGCATGTGTCACGTCTTTCCAGGATCTTGGTATATAACGCTGCAGAAATCAGGTTCTTCTGGAAAGCTTTGTGCAGACTCAGTTGTTCTCCTGTGGCTGGTATCGTTAGATGCCCTCTAGAAAGCTGAGTCTCTAAAATTTTAATTGCCAGAGATTCTGAAATTAGATCCTGTTCCAAAGCAGCTACAACTGGAAGTGTTGTTAACTGCAGTTTTGAAATGGCCTTCTTGGCATTCTGCAAACCTTGCAGTTTGACAATAGTTTGTTCATCAACAAGTTCATGGACTTTTGCTTCTTCAAGGTCAAAGCTCCTTCCTGAGATTGGAGAAATTATACCTGATAAAATGAGTTGGCTCTCAAGTAACTGAATTCCAGTGTCATAGTCAATAAGGCCTTTATAAACTGATTGTAAAACTGAAAACATCTCTCCAGTGCTCTGATCAATGATGCCAGCTATGACTTGGTCCACCTAAGAGCACAAAAACAAAATTTGTCAGCATTTCATAAATTGTAAAGGGTTAATTGTTTGAATTTTAATATTTACCTGTATAGAGCATAGAGTCACTTACTTACCAGGTTGGAGCAAGACTGTGAATGTTAGCAGTTCAATGCAGAAATGATCTATGTCAGTGATTCAACAGCACACGGTGTGATAAAAGATTGAAACAGGACATGCATCGGTGAACCAGAAGCCTATGCTCTGCATATATCAATAGGGTTAGTGGATGATCATATAGTGAGCAAAAACGTTCCTGGAAGGCAAACTGTCATGCTATCTATGTGCTTTGTGAGAGGTTAGACTATTCAGAAAACAGTATGCAGTACAAGAACATACATGCTATTCATGTTTACAGCATACAGCACTTTTCTGAGGACACCCAAACAGAATCAAGTATTATAACCATGTAAATGCATTGCAACTGGTCTGTTGTGAAAATCATCCATGGGGAATATTTAAAATGTATGTGGAAAATAATCCTTCTTTGCATATCCCAACTGCTTTTTGCAGTGCCTTTCAGAGGCAGTACTGAATATAATGAACATTAATATATTATCTCAGTTAGCAAAAGCATAGGTTGCAAACTTATAGATGGAGCTGGAGTTTAATGAAGTTTTGAATTATAACATACCTTCTGAAATACTGCTAGGAAAATATAAAGAATGCTATAATCTATGGAACATTTGTGTGGTATCATGTTTCTGGAGCAGAATTTTGACAAGAATCAAAAGTATGGTTTTTAAGAAGAAGGGTTAAGTGATGTATGATTCTTTGCTCTTAGTTCATGCAAGGCACAAAATATTAAAGCTTGTTCATTTAATCACATTCAAGTCTATTTCAGTTACACAAACAGATTGAAATTTATCAGTCATTTAGTTCTGCTTTTGTTTGCACAAAACACACAATTCTATGCAGTTTTGCTTCTTTAGAATCAATACATAGTTCCACACCCATGCAAAAAACAAGACAGAAAAGAGTCAGCAGTATGACATTGCATACACCATGGTCGGAAATACAGGTTACCTTTTCCTCCATGTTTTCATCATCTACATTTTGTTCTTCCTGCAGCTGCTTCAAATCCTCACTGGATAACACTTTATAACCCTCTTGTAGGGACTTTACATGATTCTCAAGTTCATTTTTCTCTTCATCTGTCATTCTGTGAGAAAAAGTTTATCAGATGTGGAAGCAAAACACTAGTGATTTCAAAATGTTAATTCTTCTAGGTAGAAAAGAAATAGGCCACATTGTTTCAAGAAGGAATTTATGGACTCATTCACTCCTCCTTGGCTTGTTCTGCCAAGCAAGGTTGTCAAACAGATCATTTTAAAATTAATTTCTTGTCTGAACATAGGACCCTGTGGTTTGTTGTCCCAAGCAGACCAGGATTCATTATCCAAAGTAATATTCCAGGTTAACTATCCTGGTTTATAAAAAAGAGAAGCCAGAATCCCAGGTTTACATTACATGAGCAAACCAACCATATTGACTGGGTAGCCCCTTGCTCTTGAAGAGCTAATGAGCTGTTTGCCTGAGCAGGTAGCCTGCTCACCATGAGAAAGGATTTCCCAGAATCTTGGCTTATTATTCCACATTACTGATAGCAAGAATTGACTTCTGCCTTTGCTCCAAAAGATTTGTAACAAAACCTCATAAAAGCCATAATCATATATAATCAAAAATCATTTTAAAATACTATGTGTTAGCATATGTTTACAGATAAAATTTTAAATCATAATTTTATATACTCACAGAAGCAAACAGGAAAGCCTGCTCACATGAACTGTGTATGTATAATAGCATCCCCATGAAACTCTTGATTAGCACAGTATATATCACCATAATACCTTTAGTGGGCCAATTCAAAGGTTTAAAAAGTGCATGTTTTTTATGTTGTCCAGCACTCTTAATTAGGTAAAAAGTTAAAGAAGAAGTGATTGGGGAAAGAAAAGGACCAGTTCACACAATCAAATAAGCCTGCGCTGTGTGGCTTGTTGGACAGGGAAGCCACTGTCAAATGATCCTACCACAATCATGGGTTCTTTGAGGGTTGTTTCCCTTCCCAAGAAGCCATGCTTCCCAGGTTCAGCTGACTCAACAAGCTGTGCCAGAGTGGGTAATTAGGGAAATGGTAGAGGGCACATGTCACTAAATGCATTAAGCCACATGGCTTATTTCATCATACCACCAGCTCAGTATGATTGATGTACAAACTGTGGAGTCTACAATTGGATACTGTCTTAAGCTGAAAGCGAGCAGATGCTGCATTCATTCAAATTAACCATGGCATGATTCAGAGATAGGTTCAAGTTGCACTGGAACCCTTCCTAAGGTAAGTCTGTTCTTTCAAAATTCCTGCGAAAATCTCTCCACTTTCCACCTTAAGACTGTAACTAAATCGACCTTTTTATTTAAACGTCATTTTAATTGTTGATTTTATTTATTGGTTTTTAACAATTTTGGCCAGGCTATCTCTGACTTCATATAACTGTATTAATGATATTTATTTATTTATGTTTGTAAGCCGCCCCAAGGCTTCGGCGAATGGGGTGGCATATAAGCCTGCTAAATAAATAAATACAGACCCCCCCCCCCCCCAGCATGAACAGCAGCCATTCTTTTCTCTACCCCCTCTTTTGGCTTTATTTACAATCTTGCCTAATTAAAAGCTTGCATGATATTTTGTGAGCTTTGAATTGCTCCAATAAAGGTATTATGGTGATTCTTTTATTTTACAATTTTTCTTATGGCCAGAGTAGTTATCTGTTAAGGTTGCAAGCAGATCAGAGAAAAATTAATCTTATTCATTTTTACATTACTAATTTTTAAATGTGATAACCATAATAAACATACTTATCAGCATGTTTTGCCAAAAATGACTGCGTTGTTTGCAAAGTCTCTAGTATCTGTTCTTTCTTGGTTGATATTTCATCAGAAGAAATCTGAAAAACATAAAATTATGTTCAAATTTCTCTAGAAATAGATAAAACAGAAGTAGTAATTGTTGTTTAACATAAAGGATAAACCAAAAAGATTAAGCAAACCTAGCGGGGTATAAGCAAGGGTGGACATTTCAGTACCACCAGTTACACAATGTATTTTAATAATAGCAATATAGTTTACAAAATATATGCTAATCCATTTTATCCTTTAGTCAATTCATTCCTCAATGAGCCAGACAATGCAATCTTGTGTCAATCCAGAAACAAGCCATATTTGGCTTAACTGGACCTACTTTCAACTAAGACTATAATTTTGTACCCACGTTCTTGGGAGGAAAACCCTGTGAATTCAGTAAAACTTACTTCTGAGTCAACATGTATATGACTGTGCTGCCAAAAAGATGCCTGGCTATAGCAGTGGTATCACAGTTAGAGTATGTTCGTAACAGGCCACTGGGGACAAGCTAAGCATTTTGCATGTTTAACACACACGCACACACACACACACACACACTGTATTAGCTAATCCTTTTCTCAACAATTTTATTAAGTTCTGTTCTGGTCTTTGTTTTAGGCAGTGTGTAAATGAGTCCACCCTGCTTAGATTAAGAATGGCCTGAGCATGTGAAATTATATTAAATAATGCACTGATATGTATACTTTCTACAAACCCTGCAACTGAAGATATTTATATAATTCAAAAGCTTGTGTTTCCAGCATCTTTATCATTAGTCAGTCTAACTTTGTGTTTTTTGGAAGATCAATATGGCTACCTCAATTCTGATCTCTTATTTCTGTCTTATTCCAAGGCAGGAGTTCTCAAACTATAACCAATACAAATTTTCCTGTATTGGAAACAACAACAACAACAACAACAACAAAAGATCGCTTGTCACCTTTAACCAAAAGTGAACAGAGGTTAATGTAATCATGATCTATCTTGCTTCAAGCATGCGGTGAGCAGATTACATGGTAAGAAGCGCTGCTCTAGCATCTACCTTCAAGTTTCTGACATTTTGTATGGAGGATCATTTCTAAAGAGCAGTGCAAGTGGGGATGCATGTCCTCTATATTGTTTTCTTAATGTTTCTGGATGGTGCCTCCAGGGTTAAAGAGAATCTCCTAAGTGTGCAGGTGTGCATTTGTGAAACATCTGAATTTTTAAAAAGCAATTTAATAAATTTCAAGCAATAAATAAAAAGCAATTTTAAAATAAATTTTAAAAAAGATGTGAATTGCTCTGAAAAGGAAAAAAAATCTGCTGTCTGCTGCTACTTGCCAGATTGGAAATGCTGTGAAATTCCATTGAGCATTAAATAAACAAACTTCACAGCATCTCCCATTCCTAAACTCCAATTACTTTCCTTTTATGGCTAAGGTTAAACACAAGCACTGCCACAACACTACAGATGGAGCATAATGGGGAACTCCTTAACATCAGGCAAAGTTCGGATATGTATGAGTTATTTATTTGATAGTATTCCACTATGATTCCAGATTCTTTATTGCAGCTCTACTTCCTCATATCCTAGAGAAGTAAATTGAAAATGATTAGACCAGATCAGGTCCGTTTCACCTCATTCCAGACAAACATTCACTTTTTCCTCTTAGACTGCTACAAGAGTACTTACATGGAAAAAGATCCTTATGATCATGTACTAATTAAAAAGAACAAAACCCATTCTAATAATCCCAGACTTGCTTGGGACACTGTGGGAAGTATGTCTTATTCACTGTGGTCACCATCCAATGGGTGCCCACAAAATACACATACATTACAGTTATATATCTAAAGAGATTTGTTTTAACTTTTTCAACGAACAACTTGCAGCTCTACCAAAATATTCTAAAAATCTTAGCTGAAAACAGATCATGACAGGATAGACACACCATTTTTTTTGTTTTTGTTTTTACTATAGACCAGGCTTCCCCAACCAGGTGCCCACTAAATCTCATCTGCCCCAGCCAACATGGTTTATGGTCAGAAATGGTGGAAGCTGTAGTTCAAAACATCTTGCATGGCGCAGAGTTAGAGAAAATTGCTTTAGATCATGACAGCTATACAGTGTCAGTCTAAAGACACAACCCTGCAATTCCCAGCCTTCCCTTGCCAGCCATTTTTGTGTATACATGCAAAGGGTTGCACCCTAAATATCTGAACACCTATTGAATTAAAAGATCCCAATAAAATAAAATCCTAGTATAATTGTTCTCATAGCTAATATTCATGACAAGGAAGAGCTGCTCTCATTGGCTTTGATTCCTTGAGGCTATCATCTTCATTTCTTCCTGCCGATGCTGTCCTCATGCTGCTTTCTGTGCTATTTAAATAATTTGTTCATGTAAATGTTCTGGTGGCACATTCAATGTGTGGATGTGTGAATGTTCTGGCGGCACATACAAGACCTGCACCACAGAGAATATTGAACTATATGAGTTATAGATGCTTCTAGTACAAGGGCTACTGAGCATGCTGAGAAACTCACAATTCACTTTCAGTGTCAAGAAATCAAAGTATAGTGGCATGATACTGCTGCCCCATCTTAACACAGAATTACAAGATGACATTGTGGTTCAATCCATGAAGGTATCTGCTTAAGTATGAAGGACAGCTAGTAAGCTCTGCAGGTGCAGTTCAGCTCTTGTGTTCCCTGGAGTTAGGCAGCAGCAGAAATAGCCACGCAGAACATAAACCCTCTTCCTCCTCTAAAATATCCTAATGGCACTCAACTTCCCCACGGTAGGCATATTCTACCTTCTTTAAATAATGCAACAGTGGCTGATGTGGATAGCCCTTCCCCATTCCTGTTCCTGAGAGTGCTCATGTAAATTTATAGTGTAATTTTGTAATATTCACAGCTTATCATCCACGGAGAATCTCTAATCTGCATGTAATGCTAAAGTCCCTCACATTAACCTGGATTTCTCAGATGTTATGGATAACAATTCTGCTCCCAGTAAAATGGATCAGTTGTAGGAAGGAATTTGAATCCACACTTAATGAAGTGCTATTTGGTCAGTGGCCTGGTGTGGTGAAAAGCTAGGATCCAGGAAGTGCTATTTTCTATTTCCTCATTTCATACATTTATGAAATGCTGCAGGTATGGGATTTGATAATGGAAGGTACTCGGCATATGTATACATGTTACTTCACTGTGTCTTTAGCTAGCTCTGTTGAATTCACAAGGACCAGCCACTAACCAACAGGGAGCTAGTACTTTGAAAAGCAATTCTAGAAACAGCAAGAAGCACTTGTTTCTGCTACACAACAGATCAGCAGAGCTCCCTTCTGTTACATCTGCTCTCTCACCTCACCCTAGAGACAAGAGTTTCCACCAATTTCTGGATGCTTCGAAAAGTTCTAGCTTTGTACTGGATAGCAGGAAGTCTGTCTCTCTGTATACTTTCATAGTGTGTGGACAGATTTGGATACCACCTCATTTTTTTTTGGTTTATTGCTGAGATTTTCTCTGGAATAATACACTTGGATATGTATGAGTCCTAGCAGTCATTTCATCTTGCATGATTTTTATTTGCTCAGTGTAAGTATGTATATGGACTCAGAAAAGTGTATCTAATGATAAAGAAGGAAGGTCATTTCACATTGCAATGGAGCTGAAGAAAATCTGAGTGTCGTGCAAAGGGTGCAGTAAAGTATCATCTACATGATCACATTATTTTGTTGGCAGAGCACCGACTACAGATTTTGAGGGTTTGATCTGGAAGGCATGTTCTCCCTGAACAGCATGGGAATAGTGTGTATGTGCCTCAAACGCAGTGCATTTAAGTCTAAATTGTGTAGCTGATTACCCTTTTTTAAAAAAAATCAAAAATTATATGATTAGGAACTACAATCATTGGATTTGATGTGCATGTAATTTGTCACACTTCTATGTCCACCCACAGACAGTTGGATGAAGGACAGGCACCCGGGTGGGAGAGGCAGGAAGACACCATCTCACCTTCATAGGGCAAAGGTAAAAGAAAGCAAAATCTAAACTTTTGCTTTTTATCTTGGATGCCATTTTGAAAGTACTACGTATTTCCTACAAGTGACACATTTAACACATAAAATACTGTTGTGAGTACAATAATTTTTTACACTTTTAAGGTGTCATCCTGTGCATGTTTGGACACCTGGCTGGGGACGCTGGGGTTGTAGGCCTTTTCCCCATCTAAACATGCTTAAGACTGTGCTCTTAATCAAGACGGTTTTGCTGGATACAATGCAGGGCATACATTGCATGTCGCTCACTGCAATGGATGGAATGAAAGGTGTGCTTCGGCACATTTGGCTGTTTAGCAGACACAAAGAACAAGACCAAGCGACACATGCCCATGCAAGCTCGTGGCACCTATTCTCAAGCAGCTTTTTAATACCTGTTTCTTAAGCAAATCTACTGTTGCAGGCTTTTCTCCTCCACCTTTGTTGAGGTTCTTGGTGATGCTTGACACCCATTTCAGTAAGTCCCCAGCTTTTTCAATGTGTTCTTTCTTTTCCTCTTCCACTGACTTCTGATGAACAATGGGCATTATAAAATTATATATTTAACATTTCTATGGAATCAGATTATAATCACACAGAAACATAATCACATTGTCAAGAATTTTACTGCCAAAGATGCCAGATTTGGAGAAGCTTTATTTGTTTTTTAAATCCCAATTATTATTAGCATTCTTAAGCAGATTTTAAAAACTTATAAAATTTAAAAGCATTAACCAAAGTATTTTTTCACAATAGCTGCAAAAGTCAAAACACTAATTATGATACACATTAAAACATTCATATATATACATATATACACACACACAAATAGTTGATTGAATTCACATGAAAGAAACCTCTCAGCATAAGGAAATGCTAAGCAAGTGTTTATATGCAGAACTCTTTCAACTGCAGCATTTGCCTTAGCTCTGTACTCAGACCTGGACGTTATGATGTTGAAGAGGCTTCTAAATTTCACCAATGTAAAATACTCATTGGTTTTAAGGTCAATATAGTATTTTAACTTTTTAAATTTAATATATATGAAACACCAAAAAATAATTGCTATATTTTAACAGTTTCATAGCCAATTCTATTTAGGATTCCACCCCCACCAAAAAAAATATTATAAAGTACCATGAAACATAATACGTGGTAAAAATAGAAAAGATAATCATGTAGCAAAACTCAAAGGGTTTTTCACTGTGTGCATTCAATTCTTGTAACTTCAGGTGCAATCTTATGTATACTTACTATAGTTAGCAAGGCACTGTGAATGCAGTTGAATTTACTTCCATATAATAATACCTATAATTCTTACTATCAGAAAACTGTAGTGACAGACCCTACACAACATTAAACTTTACATTTGATCCTTTCATACATCTTTATTTATGACACTGCTTTATGAATCTTTGCAGGTTTACTTGCATACATTTTGTTAATCGAATACATGTACAAACTAACTGAATGTAAGCTCTCAAGTACCAAGCTGAGTTTACTGCTTTTGTTTGACTGAAATATGCCTGCTGTTTGCAGGATTGTATTGCATCATGTTCATAAGCCATGTTATTGTGAAATTTTTAAAAGATCAGCTGGAATGGAAAAAAAAAACACCTTGGCATCAAACACAAACATGCAAAATGTTACTATCGCAATGATCCTAGTTTTTCATTTTTAAAACAGTAAGTTGTTGATATCATTTATATGAAGCAGATGCACAATCCAGACAGAGATTGAAGGTTAAATTTTCCATCAAAATTGAATAGACGATGTGTTTGACCAGACTGTGTATAAGCCTGGAATTGTGGAGGTTTGAAGCAGCACTAAATCTAAAGTATGAAGAAAATAATATATAAATGAAGCCAAAAAAGCTTTGTTCTATTTATAAATCAGACTCATTTTTGCCAGAGAGCCCTATTCTATTGCCTTGTTAAGCCATAGGCCACCGTTCCTATAGCCTGCATAACTTGCATTACTGCAGTACATTCTAATAAATAACAGCTCAACCCTATACGTATCTATCCAGCAGTACATCCCCCTCAGTTCAATGGGGATTCCTGCCAGATTACAGGAGCCTGATCTCAAAACTGTTAAATCATTACTGTGAGGAAAAATAGAGTCTAGCAATTCCTGAAGAAATTGCTTCAGCTGCCTCTAACAATCTCAGCCCAGTGTGGCAGTCAAAAACAGCTCTTTCAAGAGCTTCTTTATATGTCAATTTCTTTTTTGTTTTAGGGCATGTAATACTTTTTATGTAAAATTTGTCATCTTTCATTTTCGTAGCAGTGACAGCATCGACAATACCACATTTAATAGCTTCTTCCATTGATAACCTAGAATGAGATTTTGGATCTATCAGCCCACCAGTCAAATGCTGATACTCCAGGCAGCGGCTACCCATTTCTTTGTCCAGGACATTTATACTCATTGCTTCAATGGCTGATATAATACTGTTTGATACAGGATGAATAATCCCAGTAAAGACTAGTTCACACTGCTGGACATGCTTAGCCAATGCCTCATCAATTAGCTCCCTCTGTAAAGCCTCTGCCACACTGTATCTCTTCCCAGTACAGGGATCAATTATACCTCCTGTACTGGCTTGTGCTTCTAGGCACCTCAGGGCTGTGACTCTGTCCACCAAGTTCTTACGGGAAGCTTTCAGAACAGGCATTCTTTCATTTGTCTCAGCCATCCAAATCCCAGCAATTGGACTGGTCAGATCTGTATGTGGCTTGGAATGACTCAACAAAATGTCACCAAGTTCATTGGCAGTAATCTCCCCTCCCTTGTATTTGCTGACCAACATTCTGTCAATTTTACCATCAGCTAAAGCCTCATCAATATTGAATTGTATTCCACTTTTAAGATCTGTCAGCAAAAGGAAAGAGTTCCCATGAGAATCAAAGCATGTGGATTCCTTCCACTGAAATTCATGTCCTGATAGCTCAAGATACATATTTTTGTCTATCAGGTTCTTTTTATAAGCCTCATATGATGTCATTTCTGCTCCATTTTTAATGTCAACTACAGATAATGTATGCACTTTTTCTGCAGATGGAGTGGTTATTTTTCTCTCCCCAACAGGAAGTAGGAAGCATTTGCTTTCTATATCAAACAAGCACAACTTCAGCAAATCATTATAATACATGACTTGCCTATTATTGGGATTCTGAAAGCATTTTTTATTACTGGAAGGTTCATGTAAAAAATTGAGAATAGTGTTATTAAGTAAGCCCATCTGTACAGCAACTTCTGGAGGAATACGGACACTTCTTATGGGGTCAATAACTCCCCCACTTGCAATCTGAACTTCAAGAATATTTTTACCTTTCTGCCTTTCCAAAACTCTGCTTTCCATTGCTTGATAAACAGAAAGCGTTTTCCCAGAAAAAATATATCCTAAAGCTGCTTTTTCTGCCTCAAGAAGCCTGGTTTTGTATTCATAATCTACAAGACCCTTGATGACTGAATCATCAACAGAGCATGTTTGACCTGTTGTGGGATCAATGATAAAACCAGTAGCAGCCTGAGCTTCTAATAGTGCTAGTGCTGATGTTTTGTCTAGTATTCTTTGCTTAGCTGCAGAAGAAAATGAGATCTTGTCTTTGCTAGCTTCAATGTACAGCCCAGCTATTGCAGTAGGCTTTGTTAAAAAAGCATCAAGATTTTTTTGAACTTCAGCAATAGCTTTCTTCCCTGAATGGAGCTGTTCAGCTGTGCTCATGTCTAGAAGTTTAACTTCAATCAACTGCCTGGCAGAAACATCATGCCGAAGACCTTGAAATTTGATATTATCATATTCAGCAGGAATCCTATCGACCTCCTTGGCTTCCCTTTCCTCTAAGACAGAACTCATCTTTGATATATCTTCACTCCTAAACCCTTCTGACGTTCCGTATCCCTCAAGCAGTCTTCCTTCTTTACCAAGTTTCTTGCCATTTTCTTGATCTAATGCAGTAACTTCAACATGTACACCATACTGCTGGTTGTTCACTATCTGTAAACAGGAATTTTTTGACACAATGAAGGATATTGTATTTAGAAAGTAGTATCACATTACTAATTTAGCCCATAACCAGGAAAACATACAGAATATGAACAGCAAAAACTAAGGATCAGCCAGCTTTATTAGCATTGACAATATGGAAGAAATATAAGCAAGAAAGTTCAGTTGAAACACAGCAAAGAGTAAAAAACAAAAACATATTTGAATTTTGTGGCTTAGACTACAATTAAAAGTTATAATTCCCTCTAATGGATAACTCAGGTTGTGAATGCCTACATGTGAATGTCTATCCATTGTATCATTCACATCCAAAATATATAGGCCAGCCTGCAACACAGGAGAAATACAGCAGGCCTTAAGGCAGAACAATATATTTTGCTTCCACCTGATGTTCTCTTGTGAACATATGCCTGAAGCACATGCATGGGGAAGATGTGCTTGTTTGCAGGCAGGGACGGAGGAGGGGAAGAATGTGTTAAGTCCCCCTACTGTCTACTGGTTTTCCCTTTGTGTATCCCTTTATATCTGCAAGAAATTTCTAGGTTAGCGCAGCATTTTGGATATATATGTTGGTAAAAAACTTCTGTAAAATGTCTGAGCATGTTTTTGATCTGTTTCACTGGATAAAATGAAAACAAGAAACATAACTGAAAAGCATTAAGAATGGTGAGGAACAGAAAGCAAGCCCCCTTGGAAATATCAAATTGCATGCTGTACCTCCAGTGGATGCAGATGCTTCCCTAATCCCATTTCATAAATGTCTTCACGACTGGAACTGAGGAATTTGGTGTCTCTCAGTTTATCTATTTCTGAAATTCTTGTGACAGGGCTGTTCTTATCAATTGTTAACTCAAACTGCGTGCTTGTCTGGGAAACATACTCAGAATAGGATTGTTGGTTCATCCCATTTTCCAGTGAGTTGGTTACTCCAGACAGCTGAAATGGTTTTTCTTGTGACAGTGAATCTGTAGCAACCACTTGCAATTTTGGCACAATCAACTGTTCAGATTTGCATCCTGGACCACTCATTTGTCTTCTTCTTAGTGAAGGAGAAGTACTTGTACAGAGATTGAGTTGCTCAAAATCTCTTGCAGAGGTGTCTCCCAGGTAACTAAACCCACTTCCCTTCCACCCAAGGTCTAACTGGATGTTCTTTTTGTTTATCTCATTCTGAAATGTACGCAGTTGATTGCAGTGCTCTCTTTTTTGCAGCTCTAATTGGTGCTTCAAGTTCTCTATAGTACGCTTCTGCATTTGCAATTCTTCTTCTAGTTTGCGGTATTTCTGCAAATATTCCATTTCAGCATGCTTCCCTTGTTGCAGCTGCTCACGACATTTCTGCAGTCGGTCCTGCAGGTCGTCGATTTGAATCTTATGCATTCTGATATTTTCTTGAGCCATATTCCTTTCTTGCTGTAGAGTGATGCATTCCATCCTTATGCCTGATATGTCATTTTCAGCAATGTTGTGTGATTCCAAAAGTTTTTCAAATTTCTTCCTAAACTCTTCTGCAGAATGTTTAAACTTAATTGACTCTTCCTGAAGCAACGCTACCTTTTTACGCGCTGTCTGTTCCTCTAAGGTCTTCTGGTGGAAATCATCTTGGAGCTTCTTCATCTTGCTGTTTAGCTCTTGAATATGGGCTTGCTGCTGTTGGATTTTCTGCTCACTCACCTTCATCTCCATAGTGAATGCATTCAGCTGAGTACTTAGGTTCCTTATCTCCATCTCAGCATTCATGTTAAAAGCATTCTCTCTGTCACATTTCTGCTTAAACTCATTGGCTACATCTTTTGTTTTTATTAACTCATCCTCTAGTGTCTTGATTTTATCCAGGTGGTCTTGTTCAATTATTATCTGTTTGTGCAGTTGCTCATTTGTGACACGCAGCTGTTCCTTGAAGCTATCGACCAGAACTTTTAATTCGTCATTTTTTCTGTCGATAATTTGTCTCTCGACGATTATTTTCTCTGATTCAGTCCGCACCTCAGTCATCATCATTTTGGTCTCACTATTCCACCTACTAAGCTCTTCAACCTTTTGTTTAAGCTTTTCTACCAAGTGATTGCTATCGGCTAAATCATCATTCAGTCTTTGAATCTTCAGCTGGTTTTCTTTTTCTTCTCTTGTCTTTTGAAGAAATTGTTCCTGCACTTTTCTAAATTGCTCCTGCAAGTTGCTTGCCTCCCCTTTACATGAAATAGTTCTCTGCTCAGCTACCAGTTTTTCTTGCTGAAGTGAAGTGATTTGTGACTTTAACTGCTGAATGGTAATTTCAGAGTGTGCATGTGTTCTAGCCAGCTCTTCCAGCTCTCTCTTGAGTTGTGCCTTTTCTTTCTGAAGTGCTCTCAACTCTTCTTGATACTTCATATTTATTTTTTTAAGCTCTATGGCTTCTTGCATTATCTCTTCAGCTTTGCCTGTGGCTTTTTGTAGCTGCTTGTCAAGTTCTTTCAGTTGCTCCAGATATCCTTTCTCCACCAGTTCCTTCTCATCCAGCTCTATTTTAAGGAGCCTGAGAGCATTATTGGCATCATCTAGTTTTTCTTTTAGTAAACGAGCCTTTTCTTCAGAGGATGCATTCTGCAACTCAAGTTCATTCAGCTCATATTTTAAATCTTTAATGATTTTTTCAGACTTTTTGTTTGCAACTGTTAGTTCATCTACCAGTTGCCGGAATTCCTCTATATTCTTTATTTCTTCCATTTCTCTATAAATGTCTGAACCTGCTGATAACAAATTTTCTCTTCCTATTGCAGTAATTTGCCTTCTAATTTCAGTTATTTCCTGTTCTCTGAACTTGTTTTTCACTCGACTACCTTGAAATTCATGTTCTTGTTCCATTTCCTTAATTAATTTCATAAGCTTTTCTTCTTCCGCAGTTTTCTTCTTCAGTTCTTCCATTAATGTTTTCTTTTGCTGCTCCAGATCGTGAAGATTTGTGTCCTTTTTCCTCAAATTATCTTCAAAAGTATTTCTAATAATCTTACTTTCCTCTAACTGAATTCTGAAAGCTCTGAGGTTGTCTTCAACAGCATTTCTTTGAGCCTCGGCTTTCAAAGCAAGCTGTTTTACATGTTCTAACTCCTGCTCTGCAGCTCGTTTCTCCTTAACAACATCCTCCAGTTCTATGCAATATCGTTTTGCCTCTTGTTCAGCCTTGATTTTCTGAAAAGAAATTTCTTCAGTTTTCTTCTGTTGTTTCTTCAGTTCTTTTTCTGCCTCTTCCTTTGCTTTGGAAAATTCTTCTTCCTGTTGGAACTTCTGCCTTCTCAACTCCTTCAGCATCTCTTCAAGTTCATTTATCCTTTCTATAAGTTTCCTATTCTCATTCACTACAACCTTTTGCTGTTGCTCCAGATCAGAATATTCATTACGTACTAGTGCCTCTTTATTCCTTAGGTTCTGAAAACAAAATCAAGATGCAAGAAACATTAACACTTATCCTTCTAATGTGTAATATTTGAATTATATTGCAATTTTAATGCATGACTGCAAATACTTACAAACTGTGTCTACAGCATGCCAGCTGCAAAGATCAAGTGATTCCCACCACCACTGACACTTTCAGAGAGCCACCATTAGTTAAAGAGAAAGCTGCATGAAGGAATCCACCAACCGAAGTCCTCAAGAAAGAATCCCTTTTCTTGCCCAGGACAAGAACAGTGTCAAGTTTTGAAGGTGCTGTCCAGAAGCTTGCTTGCATGTGTTCTTGCTTGAAAGCTATGGAGTAACTTCTCAGCAAAACATACCATGCAAGAAAAAAAACCACTGTAGGATTTTATGATTAGTTGAAAGGGAAAAGGAGAGTGTTTTAGCGCATATGACAAAACATGACACAATATCTGAAAAGGTCCTAATAAAATAAACATTGTTGTTAGTTATCCTTTACATTTGTTATTAGTAATCACTCATCCATGGAGCTCACTGCATGACTTTGAGCCAGTCACTGACATACAATAAATACTGTATATACTGTCATGGAATACCTCATGGATAGAGCATAATGTTTAAAGACAGACAAGAGACGGCACTGAAAATGGGAAAGCGGGGAGCCATGTTCTTCAGTGATATTTTTTACCCAAGCCCTTACAGAAGTTTAATTTAGACTCTTATTTGAACATGAGCAGAACATTAAAGAATGTCTTTTTCTAACACAAAATACTGGCACAACATTTTTACAACAGTCTTTCCAGTGTCAGCCCACTAACAGATGCTAATGCAAAGGCTTACTCCCTACTTATTTCCTAATGGACTGAATTTTTTCCTAAAATTAAATGGGATTTGATACTCCAGCAGACCTCTCAATTTACTCATGACTGCAGTAAAATTTGCTGGCATGTACCATAAGATCCTTTAAAGCTACAGTGCTAAGAAATGGTAAAAAGTTGTAGGATTTCACTTCTATTTATTAATTCTGATAATTAGTACTAATATTCAGCCATGAGTTTTCTCTGTTAGAAAGGTATCAAAATAACGGGTTAGAGTCATACTTAGAATAGATCTGCAATCAAAGTCTAGAACCAATGTACTGAGAAATAACTACATGAATGAATGGACAAATTAATCATTTACCAGTCTGTTTAATTCTTGCAACTCTGTCGAATCAGATTAAAATTCTGAATCCTAAAATCAATTCTGCCCCCAGAAAGGCACCTTTGCAAAATGGTAATTAGACATGATTTTTAAATGGTGCTAATTTTGATTTCTGCAATATTGTTCCATTTGCTCTGACTGCCTTTGATTTTGCATTTTGTAACTCCTTCCTTCCTTCCATCCATCCATCTATCTGTCCTTCCTTCCTTCCGTCCTGCATTCTCTCCCTCTTAAGTTCATTAAAATAAAGAATCTTTGAAGTGCCATGTACACCTTTATTGACATAAGTAGCCAAAAAGCTTCCATGGATCTGTGCCATTCTTGTGTCTACAATTCTGTGAACAACCCTGAATGCTTTGGCCAGATCACCAATACTCTGCTATAGCAAACTGTCATACCCTTTTTTCCAAGTTCCACATAAATTCCCTTTTCTTTATTCATATGCTAAATGTGAATCCAAATTATTATCCCTTGAAATTTTTTTTGTTTTGAGAATTGGTCAGTATTCCATTGCTATTATTTGAATATTGATCTTGAATGCCCATTGCAATTTATGTTGTTTTATATCATCCTAGAATTAAACTCATACAGTTTTGAACCATTTAATATAACCTAATTTCCTATGGTGTCTCTCTCAGAAACAGCAGAGAAACAAGTTGTGTTTCCTGTGCCTTCAAGCATTTACTAGCTTTGGATTTATACAGAGTTCTTCTGGTGGGGTTGCTGTACTAAAACTGCTGTTATCTACAGATGTGTTTTGTGATGTGTTAGTTTCAGCCTCTTCATCAGAAGGATGCTACATTAGCACAAGTTTTAATTGTTGCTTCATTGTCTCTTTAATTTCCCCATTGGTTTTTAGCTGCCTAAGGCTCTTTTTGCATCTGCAATAACAAATGATTCACTTCTTTCATGGTTCTCATTCCATGTTACTGGCACTTTGTGAGAGTATTTTTCTAGGCAATTATTTTTACTCAGGCTTCCAATGTGAGTCTTTTCTAAAAGGCAGGAATGTTGTTCATTTCAACTGATGCTCATGGGATAATCTCTTTGATAATTTTTCCTAACCACGAGCTAACTACAATTTCTTTACAGACTTCTTAAATGCCTTAGTTTTGAAGACTATAAAATTAGCAACTAATGCTAACGTGTTACTCCCCCACCAAATTTCCTCAGATAATGCCCCTGCACTGAATTTCCAGTTTCTTTTTAAGATGTGGAAAGTGAAAGGAACAGTTAAGGGATTGTTTAGGGCAGTGAATGGAAAGAAATCTCCCTGAAAAGTTTGACTGCAAGGTTAGACGCCACTGGCGTAGCCCCTCCCCAACTATTGTAATAAAGAATCATGAATGACAGAGGGCAGAGTTCAGATGAATACTCAAAGAAACAGTACAGTATGTTTCAATTCTCCAAATGTCTGAGTCAAATTGTCAAGTCAAAACAGCATAATTCTAACTCTGCTGACAGAACACCAAATTAGAAAGAAAAATGGGAAAGAAAACCAGACATACTTATAAGGAATTGAAGTAAACTGAAGATAAACTGACATAGTTAAATTAAATCTCCCCTGCAGCTTTTAAGTTTTGTGGTGTAGCTAAAATTCTAAGTCAGGTTTAATAGGCCTACAAAAAGGACTTCATTTTAATGTTTTTTCTGTCCCTGGGAGCATTTCACAAAGAAGCAATGCCCTACAATAAAATTTTAGCACATCATACCTGTAAAATAATAATACAATCCATAAAATGGGATAAAAGGTTTCATATTGGTATCATCAATGTACTCAAAAAATAAGTGACTCTAAAGTGGACATATATACATACATACAGAAGGAAAGTTTGTAAGGAATTTCAGACTTCTATCCATCTTCCTAAAAATATAGCTGCTAATTATTTGCTGGTCCCTTCAACACTGTCTGCTGCCTTACCTCTTCCTCCTCTAGCCTTTTCAGCGAGTCACCAGCAAACTTTATGTATTGTGTCATCAAGGTTACCAAAGCAGTATAGCGCGTTCTTAAATCCATGAACTGCAGTGAAACACAGATAATGTATCATGTTAAATAGAATGCCATAGAGATCTTTTTGAAGAAAAGAAAGGTAGTTACAGAACAATTTCTGATAGAAAAGGTATCTTTTTAACAAAGTTATTTAGAACTTAGACGTTAGGACCTTGCTCTCCTAATATACATGCCATGTAAGAATGCTTCACCAAAGCAAAGAGATCCTTAGATCTCTTTTTGGGGGGTACAAAGTATAGCTGCTCTCAGAAAAGAAAGATGAGAGGCCCCTTCATCATGGAATTAATTTCCTAACTATGCACACTGTAAGCCACTTATTTATAAAGTACCGTATACACTGAATACCAGCCCAGCTTTCTAAATGAAACAGGGCTAGCATTCAGTAGACTGCATTACCAGAGGGTGCTTAGGGTCTTGTTCAGAAGTGCAGCCTTGCAATAAATCCTTCCTCATATTCTGACAGTCATCCTAGACATTCCTTAGACCCCATGATTATGTTCAGTCTTGATTATATTCATTCTCTATATTACTGATGGGTGAACTTGCAACCTCTTAAGAAAAAAATGCCTCTAGGCAACCTAATTACAATAGCTGCTTGAGATAGCTTCTAAACTCTGGCCAATGCTGTTGTTTTATTTTTGCCTTTTGTTCACTGGAATCCAGATTTGTTTTAAGTAGTACATGTTGGCTGTGATCCAAAGACCAAATGAACAAGATCTCTTAGCTCTTTAGTATCCTCTCCTCTCAGTGAACCTTATACATTGCAGTGATTTGGAAAAAGGCTAGGGAATCTTCTGCAGGGGCAAAATCTGTAATTTTACAGATATCAATTAATCCTTATGAACACATTAATCTACCTTGTATCAGTAGTCCACCTAGTTTAGCATTGCCTATTCTGGTATCTTTGGGCAGTTCTTCAATTTATCACCCAGAATTTGCTCTTTTTATTGCAGGTTATTGGCAGGTGAAACTGAGATGAACTGAGTAAACCCACTGCAGGACATATAAAACTCTGTCGCATAAAACCATTGTTTGGCAACTAATGATCTCATTAGTTCTTCTTGGTGGTCTCTGTGCGATCACACGAATGGGCTTTGTCGCACAGCGCAAGGCCTGGACTGGAGAGAAAACTTCCAAAGCTCAGCGGAACAGAGTGGGCAGGAGCACCCACCCTGCCCATTCCGGAAGTCTGGATGGGGGGAGGGTATCCCACCCAGTCCCTCAGTTCCTTGTCGACCGCACAGGCAGTCACTCACGGATCGGAACTTCTCCCCCAGAGCCCTGTACCACAGTCACAATCAATGCCTCCAACTCGGATTGGGGCACACACTGTGCACAGGGTCATATCATACCCCTGTTCTATGGTCTGCCAGTTTCAAGAGTCAGTACTTGGTACTGGCAGTACAAAAGTTGATGGAAACCCTCCGGGTGTCCCATGAAACTTCTGCTTGTAGTCTCTCTGCCTGAACTGATGGAGGTGGTCTCAGTGCTTATGGGAAACCCACAGCTTATGGTTCTGGGGGATTTCACAGCTGGGGTCCTGAGGCTCTGGAATTCCTCACCCACTGGGATAAACATAGCCTCAATTCTGAATATTTGTAAGGGGCATTTAAAAACACGTCTGCTTTTCTTGATTTTTAACTGCTGTAATTTAATCAAACTGTGCTTTATTTTCCCTATTGTCGGAATATTTCTCTTTAACTGCCCTGAGTTATTTATTTAACTGGCACTGCTATTGTGTGTTTTGATTGACCTGGATTTTTAAAATGAAATATATAATTGCAAAATTTTATTATGTGAGTCACCTTGTAAGGAATTTGTCCATCATTAACAGGCAACATACTGATAATTCTATAAATAATAAGCACACTACCTCTTGGATAATGAAATCAGAGGAGCTCTGCATTCTTCGTCGTTTCACAGGAGATTTTTGCTGGGAATCAACCATGGCTCTATATGTCATTGTTTGTAACTCATAGTCCTGCAGGATATAAATGAAAATCAGGAAAGTTGTAAGCAATTTGTTCATGGATAAGTGTATTTCTGGTGCTTGAAATTCATTTCAGTATAAAATACTATTGACACTAGTGCAGTCAAACTTGAGTGTTGCAGAAAGCTAGGCGAGTACTGTTGAATTCATTACATAAGAGAGAAATCAGGGATGAGAAACTGGTAGCAATGAACACTTCCACAAGCAATTAAGGTGTATGGCATGATTACAGACCATATCCGCAACTCCTGCTGAGGCAAGCTAATACAATATAGCCTAAATGTGGGAACAGCTACAGAAGAAGTGCCAACAACGTCGCTTGAGCACCACCTGAGATGTATCTCAGAAGAGGCAGGAAACTGTTACTTCTGATGCTGACTTGGAGTTGCAACAGCAGCAAGAGAAATACAGAGTTCTTTACACTGAGCAATACTCACATTTATTTGCATGTGAATGGAGAATGAACATGAATAACTGTTGTTTTACCTTTACTGCCGCTGAATACTGCTCCGAATATTTCTGGCACTCATCTAGTTTGTTTTGTTTCATCTCTATTTCAGACACAAGCACCTGTGAAACAAATAGAAGATTCAATATGGAGCAGTTATCAACCTATGCAACATTTACTCCTGTCTTAAGGGCTGGTGTACAGTCTGTATGTAAAACACACGAGATTGAATTTTATGGAGTGAACTTCAGAAGTGAACAGAATGGCTGTTATAGCCTTTGTTCCTCTGTATAAAGTTTGTTTAGCTCCACAAGAAAAAACGGGCAAAGCAGGACATTGCCCATTTGATAAACATATGGATTAAACACACTGGATTAATTATACTGTAAGATACACTTCTGTTTCAGAGATATATTCAGTATGTTCTAAAAGAAATGTGAATGTTTAATTGAAATCACTTGTGCCTTAGTGATTCATTCCTGGAATAGAACCTGCGTCTTGTACCTTTTGTTGGTTTAGCTGCTTGGCCAGAGCTTTGCTATTTTGAGGAGGGTTCTCCTGAAACTTTTGCTGAGTTTCTTCCACTTGCTTAATCCAGTTATCCAATGCATTGTAAGTATCCCGGTAGTATTTTAGAGATTTATTGATCCCATCTAAGTCACGCAACCTGTTGAATGGAAAGCAATGAGGAAGAACAAATCAAAGTTAATGGTCCTCATGGGGACATGCCGCTGCTGGCTTTGCAGAGCACACACAAATGTTTCAAGCACTTTGTGTGCTTTACCTATTGTAGCCCTTTCAACAACTTGTGGGGTAATTGTTATTATTGTCCCCTATGGGGCAGATGGTGGGACTGAAGTCAAGACAGACTTGCTTGAGGCATCTGGTGGGTTGATAGAAAAGGCAGTATTTACATGTCTTGATGCAAGGGTCAAGCTCAGCAACTTTTCCACAGCAATTCATAAGCAGTATGCTGTCTCAGTGCATATGTATTTATATTCTTGCTGCTTAGGACCATGGTGGTTGAAACAACAAACAAACAAACAAACAGCAAGCATAATTTGGCTTGTGTTAAGCTCTTTCCTTGGGGTTCAAAACTACAAAACAAGACTCTCATTCAGACAGAAAGCCTAACATCCATGACAAAGTTTGTTTAAGTTCCTGCCCTATTGGGGTAGCTGACTATGGAGAAATATGCCTGTTCTCTAGATATACTTCCCTCCAAAAAAGGCATTTCTGGCTCCAGGAGGCTCCAGATAGTCTCAAATCTTTCCATAAAACATCACTGTTTGTTTGATAGACTAGATGTGGAGACCAAGGAAGGCTTCCTTTAGAATAAACCCCTAGCTTTCTGCATATACTAACTAAAGCCATGATCATGGGGTGGGGGAATGACTATTTTTCAGCTATAAAAACCATTAATAGGGCATTCCAATTACATGCATACACATATGTATATACATATGCATGATATAAATAGACTGGTACACAAGAAGATGAGTATTTTGTGTTTATCTATTTTTCAGCAGAAAGAAAAACTTCAATTTATAATAAAAGAGGATATTTTGTCTTTCTGTCTTGCAGCATCAAAACACCAAGACTGTGAAAGGTAGACACCTGAAACTTAGCATGTATACTAAGGCACTCTAGAGGTGCACACCTTAGTTATTTTTTGTTAAAATGCATTAATTAATATTAATTAAATTGTGCCTATGTACTTGAAACATACAGACTTTCCCAACAAATGCATAGCTTTCTAGTGGAATTATATGACTGCCGGGGCAACAAAGATGCGCCATGGCAGGGGCACTGCCAGTATCCACAGCTTTACTCAGAAAGGATAGACACAATGTATTCAAGTCTGTCAGCTGTGAAACTTTATTTGAAGGCTTTGCTTATCCTGACCAAGACTGTTACAACCTGTCAAACAATTAATCCATATGAAGTAGATTATATTGAAATGGGTAGATTTAAACAAACAGGAAAAAAACCCACACTATTTATACTTGGCCAGTTTTTTTGTTCTCAGTCACTGATAGGCAGCAGGAGGGTGAGCAGTTGCAGAGAACAGTCTGTTTACGGTTGCAAGCCGCAGTCCACACAAAATCTGTCACTTTTACAATAGGAGCTCCTGAATGTTGCTAATAAACTGCCAGCGAAGTCAATTAAGATGTCTAAGGGAGATGGCATGTGCTGCATGTTTATCATACATGCAAAGAGCAAAATTTTAATTGGCCATAAATAATGTTATGAAGTCAACAGGATAGCAGACTACTCACATAGTGTTGCCTTTGTAAAACCGGAGCTTTCAGAAGTCCTTTCCAACCCGCCTACATAGGATCTGTTACTTAAAGATGCCAGATATTGAATTTAGGGTGTCATAAACATGCAATTATTTGTAAGTCACAGCCTGGGGGTTACTATGGCTTCTTTCCATATTATTCTGGTAACATGCACATGAAGGAATCATATTATTGACTCTAACCACAATGTTCCTTCAGCAGGATGTCACAGAAGTGGTATCAGGATAAGAAGGAAGGAAGTGCTACTCATACTAATGACACTAAGTGTGAATTGCTTCTCTTCAGATTGAATGATCCAGTCACACTGTATATCAGGTTGCTTACTGGTAGTTAGCTTGTAAAAGACAAGATTTATATTTATTTTTAGCTACTATAAACTACTCTTGAAATTGTCATCTATAGTACAAATAAGCCTTCTGGAATGGAATTACTGTGGAAAATTACTTCACTCTGATCTTTCAGGCAGCAGAAACACATTTCAGTGTAAAATACTACTGACACAAGTGTAGTGAAACTATTACAGCAGGGAACTGGTGAGCCAAACAGGGACCTCCACCAGACTGTACGTGGTCTGTGGGACAGAGGCTCCCCCACCCTGTGCTTTGCTGATTTCTCCCTGTCCCATGGACTATGTCACTGTATTGCTTCTGAAGGAAAGGGGGCACTAACCTGTTCTCAATCTGAGAATGAACATTTTGCCACCTCTCAGTTAGCTGATCTGCTTTCTCTTTGTGCCAGTCCAAGTCAAGATCACGTTCCTTGTGAGTTTTAAACATTTGTTCACTAATTGCTTTTGCTTTCTGGAGTTCATCTTCAAGAGCATGGAATACTTCTCTTTTTTCATCAACTTCTGATCTCCATTGCTAGCAAATAAAATAAAAAATAATTCAATATAGGTCATAATGGTGTTTCTTCAATTCAGCACGTGCAACATGATGTAATACTAATGGGTAGACATAGGGCGTGGAGGCTAATATGACTGGCCAGAAAAGCCAACCCTTCAGTCAAATATTGTCAAATACTGGCTTTGAATTTACAGCATTATTATAAAGGGACACTTATACTACTTATAATCATGCCCAAGTTTCTCTCTCGAGTAGTTACTCTTCCCTGATCCTCTTCCTCCCAACCACTGGAGAAGTATAGCTGCAAAAGAGGTATTAATGAGAGGGAAAAGGGTGGTCAATAGCATTTTGTTCTTTTCCTGGGAGTACAACTTGGCTGTTTTCTCTTTCTTGGGGAGTCAAGGCAAGGAAAAGAATAAGTGACTGCTTTTGACTAAAAGGACAGATGATGGGATTATAAAATGGCAGAATTCAAATGCTTTCGATATGGTCAATGTAAAGTGCTGTTCAGCTTAGTAGTTACTTGCTTCTGCAAATTAACAAAATAATCAGCATTGAGTTGAATTAGCAATATCAACCAGTCAACTGACCGGCATACCAAACTTTAAAGTAATTACTTCATTACTCCCACCTACCTTCTGCTTCTAAAGGCCAAAAAGACAGAGTACAGAACAATCTATTTTACATTGTTGTATGGCTATGAAGTATAGCTTTTCTAAACACTGTAATCATACCTTTAATATACCCATCAGGTTCTCTATATTACTTTTCTCAGCAGTTAATGGATCTTCCTCACATAGTTTAGTCTCATACAGTTTTACCAATGATTCAGCCCCTTGAGTGTTTTTGAGGACCAAATTTACAGTTTTTAACCTGAAACAAAGGAATCACTTATTAATTCAATTCCAGACACTTTTTAATTTAAACTTCTTGCAATATAATTGTATAAATACTTCTATATTTACACTGCCACATCCTAATGATCAGCTTTACAAATGTTGCTAAGGCAATAAGTGATGTATTTATAATTCACTTCAACAATCTATATTCTTAAGAATTGAAGTTCTGCTTCTCCTTTACATACTAATTAACACTTATCTTCCTATAAAATCCTGCCACACATTATGATAATGAAGCATAATAGAATACAAAGAGACAAAGTCTTACATACTTTTCTATATAAATGGAAGACATGGAGTAAACCTGATTCATATTTTGAATCACAAGGTTAAGCTCTGACCGCAGAGTAGGGACTGAGGGTGACCCAGCGGCTTGATTAAAGAAATCATCACACTTGTCTGTGATTGTTTCCAAATCTTCTTTAAGTCGATCCAGCTCCTTTTTCAGCTTCTACAGAACAGAAGGTAACTGGTTATTTCAGCGGTAGCAAGGGATTCGCAAACTGTCCCAAAAGGAAAAATACAGAACAGAAGACTGGCTGATTGAACCAGAAGACAGGCGCGCATGCACACATGCATTTTCACCCTGTCAGTGCCACAGAAATGATTGCCAGTGATTATGTTGGCTTTAGGTACTGGACAGCAACAGAATATCCAGCCACCTATTTTTGCAAAGTTTGGGGCTTTCACAAATGTGCCAGAAAATGCAACAGTTTATACATATAGGCCAGAGATAAGGATTTCTTTCTCTGTTTTTCTTTTTTTGACTCAATGGCTAAATTGTTTCTGAGCAAGCATAATGGGCCCACAGCAGCAGTGGGTAGGGTCAGCCACAAAGTGCCCAGACCTTGTTCACATACATACACATTCACACATACACCACCCTTCCCTCACTGCAATCAAACTTTCAAAAAGCCTCTAATGGCACCAATAGAGCCTTTCTTAAAGCCTTGTTGCAGTGGAGGGGGTAACAATTTTGGGGTGCAGGAGTAGGGAGGGGAAGATGGGCCCTTCCTTCCCCAGCAGTGACCCACCCTCTGAAACTGTCCCATGCATGCTGCACTTAGGCCTTGAAAATTCTCTGCTGGCACCAACAAAAATATTTTTAATGCCTCCTTGCAGCACAGGAAGAAGGAGAGAGAATCTCCTATCTCTGAAATATTATAAGAAATATACCAATAGGGGAGGTGGAGGCTGGACCTTTCTGGAGTTGTTTCTGGCACAAAGACCAAGGGTTCCCTATATCTGCAGTAAGTAAAAGAAGCCCCAATCCCTCCCTTTCCCTGTGTCAAATGTGAGGCCCGGCGCTAATTTAATGTTCAGTGCTCAGAATTTTTTTAAAGAAGAAATCATGTCAGTGACTCCATACAAAACATGAAGTGAGTACTGTAACATTTTGCAATGATTCCATAAAATGAGATCCAAGATTCCTGCCTTAGATGGAACTATAGAAAAATAGTGTGGATAATATGTCACCTGAAGACTTTTTTGTTATCTGATTCATGATTAGAAAATGGTTAATGATTTTAATTTTATATTTTCAATATGCTTGCTATTGTCAGACACACTGGGGATACATTGATGTGAAAGGCAGGCAATACATATTTGAGTAAGTCAATAATGTGTTATACTTCTAAGGTTTATATTTTGTTCAGCTATTAAATCACGGCTATTTTAGCAAGTGTATTGTTCAGTCATTTAGGATATCAGCCTAGTCAAGAACAAACTCTGGTGGGAGCTTATAAATATTAGTAGTATGTTAAAAGGAACATCATAAAGCATAATATAAAAGGACAATAAAAGCAAAACCAATTCATTGTCATCACAGAATGCTAAAGTAGTCAGGAGTTCTGCTTATAAATCAAAAGCCTCCATAAATTAGAACTTTGCCAGACTTTGTCCTCAAGGAACCAGAGAAACCAGCCTGCCTGTGCTGGGAGCTCCTGAGAGGGAATCTGTAGATAGACTGCTCCAAATCAATAATCAGCCAGTTGCTCAACTGATTATTTTTCTTTAATTAAGGCATTAGCTTTACAAATATAACTGATTCATTATAATTTGTAGCAGTAACCTTGCAGCTAATTGTAATGGCTCCCTCTGAATGAATCCTTTATGAGCTTATAGCTCCTTCAAGAACTACATGTGCCACAGTGCGTAGCTCCATCTGTTGTGACTTTTACTCCAAACTAAGTATTGGGGACTGGATCCAGATCAGAAGCAGTATCCAGTGGGGCCACTCTTACACAATTAACTCAGCTAACATAATGCCAATCACATAAAAGGACGCAACAGGATTCCTTAGAAAACTCCCTTTGTCCACTTAAGGTTTTAATGTTCCACTGCTGATTGCTTATGTTGCTGCGGCAACAACTATGCAAGTGCAGTGGCTCCATCAAGTGTGAGTGCGGTCCAATGGGAGAGGAAAGATGCCCTGGTGCCTTTTTTCTTTCACTAATTGTCATGCACAGGATGTAGACAGACATCATGGCTGGAGAGGGAAGGATTAATCCTCCCTTGCCAGCATACTGCAGGTGCAATCTGCAATGTCCCTGCTCCACACACTTACTTTTGAGTTAAATAAAGCATCAGTAACAGAACAGAGCAACATACTAGACATTAAAGGAATGTGAATTGACCCTGACAATATGGTTTGGGACAATCCATTTTTATAAGAAAGCTCAGAAGACTTGCCTCTTGTTCAGAGATCCGAAACACACTTTCATGCAGGTCATCTCTCTCCAGTGGGGTCCGAATCTGCCTAATTAAACGATCTTCACAGTTCTCCAAACGAAGTCTGATGTTTCGAACTTCTGAGATGTATAAGTTGTAAATGGACTCCTCGTGTTCCTCTGTTGAAGGAAATACATGATTGCAGGTAAAGCTATCGCAAAACACAGTGCAAACCTTCTTTAAGAGTCCACTGTGACTTTACCTGAAAACTGAAGAAAGTGTGCAATAAATATTAATAGAAGGTAATTGTAAGGAGCCTTTGGAGTGTTAATAATGTGTGTGAATGGGGGTGGGGAGGGGACTAGAACTGAAAATGTCTTGCATTTTTGGTTCCCAAGCTTCTCCATTCCATCTGGAACTGTTTCTGTTTCTACCCCAAAGAAGAAAAGTAACATTTCCCAAACTGGGAGTAAGCTTGTGCATCTTCCAAACTGAAGAAATCTAGGTATACTAAGAAGCAAGACGCACACAAATCAATTTTTTGCTTCCTGTGTATCCAGATCATATCTGAAGCCTCTCTCAAACAATTCCATTCTTACTTTTCCAGTGAATTTAGGCATCCTAATGTAATATGCACATCACTTTAGTCATAGGTATTATCCTCCCATTTGTGCACAGACAATGATTAAGTGGATTGTCTATGGTTCTTCCAGAGAAGATTTCATAATAAGATGGTAGTAAAGCTATAGCACTGAGTCCCTTATCACGTATTCCAGATAGATGCAGTCAGCACAGTACCCAGACACTGACTTATAAATTGACTTTAATCTGCTTTTGAATTCTATGGCACTATCATCCTGAATGCATAATAAAATGCATCTATTTAGCTTTATAGAATAATTTGTGCATTTTATATTATATAGTATTATATGCTTTCAGAATGAAAATAGAATATATACAACAGTAAGAATGAACTTCAAAGGTATTTTTCTTTCAGGCTACTGCCAATCTTTTTTCAAAAGGATATGGGGCCATTCATGACATGCAGATATATATTTAAGACTCCTAGCTAAACAAATGCAAATATGAGACATAATATTCCTGGTAAATTATTTCAGCAACAGAAAACTATTTCTTCCACATTTAGTATAATACGGATGAAGTGCTTCTATTAGGCAAGCTGTCAAACTAACAGTTGTCTCTAAGCACTAAGAGCTAAGTGCTCCAAGACTCATTTTAGAATCCTAGTTAAAATCTGAGTGTTTACCAGTAAAATGCATTACATGTTCAGTGAGTATGCAGAGGTGCAAATAATTATTTAATCTACCTAGTCAGTGAAGGATTACATGGGATGCTTCTACCGTTTCCCCATGTGCCTGTGGCTTGATTGGAGTCCACCTGGAACAGAGCCACCAAGTGGGCTGGCTCCCATTCCGTGAAATTCCTTGCTTCTGGAGGTCAGGCAAACAACAACATTGTGTTGTTTATGGCATCAACTGAAAATATCTTTGATTCAAGAGGAACTTCTTGAGTGAACAGCCATGGTTTTATGGGTCTTCTGCTTTTAAAAGCTTTCAATGTTTTGTTTCATTCTTGACAGGTTTTAATATAAAGTTCTTATTCTTTTTATCTTTTATTGTTCACTGCTCTGGAAACTATTTAGATGTGATGCGGTATATAAATGTTGTAAATAAACGATTTTTCAATGTGACATTCTTACCTCTCTCTGCAGACTTAAGGAGCTCTTGGTAGTACTGTTTGCACACATTTACTTCCCTTTCTAGCTGTGCGATGTCAGCCATTGAAAAGATTTTTGATTCCTGGCTGTCCTCCAGAAAGTCATCAAAGCGGGATTGCAAATTGCTTAAAACCTGCTGATGTTCACCTGGCAAGAGTGTCTTTATCTAGGAAATATTAAAAAGCAGGGGTATAGTTGCAAAATCTCACCAGAAGTGTGCGCCATTTAACAAGCCACATTTTGTTGTGCACATTTCCTATAGCAGAATGTTAACATCCAAAAGTGTAGCATACATGGGGCTGTTAAAGCCATTGCCTGTGTGGGCAACACATCAGAAGAAGGCAGTGGAGGAATTTCATTTAAATAAGCAAAGAGAACCCCATCATGCTGACTCACTGGGATGTAATGTTATCGAGTATACAAATGAAATCTTTAAACACATACATCTTTACATAACATATATAACTGATCCAGGGAACTTTCATCAGACCTGACAGATGACCTGGCTCTTTACCAGCAGCTGTGTATCATCCACAAGTGAAGCACTGGTTATAGAAATTCCAGTCTGACGTTGGTACACACCTTCAGCAATTGTGTGTAAAAGATGGAATTGATCCCAGTCTTTGCCTATTATGTTATTAAAGTAGCATGCAGATGGTAGGTATACTTTGGTTAGGTGTTGGAATAGGCTCAGAACTTACCGAAGCCACATTACTAGCTCGAACTGTTTCGATTTCATTTGTCAAGTAGTGCCAGGAGACCACACTCTTTATGTTTATATGGGATTCATGCCAGAGAGCTAGGACATTCTGATATTGCTGTTCAATTCTGAAATGCAAAAAGCAGGAGAATGAAACATGACTCGAACTAAATTAATGGTAAGAAACAATCAAAAGAGAAATGCCCATTATAAATTTCCTGTATCAACACATTTCAAAGAATTGTTCATGATACGCAAAAAAAAAAAAATCAAAGTGGCCTTCAGAATTTCATGTGTGTTTTGTCAACACATACCTGTTTGCAGTGTCTATTGCTTCTTTGTTGGGCGGAGGAACTGTAAAACATACAGAGGGAACCATGGCCTCATTACCACTTGGACTAATCACTTTCCATTTTGCCCGATGGGAGTTGCTTGCTAGTACACATTCATCATCTTTGTAAATGGTTATCTAATTTTTAAAGGAAGACCAGGAAAACGGAATGAGACAAACATTCTCATTCTGTCCTTGCTTTGAAATTTTTGTAAATCTTGCTTATAAAAACATGACAACATTGAAAACAACCTAATCCCCAATCAGGAAGGCAAGATCTAGCTGGTTTTACCATTGAAGAGATTTCCAAGAACATGACATTGATGCAAGCTCAACTGCCTTTTCACACCCACAGCTGATTTAAAGAAGTCCAAGGCTCCTACCTCAATTTGTCTATAGTCACAGATGGCCTTAATTGGGATGGATGTCTTGAGTAGATTATCTGGATTCCTTGGCTTCAGCTGAACTATTGCCTTTGCTCTCCCCACAAGGCCTGCCACTGTGCTCTTGTAGTGAAGGAGCTGTTCTTTTTCTTCCTAGATGCCGATTTAAAAAAGAAATGGAACAATGTTAAAAGCTGCTATAAATGAAACATGTTCTTCAGCAAACGTTACTATTTTTCCTTTGCTGCACATAGAGTTTTGCATAGCATTCTTCAAATGATGCAGAACTAAGTCTATATAGTTATTTAGTAAACAGTGCCTTCTAATAATCATTGGGAAGTATCCAATCATACATGAGCACTAAGACAAATTGTATTGCACTCGTGTAAGAAGCTTCTAATACAATGCCAACACTGTTAGAGCCATGGATTTTCCGAGAAATCCTGTCATGCAAGCTAACACAGCTGGCATTGCACTAGATGTCTCTTATGCTAGTACAATCTAATTTATCAGCACTATAGTACAATTGTAAACTATCAATTGTTTATTATTATCTGGTAGATAATAACCTTGAAGACGGTATAATAAGGTTATCTGAGTAATACACTATGAAATAGTTTGGTCCAACCATATGGCTTCAGTTTTAAATAAGGGCTAGATGAGGCACAGCATAATTCCTGTACACTGCTAACCAAAGGCATTTAGTTGTATTGCTCAAAATTCATGTCCCTGAACCAAAGTTCTGGTCCTACAGGTGTTCTGTTTTCTTCAATGAAAGAGTGTGCTCTATCAACTCAAAGAGATATCCTACTGCATATATATGCCACTGCCTGGCTCAGAGAATAGAATGGGACCACTTCTGTATCTGTATGTTATTATCAGATACCCCAAGTCTTGTGGATTGTGGCCCCTGTGTATTCTGAAGACACTAAAAGTCACCCTATGGTCCAAACCTGTAATCTACCTCTTTTCTTTTGTTTGCTAAAAGTGAGCAGGAATAGACAGGTTCAGAATACTAACAAAATTTATCAAGTATTATGACTGATCTTAGGGTTCTACCAAAAAAGGATGAACTTCCAGGCAAAACATTTCATATTTTTCCTAGCTCTGATTAAATTATTAGCTCCCTTTTTAATCATTTTAAAGCTATGATCACAAAAATAATTATAAAATTGTCCTTTATAAAGGTTTTATATGAGCCAATCATTTAATTTAGATTTACCTTCTATCTTTTGTACATCACTAGGAAAAGTTGCAATTACTTCAATGAAACATGTATAGGTGATGAAATCTGATAAAAGTTTTGCATTCCTACCATAGACTCCTGGATGAGATCTTCCAGTTTATGAATACTGCTGGACCTATCACAACTGTATTTTCGATGTACAGCGTCTCTTAAATTCTTCAAATAATCTGTGGCCTCTTTGGCATCATGGAAAAACTAGAATGAAACAAATCTTTTCATTAAAAGACATTGTTACAAGCCTGAACCTTATGAGAAGTCAGTAGCACACTTTGAAATCTAGGCTACCAAAACCATACTGAGGTACATTTCCTTGCCAATGGCCTTATAGAGATGGATGAAGTTCTTTCACTGTGAAGTTCCTTAATTCCATTAAAAAGTAATTCCACTTCCACTTGGTCAAACAAAATGATGGAACAAAACAAAGGTGACTATCTTTTACACTGTGACATACTATTCTGATCAAAGGAATTGAAGATGAGGCATGTTGGAGCTGATCCTGAAGCGCTTTTTTGTTGTTTGTTTTGGAGAAGTAAATAAAAAGGCTAAAATAAAACTGTGCTGGTCACTTGTTCTTTTCACAAGAGCTTAACCCAAGTGGAAAAGGATACAGAGCTTTCCTAGAGCATTTAAACCATAAAAATACATGTGTGGAGGAAACAAGAGTTTGATCTCTTTTAGTTCACCTCATATATGGAAAAATATGAAGCTAAATTGGTCATAAGATTGGTATGACCAATAAGGGCGGCTTATTTTATACTGTACTGTTGTATTTTAATTTTATATTTCTATTTTAATTTATATTATAATTATTTTAACTTAATGATGTGAGCCGCCCCGAGGCTTCGGCGAATGGGGCGGCATAAAAATGTTTTAATAAATAAAATAAATAAAATAAATCTTCATCATCAATGCATTTTCTCTTGATTTATTTATTTATGGCATCAAAACAATGCAGGAGTCCTGCAATACACAACACTTCTGAATTATTTTATTTTCAGGCAAAAATCCATACTAACAACCCTTTTTCTTGCTCTTGAAATTGATAAGTTGGAAATCAGTAGGTACTCAACCATTTTATCCATTTCATACATACCTCAAAATATGCAGTGTTTTCTTTTAGATGCTGTTCCACACACTGGCAAAGCTGTAAAATCCAGCTCCACTGTGTTTGCATTGCAGCTCGATAGGCCTAAAGGATATAGACAGAGGAAAAGAATCATGTTTCCGTTTTTCTTTTTCTTTTTTTAAGGACTGTTTTGAGCAAATGAGCTCCTCCCCAAAATTTGATAATTTGAATGCCTTTGTGTCTAGTTGTAACGGTAGAAAAACCAGGGACATCCACAAGCCTCCAAAATGTTACCATTTGGATTTCTGTACAAAACTAATAAACTCATTTGAACTGAATAAGTCACTCATGAGATTAGACACTATTCAAAAATGGAACGCCCTGTATAATATTGATGGTATTTCTGCTCAATTAATACAGAATAGTTTTGGCCAGCATAGGCTGCTCTAAATACTGTAGATTCTCCCATTTAATGCCCAAACCATCCCCCACTGAAGTCAATGGGTGCCCTGTTTTCCGCTAGAAGATGAGCATCAATTAAATCTGCTTTTAAAAGAAGAATGTGGATGTATTCTAGAGACAGAGAATGCCTATCTATATTGTTACAGAAAGTATCAGTATGATTTATTCAGCACTGCTCTACAAAGAAGCCTTGCTGTAACAGCAGTGCCAACAGCAGTGTTGATTTACTCTTTAAAGCCATGGGAATATCATAAGAATGACCTACTGATACAAAAGTCGTAATGCTTCAGAACATAACCCCACCTTGTTATCTACTTTGAACTGAAAAGCCCCTGATCCAGCTGAGAAGTCTGACGACACCTCTGCTAGTGAGCATACACTTTAAAGTAAAACAGATTACCTACAATATACTGCTTGACTGCAGTCCAAAATAAACCTAATGTCTAAAAAATAGCTGAAGTTTATGAGTACTAGCACGGGTCTGAACTTGAGACCTTTAAAGGAAGCATTGTAATAAAACCTTTAGAAGTGGAAATGCCCTGGAAATTCCATGACACATATGACAGCCCTCTCCCAGGCAATAGTTTAGTCTAATCAGAACATTAATGAGAGCTGCGCTATTGGATTTGTCCATGACCAAGAATACTGGGTAACTTTGGGGTAACAACAATAAAAAGACCAGAACATGGAGCAATGGGATAGAGTATCCTGGAAGAAGGCATCGCTGGCAGCATGAAGGAGAACACTCCAAGTGGCGCCTTTTTGTTGTTGGCCCCATTTTTTAAATTCTATTAACAATAATTTATTATATCACATCTTAAAAATAATGAATTTACATTACATCAAGCTTTTGTGGACTAGAACAGATGCATTAGACCGGGGGTATGCAGTAGACCCAGATGTTTCAACTAGAACCCAGCACTGAGGACAAGTTTGAACTCAATGGTCTAAATGGCTCCTTTCAACTCTATGATTTCAATTCCCAGCATTTTTTACAATTTCTAACATTCTAGGCCATATGGCAGGTGCTTCTGGAAGCTGAAGATCCAGACATCTGGAAATCGACCTTCTGCCCACTCCTGCATTAAGATAGCATGGTAAACTAAAAGGTATATATGCACAGGAGCAGGATATTACATGTCCAGGCAGAACTCATATATACAAATGCATGCAAATACTACTATACCACAGATTTTTATTTTATTAAACATTTTCTGAAAGTGAAGTGAGGAGATAGAGAATTCACTCAGAAAACAAGCATTTCTCTTTTCCAATTTCCCATGAAAAGTGTTAAAAGACAATCAAATTTTTATGCATTCCCTTTCCTAGGATATGGCCAACAACATACCTCAATAGTTAACCTTGCAGGGTGATTTTCAAATAACAATTGCTCTGCTATTTCCTGAACCGATTTAATAACTTCTTCTTTCTGATCAAGTTCTCTCATCAGTTCCTACCAAACAAAGAAATAGTTTAGTGTGTTAGAAGGTGGGAGGAAATAAGAAAGGTTACACTTAATGAGTTGGATTAAACATCGTGTGAATGGATTTCCATTAGCACAATGGGATTCCTGGAGCTCCTCCTCACCCATGTGCATGTGCCCTAAACCTACTCCAGAGGGCTCGCCAACACTCCAGAGCAGATGTTGCGTGAGTGTATGTGAGACAGAGACAGAAACTGTTTCAGCAGCAGTTTCCAATTTTGTTAGCAAATGACCTGCATTAGATCCATTCCCATTTCCATTTAAATAAAGTAGCAATGCTTACTGCATGGTATTCCTTTTTCCTTGCTATATTTGTGTTTCTTTCACTCCAGTCATAAGCAACTTCCTCCTCTTCTTTTTCATTCAACCATATGAGTTCCCTGGTAGCACGCGATACAAAATTGTGAAGGGTATCAAGGTGTCTTTCCTGATTTCTTGATGTATTCTTGAAAGGACAGAAATAAACCTGTTTTTTACTTCAAACCAGGGGTGAGGTACTTTGGAAAAATCAATTTCTGGAAGTCAATGACCTTCACCCATCCCATGAGTGAATCTGTGTGCACATACACATTTCCACACACTTCTTCCCACACCTAACCCTTCTCAGCAACTTGGATCATGACAGCTGGGAAGAAGGCAAATCCTCTTCTTTCACTGAGTGGTCATTATCTAAGCTGGTGAGATATGGTGGGGAGAGGTTAAAGCTTCCCTTCCTCCATTCCTAGCATTCCTCCTATGATCACTGCAAGAAGAGGTTTTACCCCAGTGCTTCTCCCATTGAGTTTGTTGGGAAAGAAGGCACATGTGGTTAAGTCTCCTTGTGTACCTTCTTTTCCAGGACAAGCAGACTCTGCAAAGAAAACAAGCATGCAAGTAGAGTCATCCCATATGCTTGTACCCTAGCAGAATCAGCTAAACCTTCTCTTGGTCTCTTGCTTTAAATCATTTGCTATCAAATGCATCAGACTCACAAGTAATGGCCTTACCAAAAGTTTTGCATATTGGCTCTCCAGTTTGTGCAATTTGTCTGCATAGCTGAGTTTAAGGGGTGCAGTCATTTGGATCTGTACAGAACAAAATGGGTCATAGTAAATATTTTTTTAAAAGCACATCAGGCATATATCATTTAAGTTACATATTTTGTATTATTGATGTAACAAAGGCATAGTTCTATAATCCAAGGTTATGAAACTAATTATTAAGAGTAATCCATGTTTAAAGATGTATGTACCATATATATATACATATATATATATATATATATAGCCACAAGGCTTTAAAAAAAGACTGTACCTCACTGATTTTTGCTTCTTTAAGGCTTGACTCAAATTCTTCAATAGCTTTGTGGACATTCTTGTGATTTTCTACATGGCTTTCAACACTTGGCAAATCCGAGCCCCATTCAACCCGATCAAGTTGCACCTTGTAGGTAGAAATTGAACATTAAAGTTTGAGTCCCCAAGCAGATAAGAAAAACGATTGGGTGCACACTGAAAACTGTACATGAAAAGATGTTACCTGCATTTCATCTACCCATCTTAAAAGGTCCTGGACAAATTTCATGTTGACTTCCTCCTCTGTCAAATTCTGATCAATAAATGCTGACTTCATCAGGGGTTTTCGAATCTGCATTAGTTTGAGTGTTTGCAGTCCACCAGTGTCAACTCCAGTTATGTAGCTTTGAATTAACCTTGGTGGGAAACCTGGTGTGTATGCTGGGGTGATGGCTGGAGTCAGTCTTGAAGAAAGACCTGATGATAAACCTGATGTTAAACTGGATGATGTCAAGGAGGGTGATAAGCCCTGGCTCAGTCCAGAGGTTAAACCAGGGCCTAAGTTTGGTGCAAATCCTGAGTTTAAGCTTTGTGTGATTCCTGATATCATCATCTTGGTCTGTTCTGTCGTCAGTGTCCTCCCCTTGCTGTAGATCGAGGAGCACTGTGTTCTTAAGGCCATAAGGTCATCTCGTAGTTTTGCAACCCTGTTTAAAACCCAGAAAGACATTTGCTATTTAAGTGAAAAACAAACAAACCCTCAGCATTCTCTGAGCATGCCCATGAATTGCTTTCAATTTTAAAAAAATATTAGAAGCCAGATCTACTTTGTACTTTAAAAGAGAGTGAAACAGTCTGATTAACCATGTTAGCACAGGAGAATTCAACCCATTAGTTCCATAAAGTTCTCTGATAATTTGAATGGTTGCTACATTATGAATTTTCTGAGGCAGTGGCAGCTAAGCCACAGTGTACCAAACAATGATATACATTTAGATGTCATAAACCCACCATAGTAAAAAGAGCTGGATTAAAAAAAAGCCCACTACAGTGCCTTGGGAAAAGTGGAGGGAGAATGAAGCTTACCCATCTCTTTGAAAAATGGAATGTTAGAATCAAAGGAATATTCTTTAGCATTAGACCAAACACTTAATCCCCAACATAGTTTCTTGATAGTAAAGGAAAGTCCTTCTGATTAGTTTCATCTCTGTCCTGACGTAAGTGTTCCAGGGAATGCATTAATACAGAAAATGCCTCCAATGAACTGAATATACTACCTCTGCTTCACAATCATTATTTCCATAATCATGGAAAGAAATAGATCAACTATTAAAATAATTGAGAGAAGCAGGGTATCTGTGCAGACTGTATTTTGTGTAAGACACTGTTCATGTGAATGTGTGTAAGACACTGTTCAAGCCAAGCAAAAATGATTGTTCAAATATGGTGTAACTTGTATTGATATCAATAGGACAAGAATACCTACCAAGAAGCAGTAACTCTAATTAGGCAGATGTTCATATGGCGTTCATGTGGGCACACAGGTTCACCAGCAAAAACACCCTGACAGTATCTCAGAACATTAGCAGAATATAAACATAGCCCCAAACATTACTAGAATATAGGGTATCATGCTAATAGAATTATGTATAGGATAATATGTTGTGAGGAATCAGTAGGCTCCTTAGATTGAATAGCAGGGGGAACATCAGAGATCAAGTCTTACATTAGGATTCTTCGTGCATTAATTCACAGATCACTTCCTTGTCCATGTATAAATTAATAGATATTCTCCTACTTAAAGTGGAAGCTCAGAGGTACGTTACACTTCAGGAATTGTTTAAGACAACTGGTAAATCCATCCAGAAACTCAACCCACTATTTGCAAAGGACTGCATTTTGCACATTTGTTCAATTCAGAAAAAATAGAGTAACATTTGGGGTAACAAAATTCCTTGCATCTATGTGCATCCTTTTGCAGTAACTGTCAGCAACAGACTTTATTAATATATGTCTTTGTTCAGCCACAAGCAGAATACAAGTTGAATCAGTACCCCTTTCCCTAAATAACAACATAAATGCATGTACCTCTGGACCAGCTGATCTGCCTGATAATATTTTCCATCAATAAGAATCTGGGCATCCATAACTTGCTGACGCAACAGATTCTCACATTCAAGTAGGTAACCTGCAATCTCCGCTTCATTCTGGAACTGCAGCCCGGATTCCAATCGCTTTCCATCCTAATTTTTAAAAAAAAAAAAAACAATGAATTCAGACATTCATTTAACCCAAATAGAAGCTCTTTATAAGACTCATGGGTTATTCTCATATTTTAATAATTATGTTTCCTTGGGCTTAGAGGCACTTTCTAATGTTTATTGGTGAGTTCACCTAGTGCTGCATTCAAACAGGCTCTGAATCCTCTAATGATGCAGTCAATAACAAGAAGAGAGAAAAAAATAGTTCTATGTTTAAAATACATAGCTAAGCAGTTCAGTGTCTGCTTTCATCAACAAGACTGCATGAGTTCATGCCAGGCACTGGGATCCAAGGTGACACCCCTAGGAATGCTAAGGATACAGCAAATTCACAGTCAAGTGACATCTGCTACCTAAGGGCAACACTCTCTGCCTTCTTTGTCCCATGTTTAAATGGACTTGCTATTGAAAATATTTCCAAGTCTGAAAGGCTGTGGCCACCAAGAATAAAACACTTTGGGAAAGTCTCTTTTAAAAAATACGTGCCTATTTTCCAACAAACTGCATGAGGTAGTTGTGCTGTCCTCTGTTCTATAATGTATTACGTTACTGGAGTTGCAAGCGATGCCCTTTTTATTGAAATAGGTCTGCTAAACATTTTGTTTTTGCTTGTGACATTTATTCTAAAATAAAATACATCTGAAACAAAGACTAGATTTGCAATGATGCAATGCCAGATCAGTAACAGAGGGGGTTAATTCGGCTCTCAAAGCTAAATTTCAAAGCTGAAGAAAAGCAGTGCCACAAGACCTATTTATGGCTGTTTAAAGGTGTAATAAACTGGCTATCAAGAGGTAGTATCCTTTAATTGGAAGGTGGTAACTGGATAAAAGTTTCACAATTGATTGTTGTGTTCCTTTTTAGTATTTTGACAGTAAAATATTAATTTAAATGCCAGACGCAGTATTATTGGAGCAACAAGAGAGCTTTATCCCCATTTCAGAAATTACAAGTCAGCCATCACAGAGATAAGCCCGGACAACCTCTTTCTTTTCATATAGATAGTCACAACCTTTCTAACATGGAAACATTCTTAACCAAAATGCTACCCAGTCTTAGGGTACCAGGAACAACATATATACTCTGGAACACACTAAAACTCCAAGCCCTTAAACTTAGCAGATGCTACCTTACACTCACAGGATAAATATCTACAGTGTGCTTTTAATCATTAAAAAAAAAACCTTATCTTGCATCTATATTGCAGATCACAATTTCCTGAAAATTCTTTCCACCCTCAGAATTCATAGGCATATGGTGGAATTGCCATAAGCACATACTCTTTTGCACAGAAACAAAGCCTTGGAATGCAGTGTTTAAAGCATTTCAAGATCACCCTCAGACCTTGACTCCCAGTTAGAAATCCAACTGTGTTAAGAAATCTTGTTAGAAACCCAACTGTGTTAGTGACAAAGGCAGAAGTTGAAACATTTAACAAAATAATTTTAAGCCTTTGCCCTTGTTTCAAGGGTATTTCAGAGTGTTTTTGCGACTGCCAACAAGCAGAACTATTCTTCTCATTTTCACATTTATTCTGGAAGACAGTGTGATAATGTTATAAGCAGAAGACCTGAGGCCAAATGACAGTGATCTATTCTTGGTCTTCTGCAATTCTAATTCCATCTAATGATGCATCCTGATTTTCAATACAGAAAAGAGAGAAGAAAGCAATTATTCAAATACACTTACTGACTGAAGTGCATTTCGAGCAAGCGTGAGTTTGTCTTCACAGCTCAGGCTGTCTCGCTGAACCCTGTTTGCAATCTGCTGCAGCATCTCTAACCTAGAGGATGTCAGTTTTAAAAAATCACATAGGTTGGCTCATTGTATTCTTAACATTAAAGTAACATTATAGTCCTTAACTCTGTCACCGAATAAAACACCACATTCTGTAACTTACCTGGCTCCTTCCATGGGACCATTGCCAAAGCTTATACAAGAATTAATAAGAGTTGGACCACAATTAACAGACAAGAAGTTTTCATTGGAATCAACACTGGTTCGGGTGCTAGTGCTGTTACTAAAGAGAGAGTCGCTGCTGTGGTAGCCATAAGTACTAGCATTCATTTTTATAGTCAAAAGGCTGCCCTTTTGGCTACTTAATGAGTTGAAATGCCTGCAGAAACATAAAGCTTCCCAGGACTAGACAGCTTTCAGGGCAGCTCGAATTCTGTATTTCTAAATAGGCCAGAGCACACATACTCAAAACTATGCAAATAATATTCTGATCCCACTTCAGAAGATTTTGCCTTCAGTTATATATGCCAATGTGGGCTTGGCTCTTCTAGCCTGAATTGCCTGCACAAGTATGGACTAATCAAAATGATTAGGGCGTTAACTAGGAAGGAAAAGTGCCAAATACTTTGTGTAAGTCTCATCCAATCTCAACAAATTAAATGATCTGAGGCACAGGGAGGGGACCCATCTTCTACCATTCTGCTACCTTTAGTAAAAATGACTGATCAACAAAGATATATTTTAATATATTGCTGTATTTAAACACACACACACCTGATTCAAGATACTCATGTTTTGCATTCTCATAGGCTCACAGTGGTTTCTCATTAAGGTCCACAGCCATTTTGCTTTAACAATGCTATAGCATCTGGAGCTCCCAGGCCATTCACTACAGCAATCTAAATATTTATTAGAACCAGTACTAAAGCTTGTATCACACCTATATTCCACTTAAATAGGCACTGGTCCCTTGAAAAGAATTAAAATTAAGCTTGCTTTTACATAGGCTTTATTACTTTAGGCACATACAACATTAAAAATTAAAAGATTAAAAGTAAGATAAAAGTAGTAAGATCAATTGTCAATGTTAGTCTATTCCTTTTGTTAGAGATACTGTGGAATTAATTGAAGCAGTGAATCCTTATTTTAATTGCTTTTCATGAAAGACTATCTATGGACCACCTACCTGCTTAAGCTATCTATACATCATCCAGAATCTTTGCCAAAATTGCTACATGAATTTTTACCTCTGCTTGGCAAATTAATTAAAATAAATTTAATGTGGAGATAACATCCATTTGCAATCATTGGCATTTGGCCCACAAGAAAGCAAAATGTAATCAGGTATTCTAAGTCTCATTTCATTTGGTGCAGGAACATTTAAGAATCTTCTCTTCTGGCCCTGAAAGAAGCTGCTGCCTCCCCCTCCCCGTCCCCCTCCTGTAAAGGTAGTGTACTTCATTCCTAGTCCTATTATTAAATAATTTCACATTCTATAAATCTGCACCCATATCTTGCCATCGCTGTTCAATCAAAAAGAGTTGTCCCTGTGAAGACTGAATTGGTTCACTATTCAGCCCTTGCATGTTTAGCAAAAAGATCACAGAGGTACATGCAAACATATGGCTGAATTATGGAGAGTTATGGCCGATAACAAAATAATGCACACACAGACTTTGAGTCTCCTCACACTTCTAAAAGAAGGGAGATTTTTTTTTGTAAGAAGTATCTGACAACTGACAAATTATCCCACTAGCCAAAGGCCATATATCAAAACTATATAATTGTTATGCACTACCTATGTGAACATAATTCTGCATAATACCCTTGAAAATAATGTAAATAAGATTAAGCCCAGGCTTAGAGGCTTTAATTAAACTATTATATCTATCACCAATGGGCTCAGCCTATCAAATCAATTACTAAATAGCCATTGTGCCAAAAGTTCACTTAAAGTATTCAATTTACTCCTTATGTCTATGTTACAAAATATTGCACTGGTCATTAAAAACAACTGGCAAAGAAGCATGCTTATAAAACAAAGCACCAACATACCTTTCAACTTCTGGTCGAAGTATTTTCTCTCTCTCCAACATAGCAATAATTAGCTTCCCCCATTCTTTCTCAATGTCATTTGGGTGGTAGCCTTGAGGAAGCTTGATACGCCCAAATTCTATCCAAACCTTCAAAAAACAAGGAATGAGTACATAAAACTGAGATAAAAGGAAACAAGCCCAGCACATAAAAATCCATTAATATATGGCTTACCTCCAGTAATTTATATAGGTGTTTGATTTTTGATTTATCTATCTCCTTTGGCGGAATTTCTGTTTCTTTAAATTGTAAATATTGGTTATAAAGTGCCTGAAGAAAAACAAACACATATTGCTGTCATGTTTCTAAAAGAGGCTGTTCTACTGGTCTACTAAAGTATATGAGAAATGACTTCTGCCCATCCAAGAGAAGCTGACATCTGCTGATCTACTCACTTTCAAAACCAGAACAGTTCTTGCATTCACAGAGGAAAAAGGAAACTTGTCAGTTTCTCACTCAGCCTCCACTTGACATCCCTTAGCCTGGAGTCCAACACTAACACTGACTCTTCCAAGCACTGGTGTTCACAATTGCAATCCACAAACCAGCTGGAAGGGCTGCACAGTTGGTAGGGTTGCACAAACATCAGCTCGATGTTTTTCTTACGAATGGGACGGAAGTCCAAATCTCCAAATTCGTGTTAGCTGTGGCAATGGCTTGCGCAGCCTCAAATGCTGTATTGTAGCACCCCAAGGCCAGGGAAGTCCCCTGTGTTGCTCAATACTTACATGAAAATTATATACATGTTTACACTTCCTTCCAAATATTTAATGCCTAAAAGGCAGTATGATGTGTAACTGATCAAGATCCTTTCCACTACCAAAGTAGACTGATTGAGAGGTCAGTCTAGATTTGCATCAGTGACCGCCCCCATGTATAAAACTCTGCTTGTGGAATGCTTCTTTGACAGACAAAAGGAGTCTAGCCTAGCCTTTTCTCTTAATGAAAAGGTACTTTCTATGCACAAGAATTTTGTACACTGGGGACCATTCACAGATGTGACCTATTTTACCATGTACTTTCCCAGAAGGACTGTACACACGCAGTTCCTCTTAAAGTATGGCTTGATTCTGACTAGTAGGGCTAAGCACCAGTGAGGTAGCTGCTGCAATGCTGGAAGTAGAGTAGGAGCAGGCTGTGCCTTTAGGAAAGAGCTGGGATCTTTGCAACCCAATTGTATGTGCTCATGGAGCACAGGGAATAATTGGTAAATTCAAAGTTCCAGAGAGGGGCAAGAAAAGTACCAGGCTAAACAATGAAAGAAATCAGAGGAAGCAGCCAAGAGAGGTCATACAAGAGAGTGTTTCACTTATGAGAAGAAGGCCAGGGACCCCTTTATGGCAAGAAAGGCTATGGACAGAGAATGGGATGGACAGGAATTGCATGACCAACATGCAATCAGAGAAAGATGGTGGGAATATGTAGAACAACTTTACACAAATGAGAATCAAGGCCAAGCTGTAAGAGAAGAAGGTATCCTAACAGAACTGGAACCAGATATCTTGGAGGAGGAAGGAGTGTGGGCACTCAACCAATTGCCTAACTGCAAAGCCCCTGGAATTCCAGCAGAGTTGTGAGACCACTGCCAACAAAAGCACGGACAATGCTTTGCCAAAATGTATGGAAATCTGGTCAGTGACCAAAAGAATGGAAAAGGTCAGTATTCATCCCACTACCAAAGAAGGGTGATACAAAAGACTGTTCCAACCACCAAACCATAGCCTTGATACCACACGCTAGTAACATCCTCTTGAAGATAATTCAACAACATTTGAACACAACCTCCAATAGAGAACTGTCTGATGTACAAGCGGCAATTCACAAAGGGAGAAAAAATGGGATCACATTGCTATCTATGTTGGATGATGGAAAAAGCAAAGGAATCCCAAAAAGACTACTACAAGTGTTTCATTGACAATACAAAAGCCTTCAGCTGTGTTGACCATGACAAACTCTGGAACTGCCTCAACAAAATGGGAATATCAACACACCACATCCAGCTCATTTAGTCACTATACTCTGATCAGGAAGCCACTGTAGGAACGGAATGTGGAGACCCAAAATGGTTCTGAATTGGAAAAGACACTCGGCAAGGTTGCATCCTGTCATCTGCACATATACACAGAAATAGTTATGAGGAATGCACATTTGGAGGAAACTACCATTGGGGTCAAAATCGGCAGTAGAAATATCATCAGCCTCTGATATGCAGATAATACAACTCCGCTCACAGAAAGCAAAGAAGATCTAGAGTGGCTAATCCCTAGAGTCAAAAAGGAAAGTGAAAAACTTAGATTGCACCTTAACATCTAGAAAACATAAGAAAATAATGACTGCAGAGAACACACAGTCAGAGTGCAGATTGACAAGGAAACCATCGAAACAGTAAAGGAATTCAACTTCCTGGGATCTAAAATTGACCAACGTGTTGACCATAGTCCTGAAATCAGAAGGCATGTAGCACTTGGAAGAAATGCAACATCAAGCATGAATAACATCAGGAAGAGTAAAGATATCAGCCTCTCTACCAAATGCAGATTAGTCAATGCAGTAATTTTCCTATTGCCATGTATGGCTGTGAAACGTGGAATCTGAAAAAGGCAGATAGAAGAAAGGTAGATGCTTTCGAATTGTGGTGCTGGAGATGACTGTTGTGCATCCCATGGTCTCCAAAAAATCACAAAGAAGTTCTAGACTGAGCCTCACCAAAATTATCACTTGAAACCAAGATCACCAAACAAAGACTGTCATATTTTGGCCATGCCATGAGAGCTGACTCACTTAAAAAGTCAATCAAGCTGGGGGTGATAAATAGAAAAGAAGGGGATGCCCCAGCACCCATTGGCTGGACACCATAAAGAAAGACACTGAGGTGGACATGGCGGTCTTGAAGGAAGCAGTACAAGACAGAGGCATGAAGAGCAATGATCCATGGAGTGGCCAGAGTTGACAACCGAGACATGATAGTTTTGTGACTCTCACTCTAAATGAGCAAGTGATATATTTAAGAAAATTGTGCAGAATCTATTTTAGCCAACAATATACTGACAATATAAGCAGATGACGGAACTAGCCCTGCCCCTTCCTGCAAAAATGGACAACTCCCACCTTGAGTTCCACAGGATTGTTTGGAAACACTCTGTCAGCCATTATTGTGGCATGGTGCCTGATCCACTGGATGAGGTAGTTCACCATATTCTGGTATTCAACCCACTTGACTTCAACATCCTAAAAGCAGCACACAGTGTATAAGTGGAAAGAAACAGCACATACACTTTTTATAACATTACAAGCCTGCAATCTAACAACTGGTTGGTTGGTTCAACTCAATATATGAAACAGCCCCACAGCCTGCACCCTTCACTTTACAGCTCTCACAACCCCTATGAAATTTCTAGGCCACAATACTGCTGTGACCACAATTGCCAGAATTTTTATTTATTTATTCATTCATTTGATTTATATTCTGCCTTTTTCCTACAAAGGGCTCAAGGCAGCTTACATCATTCTCCTCCTCCATCTTATCCCCACAACAACAACCCTGTGAGGAAGGTTGGGCTGAGAGTCTGTGACTGGCCCAAAGTCACCCAGTTGGCTCCATGGCTGTGCGGGGACTAGAACCCAGATCGTCTGAGTCCCAGTCACATGCTCTTAACCACTACACCACACTGGCTTTCAATTTTCTTTTCAAGCAACTCCTAAGAATCAGATTCTAGATTCTTAATCAAGAACCACACTAAGTTTCCTTGGCTCCTGGTTCCATTCTTCACAGTTTCCCTCCCTCCCTTCAGCAGACAATATGACATTTTGGCCTGACTCTATCTTCAACTTTGTTGCTCCATGAATGCCTAACTGCACACATTTGCCTCAGTGATAAAATTCCTTCTCAGGCATGCTGCTAAATGTATAGATACTAAGCAGGGTCAGCAGAGCTGATGTGTACCCATTTAGTCTACTGGAACCCATTTAGTCTATGCATATAGGAAATATGTGAACAAGGGAAACTCTTGTGTACAGCTTCAGGTCTCTTACGTTTTCTATTTCTGAGTCCTCTTCCTGATTCACCCTTCCCCAAAATGTTACTGTAACCTGTGTTAGGCTTTAGCCTCAGCCATACTGACACCTATCCTTTCCTTCACAAAGCTGGATTCAAATGTTTTGGCAAGATTACCCCAGTCTAACTATTACGTTCATAAATAACAAACCATACTGTCACACCAGCTCAAAAAACTAGTGTCAGTGACTTTTCACCACAGGTACAATGCAAGATTTTAGTAATATCACTTTAATAGAATTTTAGTAATTTTCATGTAAACTGGGGACAAGTGCAACTAGAGAAAAAGGAATTATTAAATCCTAGCAAGATCAAGCAATTGCATGTCCTATTCTCATTATAACTGCCTGTGAAATTAATCTTTCTCCCTAACAAATGTTATGCATATTAAATAAGTTTTAAGTACTAATCTCTCACTTACATGTGCACTGATGCCTTCACCACCTTCAGGTACTTTGGGAAATGCATCATAAAGTGATGAAACATAAGTGATTACTGACTTCTCATCAGGCGAGGAGACGTCAACATCTATAAAGAGGTGGCAGAGTTAATGTTTGCCATACATACATTAGAGCATTTCCAATGTAATCTAAAGCTACTACCCATTAGTGATCCCATTCACTAACTCACCTTCAGGATCCAGAAGTCTGGCAACACCAAGTTTTTCTGCTACAAAAAAAGCATGCTCTAAATTTGCAAGGTTGCTTTGAACAGCAACGGTATTCATGTCTATCAGGTCCGGCCTGTAAGACAAGAGCAACCATTTAGTTTGGTTTGAAAAGATCTTGTGGTAGCAGCAATCTTAATTTTTCCATCGAGTTAGATGCATTTCCATCAAGGAAGATATGATGAATTTGTTGCTTCAACTGAGAGTTGGAAGAGTAGCTTTTCTCCACAGGGAATGTAATTTCCCTCATCATTTGGCTTCACATAGGCATTTTCCCTCCAATCCAGTTAGCTCAGAGTCTCCAAATGCTTTATCCTATTATCACTGGAGAACATGTGATCCTCCAGAACTTGTTGGACTGCAACTCCCCTTGGCCCTAAATAATATACCCAATGATGAAAGATCATGGAAATTGCGTTCAACAACATCTGGGGTGACAGACATTCCCCATTTCTGTGCTATAGCAAGTGTCTTGGTTCACTTGTTGGAGGTTTTTAAATTTATTTTCTGAACTATCCCCTGACTGTGCAGGGTCCTTTTTTCTTGGGATAGGAATGAATCTCTGTGTGATTTTATAGTATGAATGCAAGGTAAAGGGCTGGACCTGCTAGTGTTCAGCTCCCTCCTTATTTTAATTTGCTCTATGACATGTCTTAAATGTTATCTATAAATAACTGTATTAGGAAAAATAGTTTCAGAACCATTTTCCCCCAGAATAAAACCAACATATGTGTAAGCCCCACACCTTTTTCATATCTTAAATCCTCCTCTTCAATCACTTATAGCATATTCAGAACTTCCTACCATTAGGTCTATACATAACCCTGCACAAAATGTATGAAATTGTTGCTTCAATCAAATCTTTTCTACTTTTACCATGAACTCCTTTAACCCCCTTAATTTGAAAGGTATTTTTTTCCCAATAGGCCACATGCTGCCCCATGTTTCTCCATTTTATGAAAGGTCCATAAATATTATATCATTAATATTTTACTCCATTGATTACTCTGATTGTACAATTCTATACATCTTTACTCCCACTGAGTTCAATAGTTCTTGCTCTCAGGAAAGTGGGCACAGAACTGCAACCTTTTGGTTAATTAATTATATTTATGCATTACTGAAAATAGTCTAAAAGGTCAGAAAGTTCTTTTTTTTTTACTGTTACCTGATTAGACTGTGTCAGGGATGCTCATTACCCCTGACATAAGCAGCAGAACAACAGCAAGAAAATTAAGAGGAAAAAGAATTTAAAAGTGTACTGCATCTCCAGCTAGCATTTCACTGTAGGCACCACAACATCAGTAAATATTGTATCTGAATATATATATATATATATATATATATATATATATATATATATATATCAACTGAAATATAGCTCAACTGAATCGATATCTAAGGTTTATGCCTCAGCTTAATTGATATTAAATACTATTACAGTTCAAACAACAGGATGGAGGAGACAAAGTCAAGAACAACACGTGAAGATAAAAAAGGTATGTTCAAGATGGCAACATGAGGGTTGCATCAAGTGCAAGTGGACCTCCACTAACACAACGGGGCTGCCTCTTCTCCTCCTCCCTTTTGTATCCCCTGGTGCCCTTCCAGATCTGCTCTAGCGATCCACAGTGCTCCAGAGCAGATCTGGGGACCCATGAGGGGCATCCATTCTACCAGCGGTACCCTTTCTTCCACTGAAAGAGCACAGCTGAATATAACCCTCAACCAACAACTAGGGATTTAAGAACTTCCCCATTTCCCTCTTGTCAGAATTGATGGGATGACAAATATTAGGAGGCATTGTCTCTTCCTAACAACATTTGTAATGCATTTCAGTAAGGCCACATTTTACCTACCTATAACGTACACAAAAGCATTTAAACTGCAAACCTCAGTATTTCTTCCCTCAGCCTGGGACTTAAGAGAGCTTTTGGCATTTTCCTTTCTATGCAAGAGAAGCATTCCATTTTCTTTAAAAAGGCCAGGGATTTTATTAAGAAGTGACAAGAACTCAGGGCCCTGATATTAATATTCCATTCCACTCTAATCCAACAGATCCCTATCTTCCATTTGAAGTTAAAGGAGAATTAATTCCTTCAACTGAAAACAAATAGAATAATATATTCTACTAACATATATGAACATGCATGCACACAATACAGAAATTTAGGAACAGTGAATTTGAAAAGGACTTACTCCTTATACCATGGGGACAGTAATTCAGATGAAAGTTAAATGAGGATAAGCACTTTTCAAAATTAAAAAAAACTTTTAAAGCATATGGCTTCTGCTTTCATTCTGATGATCTGCGTGACATTTCACACATAATGATATTAATGAAGCAAAACTTGAGTCTCAAAATACAACATGATGCCTGATCAGCTGCCAGCATTTCAGAGCAAGGATGGGCAAGTTGTTATACAAGCCTTTCTGTTCACGGGAAAAGAAACATCAACAACTAACCCCACCATCAGTATCTGGCTGAAATCCAGCCAGTCATGCAGGTTTTCATCCAAGACAGCGATAAAATTAGACTTTCTTCACACACAAAATAATTTGGAAGCTAACGAATTATTCACTGCACATTTCAGGCTAACGGTTATTATCCATAAGTAACAAAACACAAACCCACTGCATGACGTTCCAAATTTCAGTGGTTTAAAACCACAAGCAGTCATAAAAGGATTCCACCAGAAATGCTTCTGTTTCTCAGACTATGGGCAGATTTGCATGTAACAATAACCCATCATGGGAAATCAGAATCCTTCCTTCCCCTGCTTCCTTTTCTCTCATTTCTTCAGGCAGTATCTCCCAGAGGACACTGCAGGGAAACATGAGGCTCCTTTCTTTGACAGAATCACGAGCTGATTTTGGCTTACCATGGCTGTCAAAAAGTTTCTGCTGCACAAACAGGGCTAATGACAGTGGAGCAGACGGAGAAGCTGAGGCTGTCTCCTGTGCCAGAGGAAACCTGGATCAGGGAGTGGAGTACCTGACCCACTCTTAAGCACGGGGGGGGGGGCACTTACCAGGACAGCATTGTTGAATGGGGCTGCACCACCCAACTGATTCACCCACTCCCCCCGAGAGGCTTTCTCTTGAGCAGGAACAGGGAAAGGAAGACCTGGGTTCAGCAGGTATACACCAAGAATGGAGCAATCCTGCTGAGCAAAGGCCCCTACCCTCACCCCTTCCCTGCTTCTGCTTGGGAGAAAGCTGCTTAGGCAGGAGCAGTGACAGCAGGCCTGAAAGCAAAGGGGATGGAGAACCCTGCTGAGACCAGCCTGCCCTCACTGCCTCAGCTGCTTTCTCCTGAACAGGAGTAGGATGGGGGCCCTGGGCTCGGCGGGCTGTGCATAGGATGGAACATCCCTGCAGAGCTCAGCTGCTCTGCTCCACTTCCCTGTTGCTGCTTGAATGGTTTTCTCCACAGCAAGAGTAGGAAAGGGGCCTGGGCTAGGTGGGGATGCTCTTAAGCACCCCCCCCCTTCCTGGTCAGGAGTAAGCCCCTTAGATGGATTCTGAGCAGGTGGGCCTGTTTTGGCAGGGATTCTCTGAGAATGGGCATCCCCAGTGGGCACAACCTCACAATGCCTGCCTGATCAGCCTACTCCCAGCTGAGAAATTTGAGGGGGACATGACTGTGACTGGGACACCTTTTTCTCAGAGTATTCCCACAGAACCCAAGGCCTCTCATCCTCTTCTTTCCTTGGAGTCACACACTCAGGGAGCAAACAGGGAGAGCAGGGCAAGGGCTCAGTGGGGATGCCCAGTTCTTAGAGCATTCCTGCCAAGGCAACTTACAAGCTCCCGCATGAGCAGCTTCCTCCCAGGCAGGAGCTCAGAGGTTGTGATCTGCTCAGCAGGGCAGCTCCAAAATGTCACGGTGATATTCAACTGATTTCCAGTTCCTACCTCTTGCTTAGAGAATTTCTCTGGGGCAGGAGGCAGGAGACACACCTCTGACAGCTCTGCCAAACTGGGGCAGCTGTCAGCCATGTCTCTGGGCAGCCGTTTAGCAAAACTGGCTGTTGCTGCTTTTGCTACCCAGCTCATTGTTCTAAAGCCTGACCCACCATAGGTCAACCTGTTTGAGTTCAGACAACAAAACGAGCAATTGTGGTAGGGAGAGACCCAAGTCAAACCATTGTTTCTTACTGCATTTCTCAGCTATGATATGTTACAATGGTCAGTCACAACAGGTGTGACTGGGACAACATAACAAACAATAATAACAATAAACAGTCACTTGTTTTGTCATATAACCCCAGTCAGTACTTCTAATATATACTCCATTTTATCTAACCAACTCATATTTTAAAATTAAACCAGGTAATCAAAAAGAAAATTGCAGAAGGTGGTCTTTGGTGCATATAAGAACCTATTGAGAAGAAACATGACTTGGAAGCCAACTCTCGACACTATGTTCTTTCTCAGGTATTTGTATAGTTGGATGGAGCAAGTCAAAAGAAAGTCAATGCATATGTTAAGGAAGAAATACAAATGCAATGAAGGTTACTGAAATAAAGGAAAGAGTCAGCACCTCCATTTTGACAAATTTGCTTTTCTTGAAAAACAAACTAGAATATAAGGCAAATATGTAAGATTAAAGGAAAGCCTTCCATCTCTTTGACAGTTCCATGACAAGATTCTGCTGAACAAAAATTCATGAAAACAAGCAAAAAGCTATTCCTCTTGAAAAGTTCCAAGACTAGAGGCAAAGTAAATGTGGGCAAAGGGTTAGATTGACTGTTAGTTCCTGGGTTTCATTTAAGTACAAAGTCAGTTCATTGTGATGATGAACATGCTAAAAAGTATGTGTAGCATATTCTGCTATAATGGGTACTTGTGTTAAAGGTAATAGGCAAGAAAAGATATTTATTTATTTTTTATTTTATTAAAACATTTTATGCCGCCCCATTCGCCGAAGCCTCTATTTAGATTAGAAATGCAGGATTAGAAAGGTTGCATGGCCTATGAATGTCTTCTGATATGAGAGTTACTTAAATTCAACAATTTTCAAGCCAGTAAGAAGATGAATAGCATGAAGTAGCATGAAGTGGTGCCCACCCC